CAACAGCCAAACCTCAACACCAAATGCATTGCTGACAGGTACTAGTTACTAGATGTTACATGATGTTACTAGTATGTTGAAAGCTTCATATAGGAATGAAAAATCCTGAGAACTGCCCCAGGCTCTTGCAGTCTGGCACTACTATACTGGGCTACCTGGTTTCTTCCTCAGTGAACTTGGAGCGGTGGTGGATGTCACCTCTGTGTGGGAGATGCCTGTGATATTCCCAGAATCTCCCAGTGGAATCTGCTGCAGGGCTTGGCACCTTCTGTGCAGGGCGGAGGTCTTAGAGACTCTCAGAGACTCGAACTGGGAAGGAACAGCATAGAACAGCCATTGGCATCCATTGGCCCATTGTTCCAGCGATGGTTGAAAATTATTTGCGCATTAAATGTAGCCAGAAAACTCGGAGCACCATGCCACTGACATCTAACTTGGACATACTTGGACACATTAGCACGTTTTTTGGGATGGACTAAGGGCGATCCTGCTGGTGCCGGTGCTGATTGTGGAGCACGGGCTCTCAAACTCGGAGCCAGCAAAGTCCAGGGGAATGCCTTTATTATGGGCTCAGATATGTTCTGCAAAGATGAGAGTTGAAAAATCCAGAAAATAAATAAATGAGAGAGAGAGAACAGGTGTACTTAGTAAGTACTTAAGGTGTATCTTCGTGTCGTACGGGTTCCATCGGGTTCCCACATTTGGAGCTGCAAAACTCTGGAGAAATACACCATGGTCACCTGTGATCTGTTGGCCACTTGGCTCCAGCTTTGGGAGCTCTGAAAGGCTCGAGAGCAGCTTGGGCAGCACATGGCAGCACCAGTATGTTCTGTTCATTTGAACCTTCAGCAGGATTTCGGGCTGCTTATGGTTGCTCACATTCAATTTTGCATCATTTTGCATCCATATCCCGGAAATCAAAGTGAAATATCAGTTCCTTTAACTAGCGGAACTCGGAACATATTTTGGAATTGCAGTTTTGTGGTCTTGTTTTGGTCCAACCCTGCCTCGAAACCTGGTTCAGACTTCCGTCCCTCCGTCCATGGGTTTGTTTGTATTGTCCAAGAGTCCAAGATAGATCTACATGCACATAAATCCATTTGGCTCATGATGTGAATCATAGTAGATGTGTCATGTTTGCATTTGTGAAACCGAAGTGTGCCCTTCAAGTCTGGCTTGGCTGAAGATGCTATCCTTTTCAATCATCACATTAGATTCATCAAAGATCATCAGATCTCACAGCGGTTAATAGATTTGAACTTGCTGTTTTCCGATGGTTTTTTTTCCGCCATCTTTTCCTTGGAACTCCCCGAGAAAACATCGAAAAACCATGGGACGTTCTGTCGCTGAGGCATCCCTCGGCATGGCGCCGGCCTTTGCCATTTTGGCATCCAACGATGCTGCCGCGAGGGTGGCGTCCAAGAACTCGGCATCTGCCGGTGTGCAGCTGTTCCAGCCACTGGGCACACGGTATGGCATCTGGGACCACCTTGGATGATGGCCTAACTACGGTTATGATATGTTATAATTACATATAATTACGTAGTTATAGATATTAGACATATAGTTGACTTGATATGGCTTGATTATGTTCATAAGATGATGAAGGTACTGGTTACATTTGTTCAAATCCATAGACAAGCAATGGCTTGTTTATGCAGTGATTATGCAGTGATTCATGCAACCTTTGCTGACTTGGATATGGATCAAACGAAGGATAGTTCAGGATGGTTTTGTCTGGCTGAAGAGGACTCCGGTCCCACAGAGAGAGAGAGAGACAGCGAGAGAGTATTATTTACAGTAGCATTAGGAATGGTATGGTGCCGCACCCTTAGCTGCTAGCTGTTGCTAAAGTCATGGAGAGAGAAAGAAAGAGGCAGAGAAAGAGAGAGAGAAAGAGAGAGAGAGAGAGGGAGAGACTTTGGATTGACCAAAATCTGGATCCCAGAGTATCCCAGAGTCTTACAATGTCTTACACTATCTTACACCATCTTAAACCTATGGACATTTGGGTGAAGCATGGTAAAGCATGTGCAACTGATGTGGCAGTGACGACCTGCCAAGGATGTTTTCCTCCACATCGGCCTTGTTGGGGTTGAGTCGTTCAGCCGACTACTCTGCAAGCAATGCCAATCTGTTGCTTGGCGAACTGCTTCAAGCATCCTGATGTCGTATACTTTTAGACTTTTAGATATTCCGAGGATGTGTAAGCAGACATGCATGGAAACGTGAATATTGCAACGTGTTTCAATGTATTGTGAATTATTTTGATGATGCATTTTTGCCCTCATATAGATGATCTATTTTTCGGCGTTCATGTGTCGAAGTTCCCAAAGACTCCCAAGTACGTGGCTCACCAATCCAGGAACTGTCTCATCAATTTCCGCCGCACCAACGGCGTCAACGGCCAGAGTGTCCTGGCATTTGGGCCATTTCGGGCCCGTGAGCTGTGACATCGGCAAGACTGAGCTGATAACCATCGGATCTGACACACGTCATTACACACATGAGGATTCTCTTTGCATCACGGGTGGTTTTGGCCCGTTTTGGCGTATAATTATTCAGGATGCACACGCCTAAGGAAGGCAATGATGCATGTGTTGACGGATCAATGACAAAGTTACACATCATGGATATAAACACATGATAACACATGCGCGTGCACACGCACCTCTTTATGATTTACTTGTTTAAGTCTCTTTTCAATGAAGAAGCGGTGGTACCGGGTATGGGATGGAGAGCAATTGCTATGAATGTAGCCAGAGCACAGTAAAGCCTCCTGTAACTTGCAAAACATCCTTGCCGGTCTGAGGCAACATGTGGGGCGAGATTGCTGGAACAGGTTTAGCAGGAGGTGGCACTGGAGCAGTTGGCAAGCATGGAGACACCAGTCAAGGCAAGTGCGGGAGACCATGGTGTCATCCTTTTCTCCATCCTCCACCCGATTCTGGATGATTATGTAGTTGGGGCATGTTGGGGCAAGGACTGGCGAGTTGCTCAAACGCATTGCTATGTTGGTGGAAAGTCCTAGTTACGCATGTTGCTAGAATTCTAGAGATTCTGATTTCTTATCTGAACTGAACACATCACTTTTTTGGGGGGTCGCAAGAGCGGCGTGGCACTCCACTTGTGGTGTGGAGGTGCTACTGCTGCCTCCGAAGCCTACACTCAAGATGGCCTTCCTCGGAAGCTGCCGAAGACACCAGAACCAGTGCCTCGATAAGGCAAATGGACAACACATATCAAAAAAATCAAAAAAGGCTCAAGGCAGGAGTTCTTGCATCAGGCACCCAGACTCGTTTGGATGGCGATTTGCCATGATTTGCCAGACTCATTTGGATGGCGAGTTCACATTGTTTCAATTGTTTCATTTGTTTTCCATTCTGATATTTCGGATCCTTTTTCCATCCATGCTTTGGGGCTGAAGATGGCTGGAGCCACCTGCCAATGGAGTTTAAAATATGGTGAATCCCATGCTCCACTTACATCCATTTGCGGAACCAGAATTTGCATCATTTTCTTGGGATACTTGGGGGTCTTAAAAGCATGTGCAACCCATACCTCAAAGATCCTCAAAGGGGGTGTACCTGTACCTATTCATTGAATTGCTTTCCATTGCACTGGACTGGTGTTCGAGCAAAAATGGCCCAGCATGCCCCACCAAGGACTTCGTCAGCAAGTATCCGCCTTCGTATTATCACCGGGATCCAGCGCGATCAGACTTCACGGTGTCGTTGCGGGAAGCAACCAGCCCCTTGGAGATCCAGCACAAGATCAACTTCGCCTCCATGGAGAAGGATGGTTGGCTCAACCAACATGATCAATATGCAGTGATTGCAGTGACCAGATGATTCCTTCTTGTCAATCAGGGGTGTAATTAGATGTATTATAGATGATTGATGATGCTTGATGATGATTGATGATGATTGATGATGATTGATGATGATTGATGATGATTGATGATGATCGATGATGATCGATGATGATCGATGATGATCGATGATGATCGATGATGATCGATGATGATCGATGATGATCGATGATGATCGATGATGATCGATGATGATCGATGATGATCGATGATGATCGATGATGATCGATGATGATCGATGATGATCGATGATGATCGATGATGATCGATGATGATCGATGATGATCGATGATGATTGATGATGATTGATGATGATTGATGATGATTGATGATGATTGATGATGATTGATGATGATTGATGATGATCGATGATGATCGATGATGATCGATGATGATCGATGATGATCGATGATGATCGATGATGATCGATGATGATCGATGATGATCGATGATGATCGATGATGATCGATGATGATCGATGATGATCGATGATGATCGATGATGATCGATGATGATCGATGATGATCGATGCTGATTGATGGTGATTGATGGTGATTGATGGTGATTGATGGTGATTGATGGTGATTGATGGTGATTGATGGTGATTGATGGTGATTGATGGTGATTGATGGTGATTGATGGTGATTGATGGTGATTGATGGTGATGATGGTGATTGATGGTGATTGATGGTGATTGATGGTGATTGATGGTGATTGATGGTGATTGATGGTGATTGATGGTGATTGATGGTGATTGATGGTGATTGATGATTGATGATTGATGGTGATTGATGGTGATTGATGATGATTGATGATGATTGATGATTGATTGATTGATGGTGATTGATGGTGATTGATGGTGATTGATGGTGATTGATTGATTGATGGTGATTGATGATTGATTGATTGATGATTGATGTGATTGATTGATGATGATTGATGGTGATTGATGGTGATTGATGGTGATTGATGTGATTGATGATGATTGATGATGATTGATGATGATTGATGATGATTGATGATTGATGATGATTGATGATTGATTGATTGATTGATTGATGATTGATGATGATTGGTGATGATTGATGATGATTGATGATGATTGATGATGATTGATGATGATTGGATGGATGGGTGGACGGATGGATAATTAATCTGGAAAGATATCTGAACGTCGGATGGCTCGTTTGTCCGCCGTATGACATCGTGCCGCTTTTTGGTGTACGATGACTCTATGGGAATACTTGCGCTGAGTTTGGAATGAGGAGAGTGATCGTCAAATTACCGCACTCATCAAACTTGGGTAACTAAGTGACGTCAGTGGCCCATCCAAACCCGTTGCAAATATTAGACTTTTTTTCCTTGTTTCTTCACTTTTTCCAGTAACATTTTGTTGACTGTGAGCTGCGCTGCTGACTTGTTTCTGATTACCCATGCTATTGTCAAATCGTCGAAACGACACATGACAGACTTTTCCCGTCATGACATGCTGATGAAGCAATTTTTACCATAGGGAATCCTAGAGTTACAACAAAAGATAAGTCCACTATATAATATACCATGATTTTCCTATATTTTCCTGATGTTTGTCGGTGATATTCCCAAAAAGGTGGACCATGTTTCTAGGATGGGTGACTCGACCAGGTCGCATCAACCGCTGCCACCTTCAGGAGGGTTTCGTGCCAGTTCGAGGGCTGCAAGTGAGTTTGAAGACCAAGGAGAAGGATGACAAGGTCTTATTGATTTGCAACCTTCCCACTTCAACACAGGAGACCTGGGATGCCACCAGAAACGCGCATAAAGGGGCCTTTTGTGATTAGAGATGGAATTCGTCGAGGAATTGGCCGAGGTTTTGCAATTGTTTTGCCAGATTTTTCATTCAATTTACCTGTTGGAAATAGAAAGAAAATGAAAACAAACTGGAAACTCAGCCATAGTTTGTACCGTTGTGGCCTTGGGATGCCTTGGGCAGGACCAGCATGATGGTGTGTGCTGGGCCTTGAAACGTGGAGAGCAGACCATTGGCCCAGTGTTCAGTACCTGGACGCATGACCTGGCTCGAATCGATGGGCTGTGTATGCCATGGCTGGACAGTCCAGGGAAGGCCGGTCTGGATTGCGAGTACTCGGTTCAGTGCCGCTTGAGGGGCACTGCCCAGCTGCTTGGACATTTTGGGCCCTGTTGAGGGAATTGAGGGGTTTAACGGTTTGAGATAAGAAGGCAACACATATCAGGGCGCCAATGGAGATTTTACGTTGTTTGCGTTGATTGTGCTCTTATGTCGCTCTTTTTCATCACATATTCATCACAGCTGAACCACCCTGCTGAGGCTTTCGCAACAGGGTGAACGTCGCCAACTAGCTGCCCTAAGGCTACCAAATGCACAGGCAAGCTCGGAAACGATTTCTAGATATTTCTAGTAATTCTATATAGATAATTCTAGTACTTTCCACCAGGCACGTGAGCTGGAAACTGACTATACAGGCCCACCCTTCTACAACAATCTTCCTTTGAGGGGACGATATTTAGGATAAGCAGCCAAGAGCAGCACCATAGTCCTGGTGTATATGGGGCACAAACGAATCCACAATGGTGCAAGGAAAGCCGTCTCACCTGTCAAACCATGCATCATAAAATTCCAGACCACAGTCACATTCCACTTGATAGCAGAATGTCATAGAATATCTAAGTTGGATCTCCCAACTTTAATGGTACCATGTTGCACATTGTTGCACCCATTCAGTTCCGCCCATGTCGGCACAGTCCATCATCCTGCTGTCCAGGTGGCCAGTGCAGAGAGTTGCGAGGCCCTGGCGGTTCAGCCTGGGCGATGGTACGATGTTCCGGGCCTGACCCAAATTTCTTACACCGACAACGGTGAGAAGGCTGCGGCAAGGGGGCTGGGGCAATGGCCACTGCCCACTGGGTCAATGGTGAACTCAGTGATCTTTGATGACGGTCAGGACATGACTTGGGATATCGTAGGATAGACGATGACTTAGAACAAACTCCCGCAGTTGCGATGGAATGAGCGAACTGGGGGGTTCTTTCATGGTGTCCTCTCCAAGAATCAGGGTTCAAAGAGTTCGAAGGGTTCAGAAAGACTGGCAACAACTGAAAACAAAATTCAATCTAATCAGGATTGCCGGTGGGAAATGATAGCAAAGATTAGCAAAGCAAATGGCTGTTGACCTTATCATTCGAGGGGGTCAACCTGGGAGTGAACCCAGGATTGTCATTCTTGGATCATTGTTTTGGGCATGGTTTGCATATATGCTTGCATCATCTTGCATCTGTGCAGCTTGTACATCCTTCCAGCTGCTGTTCTGTCCCTCCTAGTGCCATTGCAGGTGCTGGTGTTTTGCACAATTCGCTACACTGCCCTGTGGTCTGATGAGCTGACAAGGGGCAGGCACCAACTCCGGAGATAAAGTAGTTGATCACGGTTGATGAATGTTATATACTGTCTACTGCGTCTCACACCGTCAAAGGTTTGAGATCGGAGTCTCATGAAAAGATAGGAGATATATGGAATGTGCAATGGAGAGGGCGCAAGCAGCGACCAAGCACAACTTACGAACCAAAGGAGGATTCCAAAGTTCTTGTTCTGCTCTTGACGCTGAGCTCAGGATCGTTAGACCTTAGCTGCCCATGCACCACTGCCAGGTTTAGCATTTTCCGTGATGGTCAGCCACTGGATCCTGAGCACTTTGGATTGCAATCCGTCCGTGCCATGCAGAAGGGCTTGAAGAACGTGGCAGTCAGAGACTCAGATGAGAGAGCTGTGCTACCGGTGCGCTGTCGAGCTGGAGAGTGTTTGGGGAGATGGGGCTGCAGAAGTTGTAATTAAACACAAAGAGCTGGAATGAGCACTCCCCTAAGTCCTATGCAGTCCAATTAGTTATCGGTGAGCATTTTAAAACCTCCTTTTTATATCTTTTTATTGGAAATATCGAGGATGGATTGACACAGCGTAGAGCGCAGCTGAATCCTGGTGCGCTTTGAGGTCATGACCATTATGGACGACCCAGAAGAGGGTCCCCACGTCTACGAGGCCAAGCCGAACAGCTGCCGACAGATGTCGGCACCACATGGGATAGTATAATAATGTATAAATATGTATAATAACCCGCACTTCATTTTAGCTTGGCTTGCACCTTAACACTGCCATTGCATTGCCGGCCCAGAAAACGATAAGAGTAGTAATAAAAAAATAATGACGAGCTTATCTTATACATGTACATGTTCTTGGGCCAAACGACAACAAAAACGATAACGCAATATGAACAAATTGGAGCGTTTGGGCGGATACCCACCTGACCGACCGGTTTGAGCATATCAGCTTTGGAAGACCTGTATCTTTGATACATGTCATGTGGTTTTTCGGAAGATGGCATCATGGTTTCTGCCAGCTCAAAGCTGTGAGACTCCTCGTTGTAGCTGGCTTGGAGGGTCATCGAAGCAGAATAGCCGAAACAGTCAACCTACAAGTAGCTCACCATAGCTCACCCCTTCAGATCTGGGCCACATGGATCACAGGTTCGCGCAGCGGTGACCACCGAAGATGGGCAAACCCGAGTGTGTCATATCGACCCAGCACCTCGACAGCTGGGGCTGCTGAAGCTTCCTGCCAGCGCAGTGTCAGGGCCCAACAGGCACCAGCTCGGGGGGGTGGAGAGGCATAAGAACACGCAGGGAGGGGAGAGATGTCCCAGTCCCATGGGTTTTAAATGGTTTTAATACCACAATCAAAGGTGACAGGAGCATGAGCATACCATGTTTGATTGGATCATAGAATCATAGCTGTCACATGTATTCACATGTCATTTTTCCCGCTGGTTGGTTGGTGGAGAAGAAGGAACGGTTTTCACACTTCTTCACTAAGAAATCCAACAAATTTGGTAGGTGGGGATTTAATGTGATTTACAGCAATACATGTAATTCCCCACATCAAAAAACACGTACACGTTTCATCACGTTTCCAGACGTGGATCATTTGCTGACCCCTCCAGGATGAGGGAGGCCGCGATCATCGAAGAGGACCGGTGGACAGAGGTGCCTGGCCTTTCGGTGACGGTCACCACCAAGAAATCCCAGGAGAAGGTGCTCTTAGCTCCTTGGCGCGACAGCAATCGGGCTCCAAAGGGTATCTCCTGGTGATATGAGTCATAGATGAGTCATAGCATGTCATAGCTGATATCTGGCACCCGTCAGATTTGGAAGATTTCGGATGTGGGGTTGGATATATATATATATATATGAATTGGGACCTCGTTTGACCACTTTGGACCCACTTATCAGGGTTTGGTGGGACCCAACCGGCCTCATAGGGGTATGTTCAGCTGGATGGCTCATGGTATCGCATCCCAAGCGTGGGGTTCGGACGATGAGTTCAATAACGGGCTTCAACTGCCCAAGGTTTGGAGTACGAATTTCAATCCAGAAGAGTTGAGCTATGAAGCCTACTTCACAGTTGCTCGGCAGCTACCAGTGCGGAATGCTTTGCAATTTGAACCCAATTTAACATATAATATATAATCATGTTATATATTATATGATACCTGGTAACCCTCCAGATTGCTTTTTTCTGCTCTGTTTTAAGAAAACGTTGTTTTTTGCCATTTTGAACGCAAAAAGTGCTCTGGAACGGTTTTTTCCAATCCGAATGCTTTTTTACGCTCTAGAGGTGTTTTCCTTGCAAAATGACTAAATCATAACATTTGGCATGATATCTTACGATGGCCTCCAAACTCAAGCTGACTGGCTGTTGTTTGTAGAAAACACCAATATAAAGCTGATGTGTGTATATATATATATGTGTGTGTGTGTGTGTATAGTCTTATAGAGGGAAACAACTGCAGGCTATCAGCTTCGCCAAGCCAGCATGATCTGGGTAAGGTACCGGTTGAAGGTACGCAATGCCATCAAGCGAGGTGATACATGTCTGGTTATGTAGGCAGCATGCCCAATAAAGTCCTCATCCAGACTGCAACTCTCTACATTGGATTCAAAACCCATTGACTGAACTTGGCTTGGTGTTCCATGAGGAAAAGAATCTCTTCCAGTGGGTGAATCTTTGGAATCAGGGGAAATTTCATCTGACCTTTCTCACGCGATCTAGCAGGATTTGGGATTGTGAGGCTTATACTGCTGAAACAAAAAACCAACCACAGGACTGAGACGTTTGCTTTGCCAACTGACAAATTATATAATTGCCAATCAAAAGCTATAAATGCATGCACATCCCAGTCAGTAAAACTGATGTAAATTGAAAAGGGGTATATGAGTCTCAAAATACCTTCAAAATTATGGTGTAACCTCTAGTACACTGCGGTAAAATCTTTTCCAGCACGTCAACTGCGGATAGTAAATCTGAAAAGGGTCAATGTTTTGAATCAAGTTTTCCGAGAGTGGTCCAGGTGACTTTGGGGACGGCATGGTTTGGATCTTGAAAAGTCTTTCATTTTACGTAAAATTGTGCGTAATGTCGAACGGTTTCGAACGGGTTTCGAACGGTTTTCGAACGCTTTTTGAACGCTTTCGAACGGGTACGCTTTTTTTACGCAATTGGATTTGAACGGTAATTTCCAATCTGAACGCTTTTTTTACGTAATTTTACGCTTTTTTTTCAATCCGTTTTTTCCATTTTTTTATATTTTTTTAGTTTTTCTTAATTTTCTCTTTTTTTTTTGAAAACGCTTAAAAACCTGAAGGTTCCTGTTTATTTTCCATTGTGGGTCAAAAAATCCCAGATAGCCACCATTCAAACCATGACAAAAGTGACAAAGCCAATATTTGGCAATCCATGGGTGCTCCCGGGTCAACATGCCCCCCTGACCATTCAGAAAAATGAAGTTTACAATTTCAGGGTTCCCTGCAGCTGCCTACCTGTCCCTCAAAACCATTTGATCGAATATATGTAGGCAGTGAAATTGTTTCAAAGCATTTTGTTGGTATTTAGGGTATACCTTTCCCCATAACCACTCTGATCAAACTTGATCACAGTCTTGTTGGAAAGCATTGCTTCCATTCCTCCGGGAGCCGGAGGTTGACATTCCCACGAAGGTATTTAATTACCTCTATGAGTTTGGCCTCAGACCAATCAGACCATTCATAATATATATAAATTGAATTTGGGAACAGGACATGTAATTTTGTCCCTTGGTGCGCTATATTATTGTTTCTCAATCCCACATGTTGATGATTACAAATATATATATATAGTGTATATGCATGTGTTTGTATGCATGTGCAATTTTCAGGAAACCTCTATGTATTTTTAATATCATATATATATATTTATATATATATACATATATATATGTATATGTAAATATATACAAACATCTCCCTCTATACAGTTATGTTCACCTGAGATTGGAAATGATGTACCCTAAAGACCCAAGAATAGCCTCGAACGGTAAAAAGTGCTCTAGAGCACTTTTTTCTACACTGTTTGCAAAAAACCAGGTTTTCTGGAAACAGAGTTGTTTTTTCCAATCTAAGGGTTTAGCAGGTATTTGTTTATATATGTCGTTTATTTAGTTTAACAATGTTCAAGCTATTAGGCTTATGGTAAAGCACAGCGACAGCAGTAGTTCCATAAGGTACTTCATTAAATTGATAGTTTTAATTCTACATCGGACTATTCAGATGATGGTGGATGTGGACCATGCAGACAGGTTGTCCTGTCATCTCACCGGACAGTAAGAGCCACCAACGCTGGACTGCAAGGTCATGCGTTCAAGCAGCAGCAGTGGACCAAAGAACTTGGGAAGTGACCAGCAAGGCTTGTGGTCAGTGGCCAGCTCCGCATCAGGCTCCAATGCAACTTGGCTGAAGGTGTTTGAGTCGCACTGGCATTTTACAATGCATTCCAACAGGTTCCAAGTTTGGACGGTAAATCCAGCTCGACATCATTGATACTCTGATCACGAAAGGTAGCTCCTGTGGTGCTACATTGAGTTTAACTTTACAAAGTAAAGGGGAGGCTGGCCAGCCCAGTTATATACCTAATTATTCAGGCGATTGCCGTTCATTTTAGATACCCCGCCCACCCCCCCATCAACCCCTTAACGAACCCTAAAAGCAGATCCAAAACACTGTGATTTACAGTGTTTTGTGCCTTTGGCATGGAAAAAGTAGTTCTTGCAACATGCCAAAAACTTCGTTAATTAAGTTAATACCAGTGTTTTTGCTAGGTGCTGTCCAAAAAAACACTGTCAATACCGTGGTTTTTGCTACCAGGGGCAAAAAACTTTCGTAAATACCTCGTGGCTTTGGGCTTCCGAGGCGCAAAAAACATCAGTATTTATAGTGTTTTGCTCCGAGAGTCTCAAAAAAACGCGAGAACACCACCTATTTGACGATTTTCGGCCACTACGAGACTGAGAAAAAAGTTTCAGGGGTAACAACAACAACAACAACAACAACACCAACACCAACACCAACAACCAACAACCAACAACCAACAACCAACAACCAACAACCAACAACCAACAACAACAACAACAGTAACAGTAACAGCAACAGTACCGTTGTTTTTGGCCTGTGAGGCGCCAAAAACATGGAAATGTCAGGCGTTTTTACCCCTTGTGGGGCCTTGCGCGCATCACCGACATCATCAACAACGCAACGACAGCAAGCATTTGAGTTTGGATTCTTTTGTTCATTGTTTTTGCGATTTTGCTGTGGTGACGCATTTTGCACCGATACGCTTCTACAAACAGACGACGTTACGTATAGAAACCTTTACACAGAGCAGCTTTTATGCGCAGATACTTATATATATATATATACTCTTACACAGCGAGGTTTGTGCGATTTTACACGCAGACGCCTTTACACACAGAGGCTTTTACACAAAGAAGTTTTACACACACAAGTTTTATACACCGATGCTTTGCACAAAGGTGCATTTACACGCATAAATAAACGCACACAGGCACTTTTACACACAGAGCCTTTTACACAGAGAAACCTTTGCACGGAACAGTTTTTACACAAAAAAGAATTACACAGGAAAGGTTTGATACCGAAAAACTTGCCCACACAGACTGCACAAAAAAAACACCGAAACTTTTACGCGCAGAAACTTTACCCAGAGCAACTTTTACACACAGAAACTTTTCCGCACAGAAGCCTTTACGCACAGAAGTCTTTATGCACAGCAGTTTTTACACAGGCCCTTTTACCCACAGATGCCTTTACACAGAAAACTTTTACACACAGAATCTTCTGCACACAGCACACTTTTACACACAACCAGCTTTTACACGGAGAGGCTTTGCTTCCCCTTCTTGATCACCTGCTTTTCGTGTTCCCCGTCTCAAGTGCAAGCTAGAAGCAACATTACCGCGTTGTTACGTCGTTCCTGGTATAATTCCCATCATCTTCAGGCAATCAGAGCCTGCAAAAAAAAGGCCAAAGAGCCACTCAAAACAAGGCATGAAGCCCTCAATCATCATATGGTAATTAGATGTAATAAGATGTAATAAGCATCAATTATGTAATATTGGGAGTAAAATCCCGCTCTCCCCATTTGAGGAGTATCCAGCCTCAATGAGTCTGGATTCACCTGGGGTTGGCTGCTTTACCTACACCGTCTATTGCCGCACACGCAGATGTGGAGCCTTGGCGCGACCTTCCATCAGCACCCCTTGGCTGGGAAAATGAATGAACATTACCTGTATATGCTGGCATTTAAATGTAGTGTAGTTGTATATATGTATACATTTATGTGTATATATATATAATTACGGGTATGCAAATAAATAAATGAATCAAAAAACGGATTTTATGTGTATAATATGTATATTATAATATATATATATATATGTGTGTGTACATATGTGTGCGATTATATGCGGAAACAATTGAGGAATTTCCGGCTCTTACCAGAAATTGACTTGACTGGGAATTGTGAGGGAATGTGCGGAATGTGGAGTGTAATTAGGGCGTTTGTTCTGATACCTCGGAAACAACAGCAAGCAATCTTGCTGTTGCCATTATTTGCCAGCCTACTTCCAATAGATGGGCACGTTCCTTCAGACCAAAATACATCAAAATGACATATCATGACTATCCCCTGAGGCAATCTTACAGAGCCAACCAGAGTGGAGGTGGGACCAGATGGCCACATTTCTGCCGCGGTCCTCAATGCTAAAGCCGCAGAGAGTCGCGACCTCAGATGTGCGAGCTGGACCTTGCCAGTGCAGCAGAACGCAGCGGTGTTGTTGAAACATGTTGACTGAAACCAGCACCACCACATGGTTGAAGGATATTATATATATAAGTTATTGTAGATTATATACATTTTGTCATATTTTGTCATGGTACAGTGCTCATTCCAATGATCATCGATCCCATGTGGGTAACAACCTGGAGCCATGGACCTGACTATGCTACCCGTTGAGATGATGCATCCTGAGGTCGCAATGTCGTTGAGATGATGGGAAAGGAGATGGATGCAGCAAGAGGCGAGCAGTAGCCTGGGCTCGCTCATCGGTACCCAGGAAGATGGCATCCCCGAGAATCTCAAGTGTCGCACATGGATGCAGCAGAATCATAGACTTGTTCCATCTTGTTCCTAAATCTGACATTATTGGGGGAATTGTTGTTGATTGGCTTGAGAAGCTGTTTGCAGATATCATGCGCTCTTTCTGGCCGCACTTTCTAGTCTTCTGGAGTTATCCATGGGAGAGTTAGATCTTCCTCTGACAGCGCGCGCTGGTGGAGAAAAGTGCAAAAAGTGGAAGCAAGATGACGCCATAGCACCATGACCCAGACATACGTGGACTATCTTACAAGGGGTTGCCAAAGTCTACCAACACTTGCCCCCCCTACAGTTGGAGGCAGTTCTCACCAAGTGCTTCCAGCTGTCTCTTTTGTTGGGGTTGCAGCTCCAATGGCAAGCACTAAGGATCACCACATCCGGGGTCTATGATGAGCTGCACCGCTGTGCGAATCCTAGCCTTCTGTAGCAGCATCAGTTTGATCCAGGTAGCGAGTTGTAGCCAAAGATAGAACAGACATGAATCTAGTCAATGTGGTTTTAGTTTTGTCAAGTTTTACTCACCAAGTGTTGTTTTAATTAGAATTAGATTTAAACAATGAAACAACATAATTGCAAACGCGCTAAAGATATGTTGAAAGGATTTCAGAATGGAAAGGCACCATGTGTCACAGCCTGACCTCAGTTACGCGCAGGCTCCATGGGCATTAGTGCCTTGTCGAAGGGCACTGGTGGCGGAACATGCGTTGTGGATTGGGAATCAGGCCGCACGGCCGCCATGGCTGCCACGGCTGCCACATGTTCTCCATGTGATTTGGATTCGGATCACATGCTCCGCTTTGTCGCTGTTGGCTGATCAATTTCAGGGCCACAAAGTGGGCATTCCCGTCGGACTATACGCGGTGTTAGCCATGAGCTCACGTCTGGTTGGTGTGCTGCGAGCATGGCGACACTGTAAAGTCCCGGATGGCACTGCAGAGCAGTGGAAGCACTATCTGGATTTATGCGGGTGCCATGGCAAGAGCAACTGCCTCCAAAAAATTATAAAAAATGGAGGGCATACAGCATACATATACCTATATAATCCTACATATGCATGTACAATATATTATAATATACAATATTATTAATCAATATACTTGCAATATATTATAATATTATTCATATATTATTTCATATATATATATTCAACAGCCTAGCTCAGGTACCCCCTAATTGGTGCTTTTCTGCCTGTGCTTTCGATGCTCCGCATAGGACTTGGCATGGGACCTGGAAACGCTTCGCCCCTGGTGAGAAGCAGAGCTTGAGACCACAGGAGCAATTTCAAGCCGTTTGCGCGCCCTGTGTGGCCGCGGATGGCGAATCGGTCCATTCCACCTTTGCTTTGGACACGTTTTGGGCCAATGCGGTGCTGTTCAATGTGGTGCTGCTATGTGCTGCTTATTATTCCGATTGTTTTCCCCATCTGATTTTCATCGATAAATATTCCAGATTGCATGCAGTGTTTTGAAGGTTTCAAGCTTTCCATGGTCTCAGGCAGAAGTGCATGGCAGTTTGCCCAGGTACATCATGTGAATCGCTATCCGCCAAATGTTGCGCCAAAGCCTGGTCGATTGGCGGACGGCTTGACAGAGGCAGGAACTTCTTCACTGACTTCACAATGATTTCTCATTCTCCGAATTTCTCCTGATGGTTGGGAAAGCCTTGGGCAGATGCATCTTACAATATGATGTACTGCTACGTTTCATGCTGCTGCAGCTGTAGTTTTCTTGGCCAATGTGGGATGTCAATAGTCTGCAGGTGGATTTCGGGCGTTACGACAAGACCAATTTCCTTACACCTTTTGGTCCCCATTCTCGTGCCACCTGGGATGCATTGATCATCGCCCATGGTTATACCATGTTCTACCCTACTTGCCCATACTTGCCCCATTTCTTCCCCCAACCCCTCGCACACGGCAATAGGTATAATGGGCAAGTCTCACTGTTCACTGATGTTCACTGTTCACCATTCTCGACTTCCAAGAGAAGAAAACAGGTGACACTTTATATATATACATATACTGTACATACATTTTTGTTGTAAATATATGTAAATATATTATCAATAATATATCTAACGTATTTTGAATTTATGTAATAGTTATTGCAGTATTATTTGCATTTGAATCTTTTTGAATGCTGAATCCTTCCAGATCTTCAAGACCTTTGGGGTTCCCAGGCTGCCTATGGCCCTGGCTGGGCTGTTATGTGGCCCTCGGCACCTCAACCTGAGCGTCTTGCCGTGGAGCTGATCTCGAAAGTGGGAGATCAACGGCAGCGGCTGGTGGCAATGTGGCGCGGCCAGGCGTCACCAAGTCTGGGCAGAGTGTTCCACCACATATATATGAATATATAATTATATATATATAATATTGTCATTATTCATCTACATATATATATATAATTATATATATATAAATATAACATAATTATGCACATATATACAGACGTTATTTATTTACTTAATCTGATTGTCACTCCGTGCAGATAGGAAAACATGTTCTGCCAAAGTTGCATTGAATGCCAAGAACGCAAGATTAACAAGAAAATGTCAGAGACAGCAAGCAGCGCTTTCCATACATCACAATTTCCAGGGTGAAGATTCCCCGAAGCTGAGTATGGTGACATCTATCGTGGAGTCGCTGGACAAGAAGCCGCTGCTTGTCCTGGGAAAGTTTGTTGATGTTGGCCTCGTGAGTGGATGTGTTTAACCTCAGGTTTGTGCAACAACTGAGCGGAGATGGGGATATCAACGCAGATCCTGGGCAGATTTGGGCGGAATCCTGGAGTTTCAAAAGTGGATAGACATTGATGAACAGGAAGTCAACAAAGGTGTGCGTATGTGTGTGCGTGCGCTCGCGCGTGTCCTCGATTCTGTGTAGCTATGGATTCTTGTCGCTAACATCATCTTAAATGTGATGCTCCAAAGAAGATCTTTCGGACTGTACAAATTGGTTCTGAGGAGGAGAATTGGTACCCGCTTCATGCCTCAGCATGGGCTTTCTTGCCGTGGCAGCTAACTGGTCAAGACATACAGGCAAAGTTGCTGGGATTGGGGTTTTCGGTGAATAGGTTTTACATTTACAGAGACAGAGATTCTCACTTCGAGCTCTATTGAAGCCACAGAACGATCAGAAAGCCTCTCAACTTTGTAGCAGACCCCTGTTTTATGTGTTTATGTGTTTTATGCGCGTTGCTCCCACGCTGGATGGTTTTGTATGTGTTTGTCACCCATGGTCACCGCAGGTGGGATTGGCTTGGCAGGGAAAGGATGACCTGCACGGTATTATCGCTGATATTGCTGAGGGTCAATTGCGCAGCATCCAGGTTTCTGAGAGCTGAACGATGGGAAGATCTGGGAAGATCTGGAAAGGAATGGGAAGGCTCTGGCACCCGCATCCTCGTCGTTTACAGGAAGCTCATCTCAGTTCGGATTGATTTAATGCGACAGATGCAAGTTTCACCTTGAACGTAGACATCCTTAGACCATCTCACCCATGGGCGCCCTATAGGCGTCCTAGGCTTTGAAGACAGACCAGCAGCTTGGAGATGCTTGGAAATGGAGCTTGGCGCAGCGTCCCCAAAAAACCTTAAATGCTCCATTGCTCCATGCACATGTTTTTGTTGCGTCGTTTCATGTTCCATCTACAAATCCAAAGTGCGAGAGAGATATCATTGCGATATGCTTGAAGTTGTCCACACAGGGTTGGGTGTGGCAGGGGAAAACGACAACTTTTGGAGGTCGGATTGTGGAAGCATCGCCAGACCTCATCGATTGGTGGGGCCCGGGCTCCTAGCTGATTCACAAATCACCAAAGCTCGAACATTGGGAATGTTATCGGATGTTGTGGGTCCTTGATAGATTTTGATATTTTTGATGGCTGTCGGATGCCGGAATGATTTTTTTTTCCATGTCTTGGCTTTGGATTGGAGACGTAGCGGAATGCGGAAGAGATACTGGTCGAGCCGGAAAGCTGCATGGCTTTAATTTATATATAAAGTGTGCCCACTGGATCTTGGGTAATTCGATGAATTTCGATGATATTCACCCTCTGTCCGTCAAGGTGATTACTCTCCCAGGATGCGTTTCGAAGAGTGGCGGCCTTTGTGCTTCTATTTTTTCCGTGAAATTTGGCTTATTCAGAAACAAAAGTCCACATTGTAGGGAAACAATTGTGAGAGATACATGCCCAGCCAACCTTCTAAGGTTGTTCCGCGACCCTGAAGACAAGGCCTAGATCAGTTGATTCATATTGAAGACATACTAATAAAATCATTAATGTTTTCAGTTTCATAGGACCTGTAGCGTGCTGTGCTTGGCATGGGACAGTGCCAGGGGCCGTGTGTTTTGCTTACAGTCAAGTGCTGTAATATGAATTACAGTAATATGATACAATATGATATAATGTATTATATATTGATATATATGGATATATATGGATATATGGGTATATATCCTTGACTTACCCATTGTAAACGGGTCCCAATGATCCACCACAAGGGTTTAGTTTTACAAAGGTTTTGGTCACCCACCCCCATTGTAAAACCATTGTTAGTATCCACGAAAGGGTTAGCTCAAAGAATTTCAATATGCAATAATATGCAATAATATGCAATAATATGCAATAATATGCAATAACATGCAATAACATGCAATAATTAATATGCAGTAATTCTTGGATTGTCTTTGCCCCCTACCAGATGATCCAGACGCGCGTACAGACATATTACTGTACATGGATCTTAGATACTTTCTTTGCGCCTTTGATATCCTTTCGTTCTACACTGATAAGGGTCATTACTTGCAGTAAACAGTGTGGCCTTTCGGACGCTCCTCAAGTGATGCAGCCCTTTTTGACTCTCAGAAAGTTGGAGGTATGAGCATAGCTTGAGATTGTTTTGAAACGCATTATTTAGTGGCTACCTGTTGGTCCAAATAGGAACATACTGCTGTAATTACTAGCGGTTGAAAGTAACCGAGAGTAGCCAGAGGTGAAGCATACAGTAAGCGACGCAAGATGTTTGACTGCATTATATATTGATACATATCGATCATATCGTCTAGTTGTGGGTTGATGTGTCACACACACATTATATACTCGTACCCATTTGGGGTTCATCTCTCCAGCTCAATCGCACATCGCTGCATAGTGATCCAATGTGATCGCAGGACGAGATGTTCGAAGCATTCAGCTTCAACCCATTTCCTTACATCTGGGAACCTCGCGGCCGCACTTTGCCTGCAAGAGATCAGGCCGCTCCCATGGAATCGCTGACAGCAGTCCGCACTAAGGTGGAGAAAATGGATATTCAACCCGTTCGGTCCCCAGATGGCTTGCAGTGATTTTTTTGGCAGCTAAGTGCTCAATTTTCGCATTCACCTGTTTCAGAAATTTTGAACATTCGGGCAGTTTCATTTCTTGTCGTGCCTACTAGTGCACCCAGTGGATGGCCTCGATGGTCAACAATCCTTCAGACTTTCGAGGGGTCGGCTGATTTCTAATGGATCAAAGGTGACTTCTTCAAGCGGCTCTGGCCACTGGGAGGAAAGAAAGAAAGTGAGCCACGTCGGCGAGGAGTTCAAGGCTGGGTGCCTTATGAGGTGATCGGTAGACACAGTAGACACGGCCTTCCCGCCATATGGCGTCTCTTCAAAACCAATAACTCATATAACTCCAGAACTTGACTGTACTGGTACTGGCACCTACATTTTCCCGTCGTACTGGTACTGTTCCCTTTACCTTTCTAGCAGTTTCTTGTTTTCTTGATTCCCTGCATGTCTTTTTTATTTCAGTATCCTTTTCCTTTCGCACCTTTCATCTCAGTCGTTTTGCTTTGCTTTCCCTTCTTTGCGATTGAACAGGAGGCAGAAGGTGCTGGGCCCACCTCAGATCATTTCTTTGTCCTTTCATTGCCGCCATCTTGCTTCAAATACTTGTTTATGTTTGGACTAGGTCGGACTAAGCCTTGGTGTTTACCTTCATGTTTGCTAGCTCTGTTTGAATCTATTTACATTTCAGTTCAGACCACGTCACCTTTTATTCTATTTCTTGTAAATTTACTTTCCCTCCTTTTCTCATCATACGGCCTCACATTTCTTCATTATACCTTCTCTGTGTTTCTTGTTTAATGCCGGTGTCTATTTTCCTTCCAATTCCCTTCTGTGTCTTAATCTTATTACGTCTTGATTTCACGTCTTTCCAATCCAATCGTCCTCACTGACATTGTCCCCTCCCTTGCACTGCCTGATTTCTATTGTGCCAATTTTCATGTGTTGGTGTTCTTCTATTTTCCCATCATGTTCCATTGACTTTCACAATGGCAAGAGGAACAACAACATGGATACGGAGGGGTGTAGCAGTCTAGCATGAAAGAACAAAACAAGGAATGAACAGAAAAAGAAAAGACAAGACAAGACAAGTGCAATGAAAGGAACATGAAAGAAGAGCATTACCAATGAAGGCAGGTCAAGTAAGAGGACGAAGACAAAAAAGGGGCTACAGAGCGACCAGAGACAATATTAGGGAAGTGTTCAAGACTAGGAGCGCATCCATTGTCATCCGACCAGGATTAATGTAAACTTATCTGATCTTGAGCCGTTGGGAGGTCACTTCGATGCGCTGCGCCCACACTGCCGATGGGACTGTGAGGGGAACCCAGGGGATGCCCAGTCAATGCCAGCCCAATGCTTTAGCTGCTTAGTTTTGTAGCAGACTTGTGAAACTTAGTGGCTTAGTGTCTCTGGGTCATCAGTTGTGTCACGTTCAGGATCATAATTCAGGATGGCTCAAATACAGATGACAAGGCGTGAAGTGCCTAAAGCCTAAAGCATGGCATCATGAGTTTCAGCACGCCATGTACATCCATGTACTATAAGTAGTGAGTAGTGAATTGATCGCATTTACAAAGGACTAACATAACGCATAACGTGGCGCCCGAGCCAGCCCTTCAACAGACGCAGCATGGCAGCCACGATGTAGCCTGCATGTTGGCCGAAAGGCAGCTTTAGCCAACTGGATATCAAAATCAGATCGCACATCGCACATCGCAGATCACACTCGCAAATTGCTCACGGCTCGGAACGTCCCCGTGGTGCTGTGATAAAGTCTCCAACACCACGGGGGTGCCATGTTTTCCGCAGACGCCTAGTCGCAATGATTGTCACTCAAGTATTGTCTAAGATGGCCCAACAATGTAGTGTATGGAGTTTTGGGGTAAGAAACGAAATGAGAGACCGAGAATGTATTGAAAACCAATCGAGGTAACAAATGAATCAACATGGATATACTGTAAGTGTAAAAACTATGTGAACTATCTAGCCATGTGTAAGGGGTCCTGAGATTTCTAAGGAGTTCCTGTACCACAACACAGCCTAAGCGGCTGGAAGTGGGGCAAAATTGGTTAGTGTCTTGATGTGCTTTTTCCCTTGGATTTCTTCACCAAGGATGTGTGGAACAATCTTGCAGGAGGCTTTTGGTGCCAAAACTCAAAAGCCACTGTAGCTGACGAAGTGCCACTGAGTTCTGTGCGTCTTGGCTGGAATGCATTTCCGGCAATCCCACCAGCACCCAAGTATTAAAGTATTAAACCCCGACTGGTCTAGTATTGGATATTCATTTGGACCCCTTATTGATCCTTATTGAGGGGTACTTAATATTTGGTAGATGGGACTGACGTTGTTTTCTTTGAGGTTGACAGACGAGCTCCATGATAATGAGGACAAGTGGAGCGACGAGGACCATCTTTTGGCGTAGACATGATATGACATGATTACTGTTTGAGGAGCATTCCTATGGCATTCCTATTTGTCCCTGCTGCTTTGCGTTATTTTGCGTTGATGTCCCCTAGTCACAGGATGCCATCCATGATCATCCATGCATCCATGGAGCATCTCATCCCATCACGGAAAGTGTATCGCGCTTCAGGAGCTCACCAAATGCTTTGAGCAGGAAGCTTGCAGGATAAAAGGCAGCTTGCAGAATGTGGATTTCGAGGACATGGCCCCTCGGACCTGGAGAGGCTCTGCCGAAGGAAAGACTCTTTCCGACTTGGAATCTTGTGCGGAAGATGTGTCAATATATGTGTTGAACACGTTGCACGAATACAATTCAGCATTTCAAAGCTTCATAATTGAGCAAGGTACATAGCAATATGATACAAGCTCGCGATGTCATTCTCACCACCCACACTTTGCTTGCTAGCAGGGCCGGTTGTCAAAGGCAGACAACGCTCAGGAAAAGGACACTGCCAGCTTCAGCTACTGTATTCAAGAAAGTCAAACAGGCTGCCAACAGCAGATCATAGCAGATCCATAATATGAAGAACTCCTCCCGTCGCCACAAAGGAAATCTCAGGCACTTGTTACTGCAAAATACTGCAAGCCTGGTTCAGTTTATATCCAGCCACACAAGTTTGAAAGAGTTCCACAGGACTGGGATGTCCACTGGTGACTTGTTAAGGCGACAGCTTTGTCCACACGATGGCTGAAGCGGCTGGAGAAGGATGAAGACAAGAAACGCAAGGTTGGATGTCCAGTGGTGTGCTTCCATTGGATCGCACAAGCTGCGTCCTTTCTGCAACAAAGTCTTGCACACTTTATTTGCAAACTGGAATGCCCTCCAGGGTCGGCATGCTCGAGCGTTTCTTCGAAGTCATGCACTAGAGACTGCCTCAGATTTATGGGCAAACTTACTGGATGAGTGGATGAGAGCTCTGGCCATGAGTCAGCTCTGACTGCCACGACAAACGCCTAGGGTTGTCCATTAATTTTGGTCACACATTTTGTCAAGACATGTCAAGACTGGCCTTCAGGGGCATCCCATCTCTAACCCCAGCGTTGGATGAGTCTTCAACCGATTTCGGTGCTGAGGACATTCTCCTGTCTTGCTTGACCAAAACAGAGGCGCATTGGGCGGTCAGCTTCGCGGTAAACTGGATCTAGAAGTCCGAAAAGTGTCAGCAACATCCACCAACAAGTATACAGGATGCATCTATCGAAATCTTTATACCTACCTCATCCAGAAATGTAAACATCCATCGATTGATAGATCAATTTGAGGACGTTAAACTTATACACAAATAGTAGAATTAGTAGAATTAAATTTATTGTGATTATTCTAAAGAACATGTAACATATAGTTGTATGAAACATATATGAACATATATGATTCATATGTGCATCTTGATCGACCCATGACACCACGGGATGGCCCTGCCCCAGGTGGGGCGCACTGCTATCTTCGTGGCCGCCGGCCTTGACCCTGACAGGGAAAGCATTGAGAGCTGCTTGGCAGTACGGCCAAACTGCACCAGGAAAAACATAAAAAATGATTTCTCTATCATTATCTATCTATATTTATTTTTTTTTGAAAATTAGGCAAGTAAAACTGTACATACATAACATATCATAACATAACAACACATTACATTACAGATTACGTCGCGTCAGATTGGATCTTATGCATCACATCACATTGCATTACATTACATCACATTACATCACATCACATTGCATTACATCACATTGCATTACATCAAATTACATTGCATTACATCACATTGGATCTTGTGCATCACATTACATTACATCATATATATATATATATCATAATACATGACACCACATTACATTACGTCACATTACATTACATTACATTGCATTGCATCACATCACATTACATGACATTACATTACATTGCATTACATTGCATTACATCACATTACACACTTACAATACATATATATATATATAGAAATACATAAGTATGTATATTATATGTATGCATAATATGTTCCAGGTGCTGGGCGCCAGATGGATATGAGTAGTATATAGGTTTTATATAATAGGCATACAATGGGTATTATACCAATTGTTGATATCAGTGATGTCTATGTACGCTATGCATTGTATATGGATAGAAAAGGAAGTACTCACAGTGAGTGGTAACATAGTAATCTGTATAAACAGCATGTGAGCGAATCATCCCCAACCCAAGATCACAAGTGAATCAAAACGCAGAAGAAATTATCTATTCAATCTATTCCAACTTGAAGACCAAAAGGCACTACGAATTGGAAAACGATAGGGGACGTCCTAACTTACAGTGAAGACACACCTCAACAATACAATATAGAGCCTGCCTCATGTAGGATCATGTGGTACTCGTCGTAGATATATAATTAGGGTAGCACCTAGGTAGCATGTAGGTAGCATGTAGATAGCATGTACATAGTTAGCAAGAGGCTCCCAATTCTGCAAATACAGAAGCATGCAAATGGAAGATTTCGTGCGGGGAGAGGCGGGAGCATACCATCTTGGGGGTCCAGGAATGTCCAGGGACCAGGATCATACACATAATTTATCCATAATAATAATATATATATATATATATATTATACACCTATCACAAAACGCATCTAATAATGGATGCGATACCAAAAAGGCGGCCCAGGGTTTGGGGCCCTCAACTCTTTGACATCTCCATACGCTGCGCCATGCTGCGCCCTTCCGGGCTCCGCAGTTGAGGTGCGGCCATCTCTCCTGCAGTGCCGCTGCGGCTGCTTTTGTCCAAGACCTCGGCCTTTTGGCAGAGATGGGGTTCGACATGGCAAGCTGGATGCCCCCATATGATCATCCATGATATCCATGATGCACAGGGTTGGTTGCTATTGCTGTTGCACAGTTCACTGAGGATGTTCCAAAAGCCTCCTGGCTGCAAGACTGAAGGATGACTTTTTACAGACTGTCTCACAGTTGTTGAGAATGATATTGTTTAAAGGGCAACTGGTTGGTGCCCCCTAAGGTATTGGCGTGACTACTGCATTCATGATTTGTTCCTGCAAACTGACATGAGATATATGAGATCAGTTGGTTTCAGGTCTTGATGGACTCCTTGCTGAATTTGCTGTCCTCTGTGGGCAAACCAGGCAAGGCGCTGACCCGGAATTTGGCTTGTTGGATGAGGTACCAGTTGAGTGGTGGGTGCATTTGCATTTCTCATTTCATAATATTTCATACAGCGTTTGATGAAATCGATATCCTGGTAGCCCCTATTGGTTCGTAAAGTCCTCCATGACACAAGATGCCAGGTAGTGAAGCTACCCCGACAGATATGCAATGGGTGCGGTGCTTAGGGGAGCTCTTGACTATCTTTACTTCGCCCAAATCCCAAACCCATTCTCCCTTTGCAGAGCATCGGCCAGATCCACTAAGCCCGCTTGTTTGGAGATACGGGTTTGGAACGGGCCCTTTGTGAAAGAAAGGCTTTCTCAAAGTTCTTCTAGTCAGACTGAAATGGGTGCTTCTCAACTTTATAATACACTGCTGCTTTGACAAGATCCCATTCCTCTATTCTGGGGTCAGGCCGGTAGTGGTTCACAGATGGCATGAAGGATTCAGACAACTGACACCACTACGATCCTGGTAGTTTGTGATGACGAGGGTAGCTGGGCCGATGCCGCACCCCGTTGGGTGGAAACTAGCCCATGTCGTCGAAGTGGACAAAAAGCTCCATCTGTAATCCTTCAGATGAAACAGATGGAGGGAAGAACGGTGCCCTTGAAGAAGAGGATGAAGTTGAAACTTGTTGAATCTGTGACACATTAGTTTTGGTTCGAAGTCGAGTATTAGGTCTAACACTGATGTGCGAAGGTGAATTCTGCACTGGCTGTAATTGATGTCTTTGCGGGTCAAATGCATCTCGAACCCTGCTAAATGCACTTCGATAATCTTCTCGATACATACTATCACTTACCCATCGAGGAGGAGTGACCTCCCGAGCATGCACTCCAGTGCATTTGCGTTGCTTTTTAATGTTGTAGCAGTTGTTCCAGTGAAAGGTAGTTGAACAGTGTAAGCATTTAATTTGTCCCGGTGGGCCTCTATCCGAAACAGATAAATTCCAAGCCAAATGGTGTGCGGACTCAATTTTGAGTATCGCTGCAAAATTATCTAAAAGATAGTTGGGATTGTTTTTCAGCGAAGGATTATCCGTCCAAAATTCAGGGTCTAAATGGGCTTGGCGACACGGTACGCTATGGTACGCTGCTAATTTTTAGCCTTCTATGCTTGGGTTCAGATGTGTACTTACCACACTTGCGACACATTACTCCTCCCGAAGGGATTGCCACGATGTGATGGCCATTTTCAAGCAAACCACTAGTGCTGTCTGCTGGCTCCTCCGCGGGAGTGTCAGCTTGACTGATTTGAACTGGTAGTTGTGGAGGTGGAGGGGATTGTGCATCACCATTTAGATACCTCTGTATTTGCTGCCTCCATATTTTAACCATTTTTAACCAATACTTCTTGAATTTGACAGATATGATTCTGCAAAGCGTGGTCTCTTTGAGTTAGTATGGTGGCAAATCTAACAAGAACTGGCTTGAGTAATCAAATGGAAAAGGTGGAGTATTGGCTGAGAATTTGCTGATACATAGTAGGCACAATACCATGAAACAATATGAAACATACAACTTACAACACTGAATGTTCTCCCCCAAGGCTGCATGTGCAATCCACCGGCCCTTTTTTGTGATATCGAGAAATAACACTTGGAGTGAACAGCCCTCCTGTCAAAAGATTCAAAAGGAGACGAAGGACTGTGGCTTTTTGTAGCACTTCTTCTTTATCCACCGGAATCCACCGGAATCCACCACTAGGAACCTAGTATATACTGTACCAGGCATCACTGTCCGTTGTCAAAGGTCCTGCTGCTTTTATCGGCTGCTGTGCTTCTCGACTCAACCAGATTAAAGATTGAAGGTCATTGAAGGTGCAACTCATGAGATGGTTGGACCATCTGAATGACAACTCTGTATCAGGCGTCAGCAGGTAGGTGTTTGCTGATGTTGCTGTCATGAGTTACCACATGTGACGGCCATTTTGCAAATGTTTGCTTTCGAATCTTGATGATGTAATGATCATCCTGATATATTCTTTTGATAGGTGGAGAAGTGGGGGTAGCCGGGTACCTTCTCCAACCATCCCCCATTGGCCCAAGCACTCTGTGTCAGGATGGATGCTAGCGAGGTGCCAGTGCGCATGGCCATCAGGAATATCCAGGCAGGTTGAGCAGCTGAGAGTCCCTCAGATGGTGGGAGGGACATTGAATCATGTTGAGTATTGAATCCAAGTTTTTGAATTCCATGTTTCTGTATCTTTCTGTTTGAATTGTCAATCCAGATCCATTTTTGGACTGAACAATGAAGTATCGGCTCATGGTGCTCATGGTTTCGTTTGTTTACTAAGACTGGGACAGAGTTTGAGGGTTGAAGAGCTGTGGCATTCTGTGTAGGTCATTGAGGCCCAAATACAACAAATCACAGATGGATGGCTGCTCGGCACTGGGCTGTTTGTGTTCAGCAGCTTCAGCAGCTTTCTGAGATGACGGCTGTGGCTGTCGCATGCTGTCGCTTGCTGTCGCATACGGGGCCTCAGGAAGGAGATGGTGCAGAAGTTCGACGATGCTCCCGAATGTCCTCTGAAGGTGGGCGATGCCGTGTGGGCTGAGTGGCCCCGCACTGGCCGGTGGTTTCGCATCTTGGCAGCAAATACCAAGAGGTTCAAGAAAGACAGGGCAGTTGCCATTGACATGGGTCTGTATGATCCCAGTAAACGCGTTGCGACGGCTGGTTGTTGGAGTATTAATCGATGTAATTGTACGTACAGTAATCCTTTCCCCCTAATACTAAACGTCCCCCCCGAATCATAAACACCCCAGGTAGTTTTTATTATTAGGGTGCATTTATTATTAGGGAACCCTAATACTAAATTGAAACCCTGATTTTTTTTAAAAAAAAACTATTTTTTCGATTTCAAGATCAGTTATATAAATTTCCTTTTACTTGTATAAGGCAAGCCAAAAATTGGATTTCGAAGCGGACCCTATTATTATAATAAATTGAAACCCTTAATAAAAAAGAAAGTTTTCACGGACCCTAATAATAAACACCCCGGGGTTAACTAGTTTTTTCCCGAGAGCGCCTGCGAAGGGTTCTTCGTAAAAAAGCAGCCGTTGTAATACATCTTCACACCTTCACATCTGCTGATCTACATCTTCACACCTTCACATCTGCTGATCTACATCTTCACACCCTCACATCTGCAGATCTACATCTTCACACCCTCACATCTGCAGATCTACATCTTCACACCTTCACATCTGCTGATCTACATCTTCACACCCTCACATCTGCAGATCTACATCTTCACACCCTCACATCTGCAGATCTACATCTTCACACCTTCAAATCTGCTGATCTACATCTTCACACCCTCACATCTGCAGATCTACATCTTCACACCCTCACACCTGCAGATCTACATCTTCACACCTTCACATCTGCATATCTACATCTTCACGCCTTCACATCTGCAGATCTACTTCCTCGCACCTTCACATCTGCGGATCTTCTCTCGCTCTTCTTTCTATCTCTCTCTTAAGGCGGGGGCGGTGCCGCCGGAGCGCCACGAAACGCAACCCTTTCGCACGAAATGGATGTTGGACGTCAAAAACTGAGGTAAAATTGCGATTTTGAAGTATCCATCGCAACCCTTTCACACGAAATGGACGTTGGACGTCAAAAACTGAGGTAAAATTGCGATTTTGAAGTATCCATTGGAACCCTTTCGCACGAAATGGACGTTGGACGTCAAAAACTGAGGTAAAATTGCGATTTTGAAGTATCCATCGCAACCCTTTCGCACGAAATGGACGTTGGACGTCAAAAACTGCGGTAAAATTGCGGTTTTGAAGTATCCATCGCAACCCTTACACGCGAAATGAAATTCGATCGCTAAAAACTGAGGTAAAATTGCGATTTTGAAGTATCCATCGCAACCCTTTCGCACGAAATGGACGTTGGACGTCAAAAACTGCGGTAAAATTGCGATTTTGAAGTATCCATCGCAACCCTTACACGCGAAATGAAGTTCGATCGCCAAAAACTGAGGTAAAATTGCGATTTCACGGGTCCGGTCTGTGTGTGAAAGTGTTTGTGTGTAAAAGCTTCTGTGTGTGAAAGCTTCTGTGTGTAAAAGTCTCTGTGCGTGAAGAGTGTTTGTGTGTAAAAGCGTCTGTGTGTAAAAGTGTCTGTAAGGAAGATTTTTTAAGACCAGGTGTTAGTTTTTGGGAGTCAGGAGTTCAAATTTTGCAAGTATATCAGCCTTTTTTTGGCAAACGTCAAATGTTTTTCGCCGCGACCTTGTGACAACTCATGGTTGTGTCAAGCTTTGGCAAACCCACAAGAATTTGGCCGTCATATGTTTCGTGACGATTCATGATTGTTCTTGGGGTCTGATCTGTCTTGGAGACAACTGTCACGACTCCCTGAGCACATAAACTGGGAAACTCATTGGCTTCATGAGGCTGCCAAGTCTTGGTTAGCAAGAAGGCTGGCTGAAAGAAAAGAAATTGGCTAACAGAATCACGTGGGCAGATTGCTTTGTCTGGCAGTTTCCGTCTGCTAGCCCCCTCCGAAGTATTTATCACAGCTTCTATGTTTGGCATTGTTTGGCATTGTTTGGCAATGTCATGGGCCCAAAGTCTCCGGCCAGGCTCTGGCAAGACAGAGCCCGGCTGCAAGACCTAGACAGGACTCGCAGCCAGGCGCTGGCTAGCGAGGGCTTGGCTGCCAAGAGGCAGAAAGGTCCATGGGTTCAAAACCGCTCTAGCAGGGGCATCTGCTGGCGTGCAAACGCATGCATTTTAAACAGGCTCAACGAATGTCTTTGCTTTCTTCATTTCGGGAAAAGATGGTAGTTTTACGGAGTTATCACAACTTCAACGCCTGTGCAGTTGGATTCACCAAGTGGAATTCTAAAAAATATGAAATGGTTGAAAAGTGGCGCTGTTCACCGCCATGAGGTTGTTTGTCCCTTTCTTTGCTTGTTTGATTGAATGACAATGCAGATGGCTTTTTGCAAGGGTGGTCACCAGCACCAAACCATACAAGGCCAAGAAGGAGGAGTGCGACGATCCACTTGGGCTCAAATTTATCTGCAAGGCTTTGTAGATATCCTAGCTGTTACAGCCTTTGAGCACAACAGCGGCAGCACGGAGTGAAGCTGAAAAAGAAGTTGCTGCAGCATTCCAAGTACTTTCCGACCTGCCAGGTGAGGGTTCGACTTTTAGGAACTTGAACCCTGTGGCAAGCTGGACGCTCACGCACTTGACATGTGAGCCCCTACCCACCCGAACCCTTTGGCACGACTTCCTCCCTCCCTCTGAGCCCTCTGCCAACCTTGCCAGCTCTCCGGGCTGCTCCACACCTGAAAAAATGTCGGCTATATGTCAGATAGAAGTGAGCATTCATGTCGAACCAGCCATCTGGCATCCGGATTTGCTGGCTGCCAGGAACTTGGTGGCAGCGGGGTGGTTACCAGGAGACTGGATGACAGCCCGGCAGCCATGTCAGATAGACAGCAGAGAAAATTTCCAAGGAAATGAAGGATAAGATGCCGGATAGACTGTGAACATATCGGATGGTACATGATGTCAGATCGCATGAGTTGTTTTTTGTCAAATCAAATGTCAGAATACATCTCCAGGTGGGGATCACGACAATAAAAGTAGATTAAACTAGAACGATAATTTTGCCAGTTTAGCCCGAAACGTTAAAAAATAAACTTAGAAGGGATGCGTCAAAAAGCCCCCCTCCTCAAGCCCCCCTCACTGCGCAAATTTCATTTGAAATTCGCACATCATTGTATGGCATTTTGCTTCTTGCACAATGACCCCCCCCTGACCCCCCCGGTTGTACAACATCCTGGTTGTACCCCCACGTTGCGCAAATTTCATTTGAAATTTGCACAATGACCCCCCCTGGACCACCCCCCCCCACTGCGCAAGATCCATGTTCACCCATTTTGACAAGATCCTGCAGGATGCGCAAGATCCATGTTCACCCACTGCGCAAGATCCATGTTCCTTCCCACTGCGCAAGATCCATGTCCCCCCACTGCGCAAGATCCATGTCCCCCCAACTACGGAAGATCCATGTCCCCCCCTTGAAACATGCCCATTATATTTTAAAATCGATGGAAGCTGACCACTGCAGAGTGGTTCCAACTGGGAGGGGAAAAACACGGAACACAACTATCTACCATGGAACAAAATATGAAGACGCAAACTGATACTAGCTAGAACAGCTCTGCCCACCAAAAAACGATGTCAACCACAATACATCAAACATTACAGGGTTCCACAGAAGTAGTTGCTAGTCTTTGTTTTTTTAACAAAACTTTCTTGCCGCCAATTCGACATTAAAAAACATAATTAGATCTTCACAGCACGAGGGACCAACTGTTTCAAAAGCAAGACTATATTAATTAATCAATATTAATCATGTTTCTTCGTAGCGCCCGACGCTTTCAACAAGAAGGTCTTGGAACACAAGTGCATGGCACCAGCCCTTCAAGAAACAAGATCTTCATAGCAGCACAACGTTTCGGAACCCCGTCGTTTAACGCCATTTCAAAGCAACACATGTTTTTAGAAAAACAAATCTTACTTTGACCACAACCTCATGGCTGCACACTTCTTCACCACATGGGATGGCTCATATTAATCCAGTCTTCGCAGAATGTGTTTGGCTCCTGGAATGTCACTGGTCACAGTAAGCAAAGATGAATACAAGGGTCAGACCTCAGCAGCCCCCAAAGGGCACAGCAACACAAGATGAACCGAAGGGTTTCCACATAATTAGCCCAAGGTCTTTTACAACCATGGCAACAACAAGTCAACAACTCTACTTGCATGCCAATGGCTTCGGAGCTCCCAGCGACATGGCTTCGTCGCTGCAAGCGCGGCAAAAGATGGAGGTTGAGGAAACCTGGAGGATGGGCCAGAACGAGGTCGAAGGGTATCGGTACCAAGGGCTGGAAAGGTATGCGCGTGCCTTGATTCGACAAAAAATTGCCAAAAAAGAGTACAAAAAAGCTGGACAAATTACTTTACTTCGAGTTATCCCCACCATGACATCTATACGTTTTGTTACTGGCAAATCTTCTGGCATTCTATCTGGCATATCTTCTGGCATTTTATCTGGCATATCTTCTGGCATTCTATCTGGCATATCTTCTGGCATTCTACCTGGCATATCTTCTGGAATTCTATCTGACATTCTATCTGGCATATCTTCTGGCATTCTATCTGGCCGTTGAGGTCCAGCGGTGCACACTGAGCTGGGCAGGTCCCAGGTTGAGGTCCAGCAGTGCACACTGAGCTGGGAAGGTCCCAGGTTGAGGTCCAGCGGTGCACACTGAGTGGGCAGGTCCCAGGTTGAGGTCCAGCGGTGCCCACTGAGCTGGGAAGGTCCCAAGGTTGAGGTCCAGCGGTGCCCACTGAGCTGGGAAGGTCCCAGGTTGAGGTCCAGCGGTGCACACTGAGCTCGGACGTTGGCGAAGAGCTTGGCAAAGAGTTGACAAGGCAACAGTGGAAGTGGAGGCAGAGGTGGTGGAGGAGATGCTGGCGGAGGAGGAGCAGGAGGAGGATAGCTAGCCGAGGAGGAGGAGGAGGAGAACAACTGTGATAAAATCTAACAACCCTCACCTGGCAGGTGGGAAAAAGAGAAGAAAAAGGCAGCGTTGGAATGCAAAGCAGAGTCAGAGGCAGCTCAGGCCATACAAGAAGGAGAATCACAAGAAGACAAAATAGAAGCCATGCCGAGCCAGCCAACACCGTGGCAACGCAGGATAGATGTTGCACCAGGCCAAGGACAAGAAAGATGATGGTGAGGACCGTGCAAGACACAGACACAGACAGAGAGGCCAGTGTCAGTTCAGCACCAACACTGCTTCCAGAGAATTTTCAGTCAGATGCGCAGCTGGCACCGGAAGTGGAAAGCTCAACGTCGAAAGAAAACCGAAAAAGAGAAGATCAGAAGGCAAGCCAAAAAGGCCAAAGCCCGAGGTGCCAAGGCCGGGACTCCCGGAAGCTGACCGATCGAGACATGTTCCTGTGATGCGGACAGTGGGAAAAAAGCGCGCTACACCGACAGGTGTCAGTCGTTAACTGTTGTCAAGGCAAAACATAGTCTGTGGAGTTCAGTTTCAAGTAGCGTTTCGATTGTGACAAAATCAAGTCTTGAGAGTTCACTGTATTGGAGACCGAAACGTGGCATGTTCATGTTTCAGTATGCCGCTGGGAAGTGGTACTTTTTTCCAAGCTGTTTTCATTGTGGCAGTGCGTGTCCAGAAGACCATTTCACGCCCGAAAGGTGATCAGGCCATGGTCCGCCTCAAAGACATTTTTCTCCAATTTGACTTTAACAATACATCCCGCAAACACAGGAACACCCACCCACACACACAACCACACACCCACACAGACGCACAGACACCCACACAACATATGCGCACAGATATACCCAGACATTCCCAGACGCACACACACACATCCAGACACACACACAAATACGTACACACACACACATAGCATCCATGCAAACCCGCCCGCACACACACACGCACACACATAGCATCCATTCGCACCCGCGCACATCGAGCCACCACTCACATACCCGGTATTCACTTGCCAGTTATACTTGTCAGAAAGAATGACAGAAAAATGTGAAATACAATGTCAGAAAACATGGCAAAGCTTCTGTGTGTAAAAGCTTCTGTGTGGGTAAGGCGTCTGTGTGTAAAAGCGTCTGTGTGTAAAAGCGTTTGTGTGTAAAAGCGTCTGTGTGTAAAAGCGTCTGTGTGTAAAAGCGTTTGTGTGTAAAAGTGTGTAAAAGCGTCTGTGTGTAAAGGAGTCTGTGTGTAAAAGCTTCTGTGTGTAAAAGCGTTTGTGTGTAAAAGCGTCTGTGTGTAAAAGCGTCTGTGTGTAAAAGCGTCTGTGTGTAAAAGCGTCTGTGTGTAAAAGCGTCTGTGTGTAAAAGCTTCTGTGTGTGAAAGCTTGTGTGTAAAAAGTCTCTGTGCGTGAAAAGTGTTTGTGTGTAAAAGCGTCTGTGTGTAAAAGCGTCTGTGTGTAAAAGCTTCTGTGTGTAAAAGCTCTGTGTGTAAAAGCGTTTGTGTGTGAAAGCCTCTGTGTGTGAAAGTGTTTGTGTGTAAAAGCGTCTATGTGTAAAAGCGTCTGTGTGAAAAAAGCGTCTGTGTGTAAAAGCCTCTGTGTGTAAAAGCGTTTGTGTGTAAAAGCGTCTGTGTGTAAAGGAGTCTCTGTGTAAAAGCTTCTGTGTGTAAAAGCGTCCGTGTGTAAAAGTCTCTGTGAAAGCGTCTGTGTGTAAAAGCCTCTGTGTGTGAAAGTGTGCGTGTGTGTGTAAAAGAAAAGCGTGTGTGTGTGTGTAAAAGCTTCTGTGGGTGAAAGTGTCTCTGTGTAAAAGTGTCTGTGTGTAAAAGCGTTTGTGTGTAAAAGCGTCTGCGTGTAAAAGCTTCTGTGTGTAAAAGCGTCTGTGTGTAAAAGCTTCTGTGTGTGAAAGTGTGTGTGCGTGTAAAAGTGTCTGTGTTTAAAGGCGTCTGTGTGTAAAAGCCTATGTGCATAAAAGTGTCTAGTGTCTGTGTGTAAAAGCCTATGTGTGTAAAAGTGTCTAGTGTCTGTGTGTAAAACCTTCTCTGTGTAAACGCTTCTGTGTGTAAGAGCGTCTGTGTGTAAACGCTTCTGTGTGTAAAAGCCTCTGTGCGTAAATGCGTCTGTGTGTAACAGCTTCTGTGCAAAAGCGTCTGTGTGTAAAAGGTTCTGTGTGTGAAAAACACTACGAAGGATACGATGCAAACTAGTGTTTTGTACTTGTAATTTACTGTCTTGATACTACTTGTCTCGTCTGCCTAAAATACAAAATCTTTAATATATTGTCTTGTAACATAGTGTCTCAATACTAACAACAGAAGACCCTGCTCTCTCTCTATCTCTCTCTCTCTCTCTCCCTCCCTCCCTCCCTCTTTCTCTCTCTCCCTCTCTTCCTCTCCCTCCCTCCCTCCCTCCTCTCCCTCCCTCCCTCTCTCTCTCTCTCTCTCTCTCTCCCCCTTTCTCTCTATCTATGCCTCTCTGTGGTTGCAAGATATGTGTCATATGATGCCCTTTGCCAAGCAGCACAGTGCATATGCATGGGTTGTCACATGTATCCTCTGCTTAACCAATCTTACTTTTCACAACTTACCCCTCCATAGCTCATATAAATTTCACCAACCATTCACCGACTATTCTTTAATATTTTTTACAACTACCATACTCAGTGTCAGAGCTGCTTGAAAAACGTCTTTTTCGCTCTCGGGCCAACCGTCGTCTAGTATTATTAGGGGGCGATACTTTACCCACAAATGCTAGCTTTATTTTTTAAATTGTTGTCTAAAGGGGATCAATTAAAAGTCAAATTGGCCAACCTGAAATTCTCCAAAATTGGACATGGACCCTAGTTTTTATTATTTGGGGGAGGTTTAGTAATAGGGGGAAGGGGTTGTGCAGATAGAGGGGATAGAGAGATGGAGAGAGAGTTCTGGTGTCATTCAACTTCTCCAGGTCATTGACGGTCCCATCCCATCCCATCCCATCCCATCCCTCCCCTCCAATCGCATCCATCCATCCATCCATTCATCCATCCATTCACTATCCGAAATTTGAATGAACTTACCTACAGTAACTACACCTAACTATATTCATCTATATTCATTTATATTCATCTATATTCTAAGTGTGTACGCTTAACTTGCCTGGTAAAAATGCTTGGCCTTGTGGTAGATCTCAGGCTTCCCGGTAGATCTCAGGCTTCCCGCCATTCCAAGGTGGTGAAATCATAGAGCTCCTGGATGATTATGCCATGATCCAGTGGCTGCAACGCCTGTGGCCCAGTCCCAGGCATGTCCAGGTGACGTTTTTCTCTTGCTTGATCCCAATGATTGGCCCAGTCCTTGTGGGTCATGATAGTTTTTTTTGATTTCATCATGGTGTCAACAGGCAGAGTGGATGCTGAGATGCTGGTTCATTGTGGTTGTTTCGCAGTTTGCTTCACTATGTCCAAGGCCCGACCAACGTCAAGGGAGGCCAGCTGGCTGCAGCTAGCATCAGCTAGCCCCCGGCATAATTTTGTTCGGCAAATGAAACTGCCTTGATGAGCTGGGTAGTTTTTTTGAACCAAGTGGGCTAAGGACACGAAGACCATTATTTGATTTCAGCGGTTGGGGAGTATTTCAACTTCGACCAGCCCACGGAGGTCCTTAAAGTTGTCACTTGGTACCTGCCATGGTGCACCTTGGTTCACCTGTGCTGTGCTGTTGTGACAGGGTCCGGCTGAGGCTGTTTTGCCAGCACTCTTTTCGCGGCCTCAGCCAATTCCAGAACAAGAGGAGGAAGGCCACTGGTGATTCCTACCCAGCATGCTTGGTTTCAAACCATTGAGGGAAGACTGATGAATTGAGCTGTGCTTCAGAGGACAAGGGTTGTTTTGGCTCATAGCATTCGACATGCAATTCTCCAGCCTTATCCTCTTGGCACTGACCGACTTGCAAACGATTGCAAACCTCCAAGTTGAACCATATTTGGCGGGGACTTGTGCTGAAGCAATCCCTGGCCTTTGCGCAGGCTGGTCACAGTTCGTGGACGCGGCTGACGCTTGTCACAGTGTTTGTCCTGGTTCCACTCAGAAACCACAGGTGTGGACAGGCTACACCCGCGGATGTTTGCATTAAAAACTTCTGCGATTCCGTCTTTTTGTAGTCCACCCTTGCAACGATCAAGGGCGCCTCGGTGAGGCAGCGTTGGAACTAAGAAACATCAAGTAGAGCGGTACACTTACTGACAACTGGCAGAAACGATAGGGAGTGACGGAAAGAGAGAGATAGAGAGATGGAGAGAGTCAGCAGGCGAAAGGGAGACGGGGAAAGACTGAGGAGAATCTCACTACCAAGTACCACCAGCAACCACCTCTGCACTAGTGACTAGTGTGAAGAAACACCTCTCTGGAACCCACTAGCTTAGCAGCACAGTACCAGTACTAAACACCAGCAACCTTTAAAGTGCAGGCTGGATTCTATTCTAGGTATTATGACTTGATATGGTTTGTGCCTCCATTTTTGTGAAGGTGTTTTCAGATCTGATGTGTTTGGGTCAGGTTCTTGGTATCGCTCATTCCCCTCAGGGCGCCCCATTGTGAAACGTTTGAGGTTGAGAGCCTTGTTCGAAGATCTGGGCAAGAATGACAAGTCCGAACTCAAGATTCTTTCCTGCAAGCATTGCCGGGCCTTTCAGAACTGGCGATTACGTGAACAGAAGCGAAGAATATGACCGGGTTGGAGTGTTGCACGGAAGTTGAATTCGAAGACAGGAAGCCGAGAAACCGAACAAAGGAAAATGTCAGAGTTCGAGAAGAAGAAGTCGGAAGAGGCAATCAAGACGCAGCGCCCTCAAGTGTCACATGTAGACCATCAGAGAACTGTTCGAAAATCAAACACTTCGCCACAGGAACTTAACCCAAACATGTTGGAAGAACAATTCAGCATTTCTCAAGAGGAAGTTCACTCACATGAGGACATGGCCTGAGTCTTCAAGTTTTATTACACTTTATTTTACTTTTAATTTTATTACGTAAATAATACAGCCGATGAATCATGCTCAAAAGTATCCAAGAATTGGAGTCCAGACGTCAGACTATGATTTGATCATGAATCCAAGTTCTCCATGATTGTCACCACGTCATACCACGTCATACCACGTCATAACATGTCACCGTTGACCAAGGCTTCATGGCACCACCAAGTCCATCATTGGCGTCAAAAAGGACTTCGCCAGCCGGGCCAAAGCACCTGGAGCGCTGGACTCAGGGGCGATGGCACGATGCGAGACGCGAACAGATGCGAACAGATGCTGATGACAATGATGACATCTAATGGTGATATTTTATGCTCATCTAATGACATGGCCTCTACGGCCTACTCTGTCATATGCCTTAATACATTTGAAATACATTTGAAATACCTTGCGCGTCTTTGTGTGATACTTGTGACGCTTGTGTATTTCGTCTTCTGTCTTGTGCTTGGTCGACTATGTTGAGAACAAAAACAGCAGGGTATCTCAGGGTATCTCAGGGTATTTGAGGGTACTAGGCACCGTGCACTTGGTGGTTAGGCTGCTAGCGCTTTGGTTTCCAACTTCTTGAATGAAGCGGTGGATATTGCAAGCGGCTTGGCTGCCAGAAGAATTCGAGGAGGTTGAGGCTTGTCCTCTGGTACGCCTGAGCATCCCATTCGACGTTTGGTGGGGTCTCGAATCAAAACACGATGCGACCCCAAGAAAGTCAGACCAAAAACTCACGCAACTGTACCAAAAAAGCACGTGAAAGCAGCCAAAAAACAATGCAGAAACTGTGTCACCTGGAATTCGCCCAAACATGCGAAGATCCTAGAGAACAAACGATATGTGTAATTCCTGAGCGCTGATGTTTGATGCTACATATTGTCACGAAGTGAATCTTAACTTATCCTTTTCTTTGTGCACACTTTGATTCTATAGTTAGCTTTTGGAAATTACATCATGATAGATTATGTACTGGGATCTCCACCCGTCTTGAGTCTTGCAGACCCCCAGTGCAATGCTCCTTTTTTCTGGTCTTGCAGTTCCATGCTGAGGTGACTTGGAAGCGGAACTAGCCAAACGCCTCGAAAATGCAACGGCAATGGTCACTGAGCCGCATTTCTACGTTTTATATCGTTTTATGCTTTCTGGTTGATGTCCCTGCCAGCTGGTTCAGGAATCCGTTCTGTAGATTACATAGATATGAGATGATATAAGCACGTACAATGAACATATATGTTTTTTAGAACGCACATACAGTACATATATAATTTAATCATATATAATTATATAATCATATACATATATATATATATGTAAAACAGATACCCAAATACTGTATTTTTTATTAGATAGCTATGATTCTATGCGTAGTTGATTTCCAACGCAGACATACAAGCTCAGCCAAGTGCTCCATGAACCTACGCAGTGCATTGCTAGACCATGTCAGATCACCATTGCATTGCCATCAATATCCACCAATCACAGAAAAGAGAACTCAGGATGGGGCACATGAAAGACTGCTTGGCATGCGAGACAAAGTTGCCAAGTGTTGCTTAGACGCGGAACGACTCAGAGGTAGATACATGGAGGAGTGCTTATGGTGCTGCATTTCTTGGAAAATCGCTTGTGAATGGTGTGCATATGGACGCTGGCTAAATCATAAATCTAGTGATGGCGACTTCCAACTTCTGAGTGGGTAGCCGGATAGCCAGGAATTGTTCAACGGATTGTGGTGGGCCTAGTCTGGAATCCGGAATTGTTTGTGAAGCAAGAGCCTTTGCGAAAGCCACTGCGGTTACTTCAATATCTTCAATCATTTCAACAGTTAAGTGAAGTCTAGCGTTATTTTGGCTAGCGCAGTCAGGCCTAAAGCTTCACCAAGCCAGCACACCAGCACCCATTTCTCGGCTGTGACATGCAGTGACTCCATAGGCATTCGTCGATTTATGGCGAGGATGCCGCATTCCTGGTGCAGGCTTCTGGTGGTGGTTGTGCCAGCCTAGGTTGACGCCTTGAATTGATTTTTTGTCTTTGGCCAGTCTGTTTGCGACATCATGTGAGCAACAACTGTGCGGATTGACACGTGCCTTCCTTTTTTGACCATGGCCAAGTATCTCACTGGATGTATATAATACATTTAAGGCCAAACTCTTGTTTTATAATTCCTTGTCATCATGTTTTTCCTGTTGGGACATATTGAGACCCACAGCGCACGGAAAGGATTTTCAAAGGGGAGAAGATCGTAGAAGCAATGGCAACTGAGTTTCCCTGTTTGGCCCGTTTGCAACACTTCGAATTTTGCAACCAGGATTTCAATACAACGCAAAGCGTCAAGAACACCATCACCAACGCGATCAAGCTCGCAGACCAGTGTTGGAAAGAGGCAGTGCAGTGCCTTGAAAGCAGCCGAACTCAGCAGTGATGGCAGTGTTGCAGACCTTCTAGATCAAGGATCAATGTGTAGTGGAAAATGAGATATTGTTTCCAAAAGCCAAGTCGCTGTCGGGACGGCAGGTGGAGCGTCAAGAATTACATAGAATTACAAACCATGAAGATTTGATGGGTTTACATAGATAACATAGATTGGCCTAAGTTCGCGGGATTCATCGGGATTCCATTAAAATCATTAAACTGAAGGTAACTTCAGCTGAGGTTCGCAGCAGAAACCATCGATGGACCCATGGCCGTCGGCTGCGAGGAGCCCGAAGTCAGCCTGGGCCGGGATATTGAGAGATTCGGAAAAAAGCAGCCAGCTGGAACTTGTGGCAAGAACAATATGCATTAATATGCATTAATATGTCATAGTAACATAGTAAGTCATCACATTTTATCATTGCGTCGAAGGTCATCAGAGGTCATTGTTTTCCAGATTCTGGAGGAAGTCAGCCGAGCCGCCACGAGATACAAGGAGATGAGGTGCGGGCCAAGACCAGACTCGTCCTTGGTGGATTTTTTCCATAGAGTATATTCGAAGGAAGTTTAGTCAAACTTCCGACAATATGGACAGATGAAAAGCAGAGCAGGGAAGAGGCAGAGAGAAGAGAAAGATTAGAAGAAAGAAGAGTAGAAAAGAAAGAGTAAGAAGAAAGAAGATGCAGATGCGAGAAAAGGTAGGAAAGTCGCGAAACACTGTGTTTTTCCAATGATCTGGGGCTCCGGAGGGTCGAAAAGTAGGCTCGCTAAAGCGGCGGGTGCGGAGCCAGCTGGCCAGATGAGAGATGAAAAATCGCCGTTGTGGCGCGAAGCACATTTCGAAGTCAAAATGCACAAAACACCTCAGTGTCAGACCACTTTTGGAGGTTCAGATGTCGAAAAAGTGCACGCCGTTGTGGCGCGAAGCACATTTCGAAGTCAAAAGTGCAAAAAAACTGAGGGGTACGGAGCACTTTTGGACAGGCGCAAGGGATTGTGCACCTTGGCAAAAGTGAGCAAAACGTGAGGGCTTTGTAGCATTTCCAAAAACGGTGGCAGGCGTGGGACATTTGAAGAGGATTTTCAAAGATGCATGTCGCGTGGCAGGCGCAGTACACAAGACATGTTCATCAGAGATGTTAGGAGGTCAGGGCGCTGATTTCCTGAGAGGGGTTGCATTTTGGAGCATCAGATCTTCAGGTTTGCTGAGATGATTTTGCGTGACAGGTCCAGCACGTCGTATGACCTGGCATCAATTTTTCGTGGCAGGCGCAGTACTTTACACAGGTGGAGTGGAAAAATCGCAAAATGCATTGGTATGAGGCTCCCAGCGCTGCACTCAACTTTCCATTTTTGAAGGAAGTCTCGCAGAATTGCTTTGTTTTTGACGTTGTTAAGTTCAAACATTGAGGAAGTGTCGCAGAATTGTTCTGTTTTTGATGTTGTTAAGATCGAAAAATGAGGAAGTCTCGCAGAAGAGCTTCGTTTTCAATCTGGCAGATAGACAGAAAGACAGACAGACAGACAGACAGACAGAGATAGATAGATAGATAGGTAGGTAGGTAGGTAGATAGGTAGATGGGTAGATGGGTAGCTGGGTAGACAGATAATTAGATAGATAGATAGATAGATAGACAGATAGACAGATAGACAGATAGATAGACAAATAGACAGATAAATAGATAGATAGATAGATGGATAGATGGATAGACAATGATAGACATATAGATAGATAGGGAGATAGGTGGACAGATAGACAGATAGATAGATGGACAGATAGACAGATACATAGGTTTATAGACACATAGTTAGATACTAAGATAGATAGAAAAAAAGAGATCGATACATAGACAGATAGATAGACAGATAAGCAGATAGACAGAGAGACAGTTTTATCGATAGATAGTTGGAGAGATAGACAGATAGATAGAGAGATAGTTGGACAGATAGACAGGTAGACAGATAGACAGATAGACAGAGAGACAGATAGACAGACAGACAGACAGACAGATAGATAGATAGATAGATAGTTAGATAGATGGAGAGATAGACAAAAAGAAAGATAGACAGCTAGATAAATAGATAGATGGATAGATAGATAGATACATACAGATAGATAGATAGATAGTTAGATAGACAGATAGACAGATAGATAGAAACGGTTTGATCGATAGATAGTCGGAGAGATAGATAGATATAGATAGATGGCTAGACAGACAGATAGATAGATAGATAGATAAATAAATAGACTGATAGATTTATAGAGATAGATAGATAGATAGACAGATAGTTAGATAGAGAGATAGACAGATAGACAGATAGATAGACAAAGAGACAGATAGATAGATAGATAGATAGGTAATTAGATGAAAGAGAGAGAGATAGATAGATAGATAGATAGATCGATCGATAGATAAGAAAGAAAGATAGATAGATAGATAGACCGCTAGGTAGACAGCTAGATAGACAGCTAGATAGATAGATAGGTAGACAGATAGTTAGATAGATAGAGAGATAGACAGATAGACAGATAGATAGACAAAGAGACAGATAGATAGATAGATAGATAGATAGATAGATGGGTAGGTAGGTAGGTAGACAGATAGGTAGACAGATAGTTAGATAGATAGAGAGATAGACAGATAGATAGTCAAATATACAGATAGATAGATAGATAGATAGATAGGTAAATAGATGAAAGAGAGAGAGAGATAGATAGATAGATAGATAGATAGATTGATCGATAGATAGATAGATAAATAAATAGACTGATAGATTTATAGAGATAGATAGATAGATAGATGGATAGATAACTAGATAACTAGATAACTAGATAACTAGATAGGTAGACGGATTGATAGATAAATAGATAGATAGATGGATAGATAGATAGAAAGACAAATAGCTAGAAAGCTAGACAGCTAGATAGATAGGCAGGTAGAGAGAGAGAGAGAGAGAGAGAGAGAGAGCGAGAGAGAGCGAGGGGAGGGAGGGAGGGAGGGAGGGAGGGAGGGAGGGGGAGAGAGAGAGAGAGCGAGAGAGAGAGCGAGGGAGGGCGGGAGGGGAGGGGGAGGGAGGGAGAGGAGAGAGAGAGAAGGAGAGCGAGAGATCAAGCACCTTTCGGTCCATCAGTGGCTTCGCTCTGGATTCACAACAACCAACCTCTCCTATAGGTTTCCTATTTTTGAAACTTCCGCCACCGCCTTGTGCGGTACTACTGGTGCCAAAAACAAAGATTACACTCAGTCTACGGAAACCATCTACGGTGGTGGAGAGCGAGAGAGAGAGAGAGAGAGAGGAAACAACCTATGCAGGTGCAGTTTTTCTTCGCTTTTGTATTTTTTCTGCGGCTTGCACGACACCTGGAATTTGCCGTCCCGTCATGTCCCACTATTTTTTCTTGCAGGCCGGAGTTGAAGAAGATTCAAGAACGGCTTGCTCAAGTAGAAAGGAGCCTGTGGAGAGATGATGAGAGACACGGACGATGACAATCGGTTGGGAGGGGTCCAGCGGTGAGTCTTTCTCAAGATTTCAGCACAGTGCTACACTGGAAGGAGTGCTCCGGAAATACCGCCTGGAAGAAAGAGGAAGGCCAGCCCCCGGCGTTGGGAATTTGCAATTGTTGGACCTAGGTGTGGATTCATTTGCATGCTGTGCAGTTCACCAAACCTGACAGGATTTGAAGGCAACGGCTCTCTGCTGTATTGGTTTCCAGATCACAGTGAGTGAAATTGATTATATTATATATATATATAAATTGACATTGCATTTCCAGCTATCCCTTAAGGCTTGAGGCAAGATCCCTTTGGGCTGAAAGATGTGTTTGAGCATGTTTCTGCTTCCACCGTGGGCTCAGCATTCACAATTAAGAATGGTAAGAATGACAATGAAGTTCTTTGATCCAACGCTAGGAATGATCCACACAAACAAGACCAGGCGGATTGATTCGACCTGTTTTTAAGGTGTTCCTGGAATGTAAGACATAGTGACATACCCATGGTTATACAGTACAGTCCATTTTCTCTGCCTCCCACGACAGGTGATAAAAAAGGGGAGCTCACTGGGCAGCCAAATTGCCATGGAAACCAAAGGTGCCACTGATGCTGGGAAGGGGTTGCTTGGGATTACCATATCAGTTCATTCTTTTGGCTCAGGTAAGGTGCATGTGACTTTCGACATGGCTGGAAGCAATGCGAACATGAAAGATCAATATCATGAGCCCATAAAATACCATCAGCAAACCCAAGATATTCCAAACCAAGTCTACCAAGTCTAGAACCTTTTTTTTCCGGCATGGAGGCTACTTGCGCACCCAATCTGAGCTTTTACAAGCGCAGGAGATGCGCGATGGGATCAGCGGGGCAATATGGGGCAATTGTGTTTAGGAAGCGCTGACCAGACGTGAAAACCGTGGCGCCAGATGTGGGGTTGTTCAGGAGGAGGCGGCTGCTCCTGCAGAGTGGGCACCGGATTTCCCAGAGGCGTGGAAAATTAATGAAAATCACAGTATGCCACACTCAGCTGCACATTTGACATGTCTTGCTATGTCTTGCTATTGCTTGCCGCTTGGCATGGTAGGTCGATTTCAACTCCCAAGCTGCAACTGCAGCTTTCACCGCAAAGGCCTTTCCTGTTTTGCTATTTGTTACTTCGCCTGCTTGATGCCTTCTCCTCAGGAGGTGCAACATGTGCAACGTCCAGCAACTATCCCGGAGCAATCTTCAACTGTAGATGCTGATGACCAGGTGCCGTTGGAGCCTTCTGCAACTATCCCGGAGCCTTCTTCATGTCTTCATGTCTTCACACTGAATTTCCATGAATTTCCAGTGTGAGAGTTATGAAAGTAAGATGAGAACGGTGCAGGCATCATTGGGTCAACAGCCAGCGCCGTTCTCGGAATGCTCATTGGACTGGCATGCATGTTTACATGTGATGACATGTGTTTGTTACATGTCTCATGTTTCCCCCCAAGTCTCCAAATTCTACAAATACCAAACAGCCAAACACCGAAATCCCAGTTGGCTCATGTTGGCTCGAGAATTCCATACATTTCCTAACTATGTTCACCATTGTTCACCATCTTTCACCATCTTTCACCCAAGATGTTCACTCATCTTCCCCGGGTTTGTCAAGGTCAAGGACTCGCCTCCGGGGGCGCCCCAAGAGACGGAGACAGAGACTAAGGCGCCATGCGGCCGTGCCTGGATAGAAATGCTGAGGAATTCCATCAGTTGTCATCAGTTTATTTCAGAAATTTCCACGCTGATTCATAGATGAATCAGTTTGCTACATGTTTATCCAAAGCCAACATGATTCATCTATATTTTTGATTTGCGGACACCATCGTTAGATATTTTTTCCAGTTTTCCCGTTGAAATACGTTATTGGCACTGAGAAATCCAGGTATCTTTGATGGGGAAAACTGGGTACAAGATGGTTGAATGGGGACTGGCAATTGAGGGATATTCCATTGGAACGATGCCTGGAAAGGACCGGACCCTTTTGGTGATTTTCCTTCGCTGGACATGGATCACAACATTTGCCCGCTTTTCAAAGGTATCTTCAAATCATTATTCATAGAATTGTTAGGGGGGCTGCTTGGGGTGTGTAGGCAAAAATCAAGGTATCAATGAACCCAGGTCAAACAAAGGGGGTTCCAAGATTTTTTGGCATGGTGACTTTCGTTCTCCATAGATATTCTGTCAATCATGATTCCCAGATTCTGGAACCGGCATGGTTGCCACACAACAAACAGTTTTGTGGGCCCGAAAGCCATCAAACATCAACAAACATTTTTTGATGTTTTAGGGGAACCTCTGGGTTACCCAGTGGGGACATTTGGAAAACATTCCCAAAAGCCCTTTGATCGCTATTTGCGGTGTTTTTTTGGGTTACTGCACATACCTTAGCTTTATATAGCTTTATTTATAAAATTTTGTTTAGCTTTATTTTATTCTTATTTATATAGCTTTATTTGGTTTCATTTAACGTTAGTTTCGTTTGCAAATTTTAACTTGATTTCGTGTGTGTTTATTTGTATTTACTATGGCTATTTTTCGTTTTTTTTGGTCTCCCCTGGTTATACATTCTTGCCTTTCTGTGACAATGGCCCTTTGTCTTGCTTCCTTAAACCAAGGCAAATATTCCCTGTGACACGACCCAAGAACACTCAGCCCTAAAATTTCCCTAGGCATCCCTAGGCCTCATTTGGTTCGTAGTGGTTCTGTTGAGGAACTCATGAAGCACTGCTTTCTGGGGCGCTTTCCCCCAACTTCCAACTTTGGCAACTTTTGACTGAAATATACTGAAATACATGGTTTTTAGAGCTTTTTCACGTGACGAAAAGTATCTATCTTTATTTAACTTTATCTAAGTTTATCTAGATTCTTGGCCATTTGTGGGGGTACCCGTGCCATCTTGCAGTAACCCCCCTGGAAGACACTTCTAACAATTCCATGAATTATTCTTGATCCATTATAGAATCATATAATTAGGTAGATAGACAGACAGACAGACAGATAGATATATAGATAGACAGGTAGATGGATGGATGGGTGGATGGATGGATGGATAGATAAGATAGATAGAAGATAGATAAGATAGAAGATAGATAAGATAGATAGAATATAGACAAGATATATAATGATATATATATATATATGCATTTTTTAATGTATATTCATATTAATGTATATATATATATACTATATAGTATAATAAAGTTAACGTTTGATTCACCTTTGCATGCAGTTTGGCTTTCTGCAATGTCACAAACCGCTGCAGGCTGCAGTTGATCCGGAACCCGGGTCCAAAGCTATCCCGGCTCCGGCCACTATCGTATCTTGGCCCAAGGATGGATTTTGAGGGAAGCTTGTGCCCAATTCGTTCCCAAGTCGTTCAATATTTTGGCAAAATGATGATCATTTGATATCATTTGATTGCAAGGAGTTTATCATTTTATTTCATGTGATTACTTTCTGTCTCTGACCCCTCACCACCCACTTACAATAATCCACCTTTATTGTTCTGGGATGCTGAGGCCATCTCCAGCAAGGCCGAGCCAATACAGCCATATTCAGCCTTTGAGCAGTTGGGATGTCAGTGGCACCCTGGAGGCGGAAGTTGAGCTTGCCAAGCCTGCAAGCAAGGAGATGCCGTAGTTTGTCGTGGACATGGCTGGCGCCAGATGTTTTTGGACCATTGGGGATGGGGCGTTGAGGCCGTTGAGGCTTTTAATTTTCTGTATCAAATGTCGAAGCAATTCCTTTTCAACTAGACCCATATGGGCCGGCGCGATCGTGCAAGTGTAGCGCAGGGCAACCTTGGCCATGGACACCTATCGATTGATATTGATATAGTAGTAAATGGTACAGTCTTCTCTTGAACTTCGGATTGCCAATGGATTGCCATTTCGGTCGTTGTTTGACAAGCTACCCGCTATCCCTGTGACAGGGGTAGGGCTTGCGAACGTTCTGTACACAGCCAGGAGGTGGCATGCTGTATGCAGGGCCTGGGCCGGTTTCAAGAGCGATGCTGCGGTATGCACTCCTGAGCGCTTTCTTCCTGCAAGCATAGCATGCCATTGGGCCTTTACTCTATGTTGGATTGACACATGAAATGCAGCACAGAGATTGCGACTGCCCGGCATTTGATTTGTGATAGATCTACACAGCTTTGATCAATGAACAACTTTAAATTTGGGGGAACAGACTTATTATGAGAATGCTCAGATGATCAACCAATGCAGTGGGGCACAGCCATGTGGCATACAGATGTCTTGTTTGAAATGAGTCATTGCAGGTGCGTTTCATGATTCCTGGACCCGCAGTCCTTCAAAGCTGTTTGTAGATGTTTGTTTGCAGATCCCATTTCAGTACCTGCATCAAGGTTCAAACATGTTCAAACAAGTCTTCGCAAAAGGCCATTAACAGTTTTTGCTTTAGTTTATTTGCGAGACATGGCCACTAGGATAGCTCATGTAGCTCAAATAGGGTCTAGCTTGAGCCAAACCCCAGTGGCTAAGACAGACCTGTGGTTGTGTTGTGCTGTGTAATATGGGCAAGCTGAAGCCAACCCTGAGCCTCAGTTTGTCGTTTCACACTTGATGATCGTAGGCGCCACTCTGGCATCGTTTATCGGATGGGCACCAAAGCCGCCGTTGGAAGCAAAAACCGGGCAGCTTGGTGATGCTTTGCCAGCTCAGAGCCAAAAGCATCATTGTCAGAGTCATTGTCAACATCTTTTGGCAGTTGGGATTAACATGTTCTGGACCCAATTCAGGTGGAACATGTTAGTAAGTTAGTATGGACCATTGGGCGCACAAAATTATTCGATGTTATTACTTGACCTGCGATGTGTCATCGTGCTGAATAATTCACTTTGTGGCCATCTACAGCGACTTGTGTAGAATGTCTGCTCGTTGCTGTTCCTGCTGTGAATGCTGAATAATATGAATAACTGGGAAGTCGTCTTTGGATGTCTGTGGGGTGTTGCCTTAGGCCCCTTAGGCACTAGGCTTTTGGCAAAGCAACTGGCTCACCAGTTTTTCAACGGAGCTGCAGGTGTCGGCCAGGGTCGTTCCCATCTGGAAGATCGCTGGTCGCTACGGACAACAAATCACGAAGCTCTGGGTCCAGACCTCAATGTGAGTGACATCGAGTGACAATCTCTGACACATCTGACATTTGAACAAACTTTGAACATCTTGAACTTTCATCAGTTTATTGATTTTGCCATTTTTTGCCAAACCAACTGGCCTCAGATCGAGATCAAACACCCACCGCCCAGTGCAAATTGCCTTGCCGAACGAGTGGGCGCCTCAATGTTCAGCTGCGTGTTTGGGGCCTGACTTTGGGACAGTCGAACACAGCCGCCTCGCATTGTACACCCTGCTGTTCGCCAATAATATATATTATATACATATATAACTGGCTGATGCTACGGCAGCAGCTCACCACAATTCAGCTTGCCTGTTTCTGTGAAAAAAGGTGTACATCCAAGTTTAACTACGCAAATTGCGAGAAACTAGGCCATACTTAAAAGTTTACGTCCAAGAAATCCCAATAAGAAATACCTATATAGAAAGCATTGGACCATTGTGAACATGCGAAAAGCTTGGGCTACCCTTCGAAGCTTGGATAACACTCTCCCAAATCTCCCATTCGATTATATATAGGAATCGCTGGCTGTATTCGGGAAGCGGGAAGCACACATTGATGCACCTTTCAACATCTTTCAACTAATCTTCACTGCAAATAATTTGGAACTCGTTTTGAAACTCTGCGTGAACCCGCCTTCCAGCTCTCTTTGCAAGAAGGCAGGCGAAAATTGAGATATTGCGACCAACTTATTGAAACTAATTCATTTTTTCCCACAAGATTGATTCATGAAGTGAGCGCAAATTTTTGTTTCCTGGCGCACAGGCTTCTCACGGTTCAGAAACTAAACCAAACAGCACAGTGCGGTTAGTTAAGTTTTTCCGTTAGATTTCTGGACGGTGCCAGATCTGAGTATATCAGCATATCAGATTGCTTGGCCGATCTCAGGAGGCAGCAGTGCTGGAGCGTGAGCAAGCCGTTGCAAAGAGGGAAAAAGCGAAGCTCTCAGATCAGATATGATCAGATCCAACACTTTTTGGATATTTGAATTGGTGATAGTTGGAATGGGGATGTTTGTACAGCAAGGGAATTAGGTGGATTGGCTCTTAAAGTGTGATACTGCCAACATCTGCCAACTGGTTGCTTCTGGATGAATTTGGAGAACTTGGGTGTCTTGGTTGTTTCGTTGGCACACTACTAGGGCCACTAGGGTCCCAAATGTCAGAGGTCCATAGTGATCATAGTGGCCCCAACAGTCCGTCCCAATGATGATGCTTTAGTTCTGAGCAATTAACCTGGTATAGTGCAAGATGCGAGATGCCCCAAGCCATGCCATGACCAAGCATCACGGTTTTGCTCGGTGGACTTGTCTAAACTGAACTTGCGGGCTTTTGTGGGCTGCAACCTGGCTTGAGGAAGCTAGTGAGAAGAAAGCATTCAACGAGGTGCAGCGAGAGGGCGTATCATGAGTCATCATACATAATTATATATTTAATGATCATATATTCTTAATAAGTAATAAACTATTTTAAATATCATTAAATAGTTCATAAATTGTTCAGTGTTTTTCTTCTCTTAGATAGCAAAAGATATATATATATATAATTAATTAATTACAGTATCAGAAATATTTAAATAAATGAATATAATATATATATATATATTCCAGTATAATGTTGTCTGACCAATAGTGATATCTTGTCAATAGTAGAAACATTTTTCCGCAACTCCAATTTTTCTCCAATACTAAAAGTCAATTAGCTCTATTTACTTTTAGTATTGCCAAAAGAGTCATGTTCAGACCTTGCCCAGAGGGCATGGCCAATAGTGGACCCAACATGGCAATAGTAGAAACGTTTTTCCCAACTCCAATTTTTTCTCCAATACTAAAAGTCAATTAGCTCTATTTACTTTTAGTATTGCCAAAAGAGTCAAGTAAAGCAAATCCTTTTCAAAGCAGCCTTCACTTTTGATTAGCAAAAGCTTAGATTCCAGAAATCTGATCCAATTACCAAACAGCTGATTTCCTTATAAAACCCTTATTAAAAAAAGCAAAAAAACAGGTCCACAAAGGGTACCCCCTTTGCAAGCCCCAGAATAGCAATAACAAACCTGCACCAGGCATGGCAATAGTGGAAACTTTTTTCCGCAACTCCAATCTTATTGTCCTCCTTCTCCTTCTCCTTCTTCTCCTTCTTCTCCTCCTCCTCCTCCTCGTCCTCCTCCTTCGCCTCCACCAAATCCATTCAGAATCTTTCAGAAACCCAACAAAACCATGGAGAATCTATCAGATACATATCATGATCCCAGCTATAGATTCCCAAAAATTACTATAGGAAGGTTGACCCCCCCCTAAAAAAAAAAATAGGGGGGGTAATTACTATTAGGCAGCCAACATTAAACAAGATGGAAGCCACGAACCCGAATGTATTCACGTTCTTGGACTACTAGTGAAAACCTCTGCAATAGGAAAACGAACATTTTTTTTCATACATCGTGCGCTCGTATCGTCTCAGCGAAGGCACCTGATCAACAGTTCACAAAGAGACAACTAACTCACAAAGAGACACACAATAAGAACAGATGATTCCACAAGTCATTTGGTTTAAATTCTGCAGATTTGCTACAGATATGCTTGTCACGTATACTACATATCTAATCCTAAAGTCCCAGCACAGGAGTGTGGAGTGTAAAGTGTGGAGTGTGGAGTGAGGAGTGTGGTGAGTGTAGAGTGTAGAGTGTGGTGGAGTGTGGAGTGTGGAGTGTGGAGTGTGACGTGTGGAGTGTAGTGTGTGGAGTGAGGAGTGTGGAGTGTAAAGTGTGGAGTGTGCAGTGGGTAAAGTGTGGAGTGTGGAGTGTGGAGTGTAGTGTGTGGAGTGAGGAGTGAGGAGTGAGGAGTGAGGAGTGTGGAGTGTGGAGTGTAAAGTGCGGAGTGTGGAGTGTGGAGTGTGCAGTGGGTAAAGTGTGGAGTGTGGAGTGTGGAGTGTAGTGTGTGGAGTGAGGAGTGAGGAGTGAGGAGTGAGGAGTGTGGAGTGTGGAGTGTAAAGTGCGGAGTGTGGAGTGTGGAGTGTGGAGTGTGGAGTGTGTGTCAAGTAGAGTGTGGAGTGTGGAGTGTAAAGTGTGGAGTGTAAAGTGTAGAGTGTGGAGTGTGGAGTGGAAAGTGGAGTGTAAAGTGTGGAGTGTGGAGTGGAAAGTGTGGAGTGTAGAGTGTAGAGTGTAAAGTGAGTGTGGGGTGTAGGGTGTGGAGTGAGGAGTGTAAAGTGTGGAGTGTAAAATGTAAAGTGCGGAGTGTAGAGTGTAAAGTGTAGAGTGTAAAGTGATGTAAAGTGATGTAAAGTGATGTAAAGTGATGTAAAGTGATGTAAAGTGATGTAAAGTGATGTAAAGTGATGTAAAGCGATGTAAAGTGATGTAAAGTGATGTAAAGTGATGTAAAGTGATGTAAAGTGATGTAAAGTGTGGAGTGTAAAGTGTGGAGTGAGGAGTGTGGAGTGTGTAAAGTGTAGAGTGTGGTGGAGTGTGGAGTGTAAAGTGTGGAGTGTAGAGTGTGGAGTGTAGAGTGTGGAGTGTAAAATGTAGAGTGTAAAGTGTGGAGTGCACTGTTGCGCCAGCCACACAAAAGAAATTTCGACACGGTAAAAAACAGGTTGGAATGTCACAAAGTGCCACGCTTGCCACGCAAAACGACATGACAACAGGTTTTGCAGCTTCCCCCATAGACACAGCGACGTGTCTAGAAAACCAGAGACTCGAGATGAGACACGTGGACGCAGCAAAACGAACATTTCGTGCAAGACATCCTCGAATTTTGACACTTTCGACACGGTATAAAACGGGTTGGAATGTCACAAAGTGCCACGCGTGCCACGCAAAACGACATGACAACCTGCTTGGAAACCTTCGAAAAGGAGAGGTTCTGCAGCTTTCCCCATAGACACGGCGACGTGTCTAGAAAACCAGAAACTCGAGACGAGACACGTAAGCGCAGCAAAACGAGCATTTCGTGCGAGACGACTCCAATTTTGACACTTTCGGCACGTTATCAAACAGGTTGGACCAGGTTGGAATTTCACAAAGTGCCACGCGTGCCACGCAAAATGACATGACAACCTGCTTGGAAACCTTCGAAAAGGAGAGGTTTTGCAGCTTTCCCCGTAGACACGGCGACGTGTCTAGAAAACCAGAGACTCGAGACGAGACACGTGGGCGCAGCAAAACGAGCATTTCGCGCGAGACATCCTCCAATTGTGACAGTTTCGACACGTTATCAAACAGGTTGGAATGTCACAAAGTGCCACACGTGCCACGCAAACCTTCGAAAAGGGGAGGTTTTGCAGCTTCCCCCATAGGGACGGAATTAACGACCCGACGAGACACTCGAGGCGAATTAAGGGTCCGGCCCCCAGACCCTCAGACTATAAACGGGAACCCTTCGCTACGCAAAAAGGGGTGCTGCCCCCTGCCGCCGACCCCAGTACAGTGAAAGGAACGAGCCATTGGTGGTATCCTTCTAAGTGGTATGCTTGCACCTTAAAACCCGTAGGTCGAAGGCTTAGGTTTTTGCCCCAAACAAACACCTTCGGTCACTGCAAGGCATGTTATGTATATATGTATCTATATGTACATTTATGGTGTAGTATAGTGTTTGTCATGCAACGCAGTGCAATGCAATATAATGAAATGGAATAGTATGGTATGGTATTATGGTATGTTTTTTTAAAATGAGCATATTGTGAAATCACATCATTATGAACAGCAAACATAATACGCCTACGCGCCAGGCACGCGCGGTACCCAATATAGTATAAATTGAATACAATATAATGTAATTATAATACAATTAAAAATGGTAAACATGATATCGACACAAATATTCACAATATGCGTTTGGAGACACCTCGCCTAGGGCCTAGGCCTTTGGAGATGACTGATGTAGTGCGTGTAGGCCATTTATATATGGTCACCCAAAGAGGGGCCTTTATCAGCGAAGTAGACTTGAGTTGATGTAATGTGTCGCAAACCCAGTGCAACAATTTGCACTTTTATTGTGCAGCACGCAAGTAGCTGAAGTGAATGAGTATGATGGTAGTAGAATGTCTCAAACAAGAGTGATTCAAGCAGATTCGCTTCATGGGCTAAAATGCCGTAAGCAGAGGTATAAAAATCATTTGCTGGGTAATTATGAGTAAAGTGGAGCAATTTTCTTTAAGGCCACAACGACATACACGCTTGGCCAGACGGGGTCATTCGACAGACGGCTGGCGGTGCCCAACGTTGCTTTCTGAAGCTGTAAGAAACTAGCTCCGAATGCAGCAGCCGGGCCTCCAAAACCGTGGGCCCATCAGTCCCAAACACCATGAGATTGAAGGCGGGACGGGGTCATTCGACAGACGGCTGGCGCTGCCTAACGTTGCTTTCTGAAGCTGTAAGAAACTAGCTCCAAATGCAGCAGCCGGGCTTCCAAAACCATCGGCCCCCGCCAGCCCCAAACACCATGAGAGTGAAGGCCGGACGGGGTCATTCAAGCGGTGCCTAACGTTGCTTTCTGAAGCTGTAAGAAACTAGCTCCAAACGCAGCAGCTGGGCCTACAAAACCGTGGGCCCGCCGCCATATGAAACACAATGAAAGTGAAGGCCGGACGGGGTCATTCAACAGACGGCTCATGGTCCCTAACGTTGCTTTCTGAAGCTGTAAGAAATTAGCTCCAAACGCAGCAGTTGAATGAAAGTGGAGGTTGGGCGGGTTCATTTGACAGACGGCTCCTGGTCCCTAATGTTGCTTTCTGAAGCTGTAAGAAACTAGCTCCAAATGCAGCAGCCGGGCCTCCAAAACCGTGGTCCCGCCAGTCCCAAGCACAATGAAAGTGAAGCGGACGGGGTCGTTCGACAGAGGGCTTATGGTCCCTAACGTTGCTTTCTGAAGCTGTAAGAAGCTAGCTCCAAATCCAGCAGCCGGGCCGGGCGAAGCTGGGCAGAAGCTGGTGGTGCCCGGGAGAAGATCTGTAGTTTTCTCTGGCGCCCTCCCCCTGCTGATGGCTGGGGTCGGCGGATATAATGTAGATGACCTGCTGTCAAACATCAAAAACTGTGATTCACAATGTCTTGCTGGACAGAGGGAATATCTTGCTGTAGGTCATGCATAGTGCATAGTTGAAACATATGAGAGCCACGTATTATACCATCTCATTTGCCACTTGGAGTTTAATCAACATTTGAGGCATGCGCATCCCCTCCAACAGTTCCGCGACCAGGAACTTTGCGAAACCTTGAAAGAGCTGCATCAAAAAATGATGCTGCAGCAGCAGGTCTGGTCCAAGTTCGTTTCTTGTGATCGTTTCAATTCGGTGCATTGAATGCGTCAACGTGTCCTTGATTTTCGGCCGTCGGCCCCTTCCTGCATTCATTGGGCGTCTGCTTGGATCTTTGCAATGCTCGGCAGTTGTTGAAGTTGCCACCACGTTGCCACCACGTTGTGCCAGATGCTGCAAAAGAGGGAAGAAGAGGCGAAGCAGGTGCCCGCCACAACTGGGAAGTGATGGCCCCAGCACTGCCAGATGTTTTTTTGATAAAATGCTGCCGTTTTATGTACTACAACAATCTACAACATACTACAACAATCCGTACAGGCAAGAGTTCAGGCGCATCCCACAGTTGGTAGGCTAACGGTTCTTTTCCGTTTTTTCTTCACGGCAGCCCTCGTTGAAAACATCATTTTTTGGGGATCAATGTTTGGGGTGTGTGATGCAATGAGAGAAACAAAGAGAGAGGGGGAGAAACAAAAAATGTGTTGATTGTGCCCGTGCCAGTCAGAGAGAGAGAGAGTGTGTGTGTGTGCGTGTGTGAATGTGTGTTCAGATGCTATATTTGAATATGGGTTCCATTCACTGGTGCCTAGTCACTAGTCCCTCTCTCTCTATCTCCTATGGTAGTATCTGGAGGATTCAATGACAACAGGCGCTGTTCAGTACCAGCAGCAGCTGCGCAATTTGGGTTGCGATGACTGTAAGGACTCCGGAGACACAGACGCCCCCAAGCGCCCGCGCTTTCTGCAGGCAAGTTGATTTTTTCTGCGACCAAACAATTGTTGTTTTACTGGGTAGAATAGACAGTATAGATGGTTATTTTTGTTTATTTCTGATTACTATTGTATAGACAATTGTATATATAATTTTTATATATATATATGGGTGCAAGTCAAAAAAAAATAGGAGGTCCGGAACAAGCTCCGGGACCACACCCGCTCCATACCCCCGTTCCATACCCCGTTCCATACCTCCTTGAAGGATCCGTTCCATACCTCTGTTCCATACCTCTGATCCATACGTTATAATATATATATATATGTATTATAATTATGTGTATATATATATGATATAATTATATATATAATTTAATGTATATATAATTTTGTATATATATATATATGCAATAGATATATAATTAACTTATAATTGTATTTATATATATATATGAACATGTGCAATTTGATTTTACATTTTTGCGCACATACAGCCCAAGCCCTGTGATTGTGTTGGGAAGTCTGTGCCTGCAGCACTTATAACTGCTACCTACTTTGTTGTGTGATGGTAGGGATGCGCTTGGCTGTTGCCAGCTGGCAGTCTAAGAATGGATTGCTTGTAACCCTCCCTCCTTCTCAACCTGTGGCAGGTTTCCGCCTGCACCACTTACAGTTGCTGCCTGCTGCGGCACGGCTGTGATGTTTGATGGTAGAGTCTGGTAGAGATGCGCTCGCCAGCTGCCAGCCAGCTGGCAGTCTACTCTCGCTCCAATCTGCCAATTTTGATAAAGTTGCGCTGCGTGGTTGATAAAGATGCGCTGCGTGGTGGCAGCTGTGCTGGAGTGGGCCGTTTCGTTCCAGACCCCGTTCCATACCGTTCCATACCCGTTCCAGACCCGGACCACCCCTGTACCACCCCTGACTCACTCTCGGGTGAACAAATGGCAGGTTCTCACATAGAGGTCTGAAGCTGAGTGGACAGCTTCACATGGTAGCCTGTGGATGACGCTGGCTACCGGTTGTGTCCTAGCTCTTGCACGAGAACTAGCCATGCAAGGCAAACCTGCGTTGAACAGGTGTACAGCAAGGATGTCGTGCAGATATGTGCAGATGAGAAGTGAAAATGAGCGGCAGCCAGCGTGAGTAGCTTCAACAAGCATATCCCTGAGATGTATATTGCGTACATATTTACAATAGGTATATATATATATTTATATACATATATATGTATAGCTAATATTTCATCACACTCCAAAGGTCCGGAACAAGAACAGTTACGAAGCCCCTTCGTTCCATACGTCCGGAACACCGCGGAACGTTCCATACACAATTTTGACTCACAACCATATATCTATAAATATGTATGTATTATATGTATATGTATAAGTATTGATTTCAGCTATGATGCGCATGGAGATGCATTCAAGCACAACCATTTCTATGCGCTTGAATGCTGTTGAGTTGCCGCTGGCATTGCCAAGCCTATTGTTTTTTTTGTGGCTTTGTTGGAGGCTTTGAGGACAGAGTTCCTTTGGTCAATGATGTTAGAGGGAAAATTTGACATTGAAATGCGATCCTTAAGAGCAACACATTTATTTTTTATTTGAAAGAGGGGTCGTAGCAGCCATAGCCCGTGACATCCACTGACTGTTCTGTGATTTTGCTCCCGTGCCAGTGCCGATGGAGGGCCTGCCCCAGTGACAGTGAAGGGGAACGAGGCCGTGTGAATCCGTGTGATTTCAAGATATTTCAAGCCTCCTCTTTGAAAAGAGGCTCTCGCCGATCAGGGCTGCACATCCTCAATGATCAAGATATATCATGATATCATGATATAGTATAATATTAGTAAGAGATAATAATTTAAATATAGCATCACATTTTATATATAAAACTGAATGAAACTGACTCCGATTGACCTGTTGTTTTTGGGGGGTTGATTGTTTTTTGGCCTCCCTAGACATGTGCAACCTGCCATTAGTTAATTAGATCAATTAGTACTGTCTCCTTGACTCCCGACTCGCTATAACGGCGATGGGGCTGAACCGAACTGATCGCGGAGCCCCGCGGTGATCGCGGATGTGGAAAAGGAACACCGGTGGTTCCGGCCGGTGGTGGCTTGCTTCGATGTAACAACGCGATGATTGGACTTGTTTGAACTCTGAAAGAACCTACTGTATAAAATAGGATCAAGATGCAAATTTCAGAAGGTGAATGGACCCATTTGGCATCTTTTGGCTCAAAGATGGGAATCCTGGTGGCAAAGCGCCCACGGGGCGCTTCCTTCTGACGCCATGATCCCTTTGCAGCTTCCTCAGCTGATCGGTATCCGTGGATCATTATGGGTTCCGATGGGTTCCAAGGGCGCCACCACGATATACCTCGGGGATCCTCGGGGCCTGAGGCCGAATAGGGGGTTTCCGCCAGTCGGGCCCTCAGCTATGGTAAAACTGTGTGAAACTTCATCAGCTCATGGATAAGCCATGCTACTGCCCATGGGGGTGGTGACCTACCAGCCCGATCCACATCATGTGTGCCATGTGTGCAGCTGGCGCTCTTGACCCAGACCTCTTGGCGATTGCTGCAAGGCCTTTGTCCAGGGGCAATCCTCTTTGGGGCACAAATCCTCACAAGGGCAACGGAGCCGGCAACTGTCACCTGCAGTGGCAAGGACCTTGAGAAGGGAACGGAGCGACTTGAAGAATGCAGTGCGTAGTTGTTTGATCTTCTTGCGCAGGTTTTGCTCAGCTATGTTCAGCTGATATTCCGGGGAAATCTGTATGAGGGCTGCTTCAGGATAGTCGCACGCAACTAATTACGGTGCTTACATGCGCGACACTTGAAGTTGCAACCGGACCTCTGCAACATTTTTGAGGCCAATTCCCCGACGTTGAGGTAGAGACCTCAGTGGTTCCTGCCCGGGCAGAAAGAACCACTTTTTGCCTTCTCCCATTTGCCACCATTTGCCACCATTTGCCAACATTTACCAACATTTGCCAACATTACATTTACATACTTAATTTACACCATAAACACCCAAATGTACTATACATAGAGCATATGGGTCTTGATATGGTTTGATGACTTCATGACAACTGCAACCAGCCCGGCCGTCGCCCATGTGTTCTAGGCATTTCCCACTTTGGCCTCAGTTAAGCAAGTGATGATGAGCATCTAAGACTATGGTGGACTTGAAGCCGCATGACCTACACACAAATTTCTTGGAAGGAAGGATTACGATTGCGGCTCTGAACTGACAGAATGTGAGGCACACGTGTGACAACTCGTTCATGAGATGGTGTGTCAATTGACGGCCCATGTAGAGACAGATAATTTCAATGCGTTGCTACAAGGATGTGCGTACAGTACATATGCCAGTATAGGGACAACAAGCATTTCATGGCATCCACGCGGGCAAGTTCCACAAGCTTGGCCATATTATTTGCTTTGTGCTGCACTCAGTTTGCAAAAGCACGAGCTGATCAGATTGCTCATTAGCCTATTCACTTGCCAAACAAGATGACTTCATTGGACTGTTTGTTGATTAGCATCCATACACGACGCACGATACGTGTTTGCGCATGCAGGATTCCTGGGGCAGTCCCCAAGCACGGACTAGTTGCAAGTCCTCAATGATACTGCATCAATAGAAGGCATGATAAGTCATGCAATATGTCAGGTGAATGGTGTGAGGCGGATTCGGACATTTGATGGGGATGGTGATAAACCTCCACAAGTGTTTCACATTGTGAGGAGGCTTGCTGGGTATCATGTCCATCATGGACGCAGCATGTCATCCATGGTGACCAAGGTATTTCTTGGATCCTCATCACAGGGGCTTTACATCCCTCAATGGTGAACGTGGCCAGGCTGATTTTTTTGTTCGAAGGCTTTGCCTGATGTTTGCTCCAACCATCTCCAACCTTTCGTTTCAGCGCAAAAGAGAAACAAATCCTAGGAGTATCTAGGAGTTAAAAATAATTAAACCATATTAAACCCCATTAGCGATGATTCATAAACTAGCTGCATCATCCTGTAGTTTCTTGTGATTTTACGAAACTTTCCGGATGTGTTTGGTATCATTCGCTTGTCATGTTCTAATGTAACTGAGGGCTTCAAAGCCAGCGAGAAAGATGGCACCTTGGCCTGAAGCATCGGAGTTGGTGTTCACCGCTGTTCCAGCATGAGGCACCAGTCTCATGTCAGCTACTTGCAGTCGACGATTCAGAATGGTTCATCAAGGACCAACAGAGCGGGCGCGACCAAGATATTGTAAAAGAAAACAATATAAATATACAATTATATTTAATATAGTTGTAGGATTACAAAGATGTCACGTACAGTATATATCAAAAGTGTTTGCATCTCGTGGGGATTGTACGTAGTTCGTGGGCACCAGCACTTGCCAAAGCTCCGAGGCTCAGCCCCTCGGTGTTTTGCGTCCAATGCGATCCTGAGATCGCAGGGTTGGGCGAAACTTGGCCGCAGGAAATCTCCTTCCAATATCATCCAATGTCTTCTGTGCAAATCATAGCTATTGTTGCTACACCCTCACTTAGAGGTGAGGGGATCTGTGAACTATGGTAAGTTAATGCAAATTGCTTAGATGATTTCATATGATTTAATAGTTTCACATGCTTTAATCCTTTTTTGGTGCCCAAGGGTTTTGGTATGTTTTGGCCAGATGTGTTGCCAGCCTGCCAGCCTGCCGGCTCAGGAGCAGATTGTAGCGTTATGCCGGGCACTGGAGCGCCAAAGCAGAGGCCGCACTGTCAGCAACCGCGGCGGCTGGCAGAGTAAGGATACGCAACGAGCGGAGCAGTCCTGGTTGTCTTTGTTGAACATTCTCGACGGGTGGGGTTTTTACATGGTAAAATCATCCAGTCTATAAATTAATTCTCCATTGCCCTTTGATTCCCAGAGAGGATTTGCTTGCACTTCTGAGAATGTGGCAAGGTTGCAGAACTCTAGGGTTCTAACTGCCTGCTAATTACTATGGCTTCAGAATGTCCTACCCTCTCAGCCATTTGACACCATTGAATTAAAATGGAAGCTTCCCCAATGGAAAGGGAAAATAGGGAAGTCATATTCATGTGCTTTAAGGCTAGCAGGGTTTCATTGCTGTCCACATGGGTGACTTGGTTGATGTTCAGGACCTCGTCGCGCTTGATGCCCAAGAATTTCGAGAGCTCCTCGGCGCACCGACCAAGCATTTAAGAATATTTAAGATCTCCATGATTCATTCCAGTTTATATAATCAGATTGTTTCCGGAAGTTTGGACATTCTCACCTATTCTCATGCTATTTCACGATAGTTCAAATGCCAGTCCAATTCATTCCCGATGTATGTGACGTGATCAGGCGGTCAAGCCACCAACAAACTGTGTCACAGCAAACGCCCGAGAAGATGAGGTTGATGAAGCTGATGGAAGCGCCAGCCAAGACCTTTCTGCAGGCTCAGGAATGGACTCATCCTGTGGAGGACTGAGCCGACTGAGCGATGGCGAGCGGCTTGCAGCCCTATATACACATCCTCTGGTTTCATTTGGGATGGTTGTTGATCAGAAACCGGAGGACAACGAAACTCTGGAAGTGGCAGTCACGCCTGACCAGTTGTGGGCCAACATCAATAGACCTGGAGATTGGAATGCTCGCCACACTCATGGCAGTACGAAGCTCAGATCAAGAGTTGTTTTGAATGGATGTTTAAAGAGGGTTTCATTTGTGACCTTGATAGTTTTTCTATGCCTTTGACAAGATTGGATTGATTGGCGGGATTGCCATTGCAGGCATTCCTGCAAGAAACCTTGTTAGTGTGGGACTTGCATCGGAAAGCTGACTTAACCCGGACATACCCGGACATTGGTTGCTAGTCGTAATACGAGGTTATACCACTGGGCAGTGAATATCATGATTTATTACTGTACTATTGTGATTATATGATTATAAAATATTGTACAACTGAATGGGGGAATGCGTGTCCGGCTATTTCCAGACCTTTTCTTTGCAACCCTACTGTATATGCTGATTATTTCTCATTTGTTTCAACAACACTGAGGTCCCAGTGCCTCTTTGTTCGCATCGGGGGTTTTCTACCCAGAGGTAGATGAAAGGAGAGGAGGGAACTGATGTTGCCGAGGCATCCAAATTGTGTTGTTTCGATTGGGGACCTATGGGGCCTTAACCCAGCAAAATACTGTAACTGTAGCGTAGCAGGAAAAGCTAGGGAAACCACAACTTGTAAACAAGATTTGCCAAGATTCAGATAGGATCACAGATGCGAATAGAAAGGCAAGTGCTGGTAATGTAAGATACAGCAAAAGCCGTCGGCCAAGCGTCTCACGTTTGTGATTCTGCAGGGTAGAGCCTGCTCGTTTGGTGCTGTATCCTGGCAACGCTTCTACCATTCGCGTGGTTCCTGAGTCCAACTTGCTTGTACTTTTCCCTCCTGATTTGCCACATGAGGCACGGGGAAGACTGGAGAGGATTGAATCTACATACATGTCATACACACACACACATATATATATATATATGCAAATGTATATACATTATATATATATGTATAATGTTGACATGCTATTAATAACCCCTCCCAAACATTAAGAGCATCAAAATAAAGTTTAGGCCAAACATTGGCTGGGGGTCCCTGGAAAGTTTTCCAGACCGAACAAATTGCCTAATTGAAAACGAATACATAAGTGGACTTTCTTTCTATTTTAGGATTCCCAAATGAATTGCCTAATTGAAAACGAATACGTAAGTGAACTTTCTTTCCATTTTAGTATTCCCAAATGAATTGCCTAATTGAAAACGAATGCATAATAAGTGAACTTTCTTTCCATTTTAGTATTCCCAAATGAACTGCCTAATTGAAAACGAGTACATAAGTGAACTTTTCCATAATACTTTATTTAGGGGGGTGCACAGATTCATTATTATTTAGATGTTAAGGGTCTTCAGGGCTACCTGAAAAAACAAGAAAAAACACACGGAAAAAAAAACACACAATCAAAAAACGGTACAAACGAATAAAGGAGGAAAAAAACGGAAGAAAAAACGGAAAAACATCGGGAAACGACATATCAAAAATCGGATGGCGTACTTTATTGCGGGGGGAGGTTTATTAATATTTCATTTCCATATATTTCCCGGTATTGGGCGTACTTAATTACGGGTGGTGATTAACGGCATGTGGACATATTATATATATATATATATGTTTCGTGTATAATTATATATGTATATTATATATATAATATGCCATATGCGTGTGTGTGTGTGTATGTAATGTATAGTTACATGTCAATGTATAGTTACATGTCAATGTATAGTTACATGTCAATGTATAGTTACATGTCAATGTATATGTGACTTATGCATATAGATAGATAGATCGATAGATCGATAGATAGATAGATAGATAGATCGATAGATCGATAGATCGATAGATAGATAGATATAGATATAGATAGATATAGATAGATAGAGATAGAGATAGATATAGATATGGATATGGATATGGATATGTGTGTGTTTGTGTTTGTGTGCGTATACCATGCATTTTGACCCACGCAGCAGTGCTGATTGGCTTTGAAAGTTACATGTGTTGAGAACACCGTTTTTTTGAGTTTTGGAGATGCTGTGCTGTATCCATGGTTGTGGTCACCTGGTCGCTTTTGGCCCGTTGTCGATTGTACAGATTATATACTCTGGAAGAGACCTAGGTCACTCAGGTTTTGGGAAGCTTGAACCATCATGAACCATCCAGATTTGATGACCCCCACGATACTGGAACTGGCCCAGCAACTGTTGACCCTCGCTTTAGGTGGAAGCATCAGACTCTGCGGCAGAAGAGCGAGTGTCCATTGCGCCACTTAGCTTCGAAGTGCGCAACTGTATACACTGATATACCATCGATTGCAGGCAGTGGGTTTTAACTACTGTTTTAATAGGTTTTGGAAGAAGCGAATGGAAGCGGAGAAACACCAGGAGGGAGGTGGGGCTGTACAGTCACCCAGAGAGAGAGAGGAGGAGTACATCAATCATCCATCTGCAGTGCTATGCAGTGCTATGCAGTGCTGTCCAGGTTCAACTTGGTCGCACGCTGGCTCCCTGGAGAACTGCTTCAAGCTGCGCACCAGGGAGATGCGGGGAAGGTTCGGCTCAGTTTGACAAGTCACAAGATATCACAAGATGACCTCAATGTGAAGACCCGCCTGGTGGATGGTTGTTCTATGTTGTTCTCTGAGATAATGATCCCATTGGATTGACATTTCGTGGGAAACTTGCTGAAACTCAGCACCAGATGTAGCTCTGCCGTGATTCGATGTGATTCGATGTGATTTGTTTTTTGAGCCGCAGCACATCGAAGGCCAGAATGCTTGCAGCCGACAAAACCGATCGTTTGTTGGGGCTGTCAGCAGCACACCTGGCAGCGGAGCAAGGTCATGTAGCGGTTCTAAAGGTGCAGACCCGCTTCATGAAATCGACATGGGAGCGTACGTGAAGTAATGTCAAGGTACGTTGAGGTGCCCCATGCCCAGCACTTGAAACGAAGGACGGTAGTGGGGTTGATACTGTATGTTTGAAATAGGCACCTCCGCTGAAGTTTGGATCTACTGATACTGGATCATTTGAACCTACCTATACCGATTGGGGCGGGGGAGCTGCCCGACATGTATTGTGTAACATGTGTAATTGCAACTCTTAAGCCATTGTGATCTGGGAGGCTTTGACTGGCAAAAGCAACCTTTCTGCAATGTCCACCTTGGGCACTCCCCTGGAGTTGGCAGCTGCTCGAGGGCACGATGTGGCAGTGGAGTATCTCATGAGCAGCTTGAAGTTGAACCAATGGCAGATATGGCAGGGCTCGATTTGATGGAAATGGTATGAAATCGTTTCCAATTGTTTCCAACATGGTTTGAGTTTGTGCAGTTGCTTTCCATTTTCAAAGCGCGCTATCGTGAACAGCTTTCACCGGAATGCCTTTCAGTTGTTTCAGGCAAGGCCCAGCATGGTCCAGCAGTGGTGGCAGCTGTCGTAGCTGCAGCAGAGCGGGGACATGGCAAGGTGGTTTCAAGACTGCGTGCCTTGAATAATATCTTCGAACTAGGGACATGCAGATCTTGTGCTCGTGCTTCGGGATGTCATTTTGCAAATTTGAAGAAAGAACATATAGGAAAACTCACAAGAGCTCAAAGATCGGTCCAGAGATATTGATCGGTCGTTTATGTCATTTGCAGGGGGGAATATGCGTCGGGAAGTTTTTCAACTGCTGTACCGATGAAAGCCTAACATTCAGATTGTATAAAAATAATAGGCATCCCTTTGTTTCCTTAGAACATATCTGTTTCCGCGCGTGTCCTTAGAACTTTCCCTTCAAGTCATGTTGGCGCCAAGGCATGGCCTCTCCCACCACAGCAGCTGCTGGCCTAAAAGCTGCAGCAACAGCGGGGCATGCAGATTTGGTGAAAAACTTGTTGCCAGAGGAGTTTCTGGGCTAAGTTGTCCTTCCCCATTGAGAAAGGGCAAAAAAGATGGAAACAATCGCATCTTATATATTTCATTTTTGACAGCCAGCCTCCCAGCCCCATTGAGAAAGGGCAAAAAAGATGGAAACAATCGCATCTTATATATTTCATTTTTGACAGCCAGCCTCCCAGCACCATTGCAGGATATTACAATAGTTCCCCACCTGCCAGGTGAGGGTTGTTAGATTTTATGTCAGTTGCCTCCTCCTGCCTCCTCCTGCCTCCTGCCTCCTGCCTCGTCCTCCTCCTCCTCCTCCTCTCCTCCTCTCCTCCTCGTCCTCCTCATCCTTGTCGTCCTTGTCGTCTCGTCCTCCTCGTCGTCCAATTGCGACCCGCGATCCACAGTGTTCTCTGCCGGACCTCAACCACGACCATCCCCGCCCAGTGTTCCCTGCCGGACCTCAACCACGACCATCCACGCCCAGTGTTCCCTGCCGGACCTCAACCGCGAGTATCCACGCCAAGTGTTCCCTGCCGGACCTCATGTAGGAAGATATGGGACAAAGAATGTGCAGAAGAAAGTTAGAAAGAATGTCAGAAAGAATGTCAGAAGATATGCCAGAAGATATGCCAGATAGAATGCCAAATAGAATGCCAGATAGAATGCCAGAAGATATGTCAGAATATATGCCAGAAGATATGCCAGATAGATATGCCAGAAGATATGCCAGATAGAATGCCAGATAGAATGCCAGAAGATTTGCCAGATAGAATGCCAGAAAATATGCCAGAAGATATGCCAGATAGATATGCCAGAAGATATGCCAGAAGATATGCCAGAAGATATGTCAGAATATATGCCAGAAGATATGTCAGATAGAATGCCAGAAGATATGTCAGAATATATGCCAGAAGATATGCCAGATAGAATGCCAGATTGAATGCCAGAAGATATGTCAGATAGAATGCCAGAAGATATGCCAGATAGAATGCCAGAAGATTTGCCAGATAGAATGCCAGAAGATATGCCAGAAGATATGCCAGATCATATGCCAGAAGATATGCCAGATAGAATGCCAAATAGAATGTCAGAAGATATGTCAGGTAGAATGCCAGAAGATTTGCCAGTAAGAAAATATATAAATGTCATGGTGGGGATCACACGAAGTAAAGTAATTGCTTTTTTTGCGTGCGAAGCTTGGCATGTTCACAAACCAGCACACAAAATTGGCTCAGCCTCTTTGACAATTCCCTTGAAAATCCAGGTTGGCAGCCACCCCAGAGGCCAGGGCAGGATTGATGGAAGCTGCAACACGTGGACATTCGGATGTGCTAGACCTCCTGGTAGCTGCAGGCGAAGTGGGGCTGGGAGGAGTACCGATTCGACCCTACCAACAGCGGCCGACCCCTATTGATGGTAACCTGCCAAAGGAGTGCAAGCGACAATTTTTGAGCCATGTCTCATCATACATTGCATGGCTCATGAAGTGTGGGTGTCAGAGAACTTGGACACAATTCCATCAAAACATGGGCTGAATGGTGGTTTCAAATCTGTCTTATCATCATCCTACTCAGACTCATTATGATTGTACATAATATTACGGCCAGGCGCTCTGTGTTGCCCGGAAGGTTCAAATGGCGTTTAAACATGTTCGCTGCAACCCTGACGTTGCTCCCTCTCTGACTTCAGCTGCTATGAAGATAAAGTTGATGTTATTACCCCAATCAACATATTGTTCGCAGGGGGTGGCGAATTTTGATCCCTTATGAAGATAAAGTTGATGTTATTACCCCAACCAACATATTGTTCACAGGGGGTGGCGAATTTTGATCCCTTATGAAGATCAAGTTGATGTGATTACCCCAATCAACATAGGGGGTGGCGAATTTTGATCCCTTATGAAGATAAAGTTGATGTTATTACCCCAATCAACATTTTGTTCATAGGGGGTGGCGAATTTTGATCCCTTATGAAGATCAAGTTGATGTTAATACCCCAATGAACATATTGTTCACAGGGGGTGGCGAATTTTGATCCCTTATGCAGATAAAGTTGATGTTATTACCCCAATCAACATATTGTTCATAGGGGAGTGGCGAATTTTGATCCCTTATGAAGATCAAGTTGATGTGATTACCCCAACCAACATATTGTTCACAGGGGGTGGCGAATTTTGATCCCTTATGAAGATCAAGTTGATGTTATTACCCCAACCAACATATTGTTCACAGGGGGTGGCGGATTTTGATCCCTCATGAAGATCAAGTTGATGTTTTTACCCCAATCAACATTTTGTTCATAGGGGGTAGCAAAATTTGATCCCTTATGAAGATAAAGTTGATGTTAGTACCCCAACCAACATATTGTTCATAGGGGGTGGTGAATTTTGATCTCTCATGGGGATATAGTTGATGTTATTACCCCAACCAACATATTGTTCAGAGGGGGTGGCGAATTTTAATGTGATGATGATCATGATGGTTGTAAGTGTGGAGCAACGTCCGGGTTGGGGCGAACATGTTTAAATATTATCCTTCAACATGCTCAAACACCTGCGCAGGGCCAGTTTTTTGAGATTTCCCAGACGACGAACCCTAAACGCCCTAAACCATCCTAAACCATCCTAAACCATCCTAAACCATCCAAAACCCTAAAACCCCAAAACCCTAAGCCCTAAAACCTGGGCTCTGAAAACTTTGAATCCTTAACTGGAAAACACAGCGTATACTGTACGCAGTATTTTCAGGTATTTTCTGCAATCTCTGCTATCATATATTCGACAGCACAACATTCTCAATGTTATTTAATGTTTGGGCAACACACGGCGTCTGTGGGCAATATTACATATTACCTGCGGATGATCCGAATTGATACATGATTTTTTAGAGGGGTGGCTCAACCACCAACCACAACCAATGGGGATAAGTTGTCACCAGGTGTTGACCTCCGTGCCCCAGACACGTCGGGCAAAACAGCGCTGCACAATGCTGCAGCGGGTGGGCACCGTGATGCGGTGCCCGGGCAGACGCTGTAAGGTTAAGGCGGTTAAGGTTTCAAGGGCCCCCGATTCATCATGACATCATATTATGAATTATGACATATTGCTAGCATATCAATAGATGCATATAGACCTTGAAATGCCAAATCGCATCAATTGAAACTTGCATCATTATTGTAGTCATTTCGAGACACGTCGATATCGATGATTCAAAACCAGCCGATACTGACGAGATTGCAACCTAAGCCGGGGTAGAACGCACATGCAAGGTGCGCAGTTTGCTTGCAAGTGGGGACGACAGTCTTCTGAGAGCCTCAGTTGTGCATTAGAGGGAATTTGCAGGAAACCAGAGTAGAAATATGTAAAAATAGTAAAAACCATGGTTTCCTGTAGATGTAGATGTTTCTTTAGATTCATTATTGGATTGGATAATGGCATTGGCGAAGCAAAAGATAATCTGAAGTCAGGCACGTGTGGCCCAGACAAGCTATAGATCGTGCTGACTCATCAGACTGCAAACAGCAGTGGAATTTGCCATGCACTTATTGCATGGATAATATTGATGTATCGAAGATCCGGCTGAGACAGATTCGGTACAGCATACTCTCCACTTCGGCCCTAGGCATGAGAGACAAGCAAGACGCAGAGCCACTACATTGGGCGGCTTTGCAGGGTCATGCTGCAGTTGTTGAGGAGTGGAGAGGGTTAGCCTCTTCAGCAGATCAATAATCCAGAAAAGGCCCAAATTGATCCAAATTGCACATTTTCAACTGCACCGGTCCTCCAAAGCAGCCCGTTTTGTACATTTTTTGGACACGGGGTTCAAGACCTGCCAGACCTGCCATGGCGACGAATCCCCGTTGCCAGGAGCTGTTGGCCGCAGGTTCTGATGTCAACGCAGTAGCCCTTGGAAGCGTTCCAGGGAGACCTCTTCACTGGGCAGCCCGATCACAGAGTGCAGGCGAGGGCAAATGCCGTTTGGCTACGGACCAAGATATGTGAGCACTGATTTGTACGGTGTTACGGTGTTTCTTAAGTTAATCATGTTAATGTGTTGTTTTTGCCAGTGGAACTTCTTGAACAAGAAATCTACATAAGTACATTTATTTGTATGAGTTGCGATGATGAGAGAAATATACAGTGAAACCAAATTTAAAAACTCACATGTGTGCAGTGTTTGCACGCTCACCTCTCCATTTGGCCATTGGTGCAGACGTTGTGCGCACCCTGCTTCGAGCTGGTGCACATGCAGGTGTTTCTGAGGTGCGACTGCAAGGGGCAGGCGGTTGTTTGAGATGCCTCGTTTGTTGAGATCAAATACGGATGATTCAGATTATGGCCTCAAAAGAACCCACTACACCTTCATTCCGAATTCATTTTGGCATGATGGTAAGCGTCTGGCTTCTAATTTGTTAACCTAGTGACCTAGTGTGTTGGAAGCGGAAATGTCATTGTTGGCCATATGCAAACAGCACAAAACCCCACCAAGATTTCTGTAACTGTAGCACATACAAAAAAACACTCCACCAAAAATTCCCCAAACAAATCAGCGTTTTCTAAGATGAACATTTGGTCGTTATTGTGTTGATATGTATCCGTAGGAGCAAAAACATATTTATATTACATGCGTAATTCATTTTAGAACTGTGATATACTTAACGCATTTTCATAGGATTCCCGCAAGTTCATGCACAAGAAAGTGAATATCAAACCAGCGTCATCCAGTATCCTATTGAGATGAGAGCATCGATGCTAGGTTCGGAAATCCATTCAGCCTCCATTGCCTGGGCAAGTCCTGGTTCGGTCTGGTGATGTGCTCGCTTGCGACTTGGATGCTTTTGGGTCAACCATTTCCCGAGTGTATCCCAGCAAACATGAATTTCATGTGTGTGTGTGTGTTTGCAATTCAGTTCCACATCACATTTCACCAACTGTGTTTAATTGTGTTAATCTAGCTTAATCATGCTTAATCTAGTTTTGCTTAATACGGACATTCATAGACCGTATGCCAAATCGTTTCGATTTTGATGCGCCGGGTGTAAACCTTAGACCATCCTTGACCTGGCACACCTGGCTGAGGCACTCACGGGGCAGAAGTGCTAACCAAGCGCGGTGTTTCAGCGACCGCGGCAGGAGAAGATGGCACAAGTCCCTTGCACATTGCTGCGCTGATGGGTGACCGAACAGTTGCAGCACCTGGGTTACACAATGACTCACAATGCTCAGGATGTAGAAGGCAGAAAGGCAAAAGCTACTATAGTAGTTGATTCTAGCAGGCTGTCGCCGTTGTGGGTCCGACAAGGATTAAGGAGTCTGTTTTGGACCTATAAACATTTGTACACACCTTTTGCATGACTGCTGCTGTTTGGTTGCAAATCATCCAGATTTGATTTTTGTTTTCGGCCCACTCCAGTCGGCGCCATGAGAATGCCACCATTTGCCTGGCCCTTCTCTTCCACTCTAATATCATCTAATATCAGAACAAGGGAGGTTTGAAACCACCATAACGGTGATACAACCGCTGAAGTCTGAGAACTGGAATGGAAGAGACATATCAAAGCGTCACACGCCTACAAAGACAGACAACCAAGGCAATGTTGAGCGATTCCAGAGAAGCATTGGATGTAAGGGACTATTGTGGTGCGACACCATTGCACTGGGCAGCCGCCAATGGACATGCTCAGCTTGTGGAGGATTTGCTGAAAAGAGGTGCCAACCGTTCATGCACACGTGCTGCTTGCCAACTTTCACGCAACAAGTACTTGAAGGATGATGTGGCAAAATGTGGCAAATGGCCTAGAAAATGGATTCAACCTTTCAGTGTTGTCCTGTTTTTGATTGTTTTCTTGCCCTGGCCTCGGCCAGGAGCCACCCCGAATGCTGTGGATGTGTCCAACGCCACGCCGTTGCACGATGCTGCATGGGCTGGTCACCATGCAGTGGCAGAAGTTCTACTCGATGCTGACGTTGCGATCAATGCAGTGGATGCAAGAGGTGTCAACATTTGGGGGTTGATTCAAATGGGGCAGCAGGTGTTTGACCAATATTGACCATATGGGTATGGGTCAAAATTAGGTACCCCAATAATTGGATGGTTAATACTAAACTAGACTAACACCTGTGGTCCCCTAGGTCTTCCATTTTGACCCACATCCATATGATCTAACGGGATTATACTGTGAAGGGGTAAGCGAATAATCAAATTAAATGCTGGACGATTGACCATGCCAGAATGTTTGAGTTGGTGGCGGTGCTTGGTGCACTTGACATTCTGACCCGCTGGATTCAGGTCTGAGAGCATCATGTAAATATGTGGATAGTAATTGGATAGTTAATTGAATATCATGTTGTGTTGAGATGAGTCGAGTATTCGTAAACTTCTCTGCGCAGGCCGCACGGCCCTGCATGCAGCAGCCCTTCTTAGCCAACCGGACTTGGTGGCGCTATTATTGGCATCTGGAGCTGCTGAATTGCCAGATGACCAGGACACGAAGCGCAGCATCAAGTGATGCAACCAATAGGATGTGATATTTTAATTTAATATATTTTAAGCAGGGTGACAAATCAGGAAATGATGTGAAGTAACTTGCTGAAATTAATATGTGTGTGCTTGTAGACAAGAATCCAGTAGCACATAGCACTACACCATAGTACGCCGGTGTCTCAACATAGCTCTTTGCACTGGTTTGCTGAGCAACCTTCAATGCAGGAACCTACCAGAAAAGGAAATCCTCCAGGCATCTCCAGACTCCAGACAGCTTATGTTGTACATATGTAATTTATAATCATATAATATACATTGTTGTATGTACTACTTGTAGGTTACTAGATGTGAACCATTGAATTTCATTGAATTGCATGATATGCGATTCAGGGCGTCCCGACTTGGAGTTTGTCGACATGCATCCTAAACTGTTGAGGTCGCACAGCAAAAAAATGTTGGGAGATGTTGGGAGAGCCCTGTAGCCTGAGCTATGCCAGGATCAATATCCAGTGGATTTGGCCTGCCAAGCATCAGAGTGTCTCAGCTTCTTTGGATAGTCCTTAGTTATGTCCTTGCTTGGTTAGTTGGGCCAAGGTTATGCCCAGATCCAACTAAAGCTACACATTGGATCACATTGGTAGTTATTCAGAAAGTTTATCGTATTTTGTCGACCATGGGTATAATCGGTATAAATGGGTGATCTGTAAGAAATCCCTCAGAGCTTTGAATGAGAAGGAAACAGACACAAGTTACACAAGCAGACGACTTTTCCGAGAAGTCTGACATTTCTGCTGCGATTTCAGATGGGTCGACCTCATCTCCAAAACCATCAGCAGCTATGGCGGCGCGCTGCGCGGTCGAGCGACCCGAGTGCAGCAATTGCTTCAAAAGGGCCGTGGCAAACCGGTTGGAGCTGCTATCAGCACCAGCAGCTGGTGCTGACTGCCTGACTGCCATGAATTGCTGCTGCCAGATTTGGTAGGATGGTTGGGATAATTGATTTGTGAGACAACTGGCTGGGATTGAGCCATGCCCTTGCCCATAATCAGTACCAGCCTAGAGTGCAACAATTACCCCAAATCCATGAAGATCGAATTATATCCACAGGATGGAAACACAGCAGCTGTCCCTTTAGCGCCTTTAGATTGCAGCAATCTTTTTAGGTCTGGCTTGGCATATTATGCTGCCAGTCCCTGCGCTGCGGTCGAAACCTCAGCATCCAGCAGTTTCAAGCTTACCTGGCTGCTGCCATCTGCCATCTGCTGCCATCCAAAGAAAGGTGGAAAGGGTGAGACTCAAAAGTCCGCTAGTTCCTGGATATACTGGTGATTTCACTGGTTGGCTCAGCTTCAAATGTCAAAGAGACCAGTGGCACTATGTGGCAATACATTTAATGTTGGAACATGTTGGAACTGTTGGAATGGCTTTGAATCCGTTTTGGCTGGACCTGCAAAGCACTGCTGTCTCAGGATCGATCGTTGAGCCCCGAAAACCGTGCTGCGAAGAGCTTAGAGGGCTGGTGGTTCAGCATGAGACTCATTGACTCATTGACAATTGTTGGCCAACAGTTTCACATATTTCCGGGTTGCTATTAGATGATCAGCCACAGTTGCTTCCACAATGATATGTGAACATATACGTGTATATTATATATATATATATATACATATTATATATATATGCGTGTGTGTGTGTATATACAATTTTATATATATATACTATTTATATTTATATATACATTTTACACACACACACACATATATATATATACAGATTCGAATTATACAGATATATAGTTTGTATAATACATAATGTAGACGCAAAAAATGAAGTTTCCTAAAATGGCGGGGTACCCCAAATCATCCTTTGGGGATCCCCCATTTTAGGACACCTCCAAAAATGTTTAGGGTTGAAACATCTTGAAACTGCCAATCAGATCAATCAGCTGTTGTGGCTGTTGCAATTGAGAAAGTGAATTCTACACCTGCGACACCAAGGGTTTGCAGGTGAGAAATTCGAGCAACAGCCCAGAGATGCGACGCTCACCGGTAGCGTCCTGACCTTAATTCATGATGGGAACAATCACATTTACCCTCTGGCAATCAAACCTAGCTGGCCAGGAAATCCCCATCAAATATGGAGGTTTTAATGGTAGAATCATGGAAAATCATTTTTGAATGGGGGGATTTCCCATTGCCATGTTTGATTGCCAGCGGGTATGACTTGTGACTCTGTGCAGCAAGTGCAAGGCCTTGTTTTTGTTCTGCACTTTCGCAATCTAATTATGAGGTACAGCATCGACAAGTGCTCTGGGGTTGCCACGCCTCAAAATGGATTGAAATGGAAACATACCCATAGAGTAATCAATTATGGTTAAACCAAGGAGTTGGGCTGGTGACATGTGACATGATAGTTTATGGTCAGCGTTTGTGGTGCGCATCTTCACAGCACTTCCGAAATAAGAATGTGAACATAAACACCCGGAACTTGCCTGCGGAATCCGTTCCCGGCTCCAATACTTCACATGTTTGCAGTGTCCAGGTACAGGGCTCTGACTCCGAATCCGAGCACTCAAGGCCTTGATTGATGCTTGCAGTGCAGTATCTAACTCCCTTGATTTGTCGTCCAAAAGGTTTGAAGCCAAGCACCAAGCACTTCATAATATACAACCTGCCCAGTCTACTTAGTCCAGACTAGTGCAGACCGCAGCTTGTCAATACGCTGAATGCCTCATTTTGTTTAAAGATGTTTAAAGCGTGTGAAGGGTCCGAAAGTTGAAATGGTCGGAAGCTTCCCAGAACGTACAAAAATAATCAAAAATATATGTACAAAACCCAACGGAGCTGCTAGTGGGCTATTCGAGAGTTCCAATGCTCAAAGCCAGCCATGGAGCTCAGCAGGCCTTCGCACGGTCATGCGACCTGCAGAGCCCCAGCACATTCGAGATCGGTCATCTAGCTCGGATCCTAGACCCACTATGACCCGTTCATACCCGTTCTATATCATAGGATGTTCCATGATGTTCCATGATTTGGAACGTCTTCACGCCTTCATATGAAACTTGATTCGGACAATCTCGGACATTTTATTTGCAGGAGCATATATTTTAAAAAAAGTCGATAATTGTAGTTTCAAAAGTACGCGCTCGTGAGACCCTTGTACTACTGTATACTACTGTAGTACTCTTCCAACACATTTGACATATGTTATCATATGTTACATTTTTTTTATCATGGTGATCTGATCTCGAGTGCATACAGTGTGAGCATGTGGAATCTGGAGCAAAGCAAGGCCCGACCGCGAATGCCCGCTTTGGACCTGCACCCTTAGTGCCTCCGTTTGCGTAGGGCTCTCAAGGTTTCGGGGTGTTTCGGGGTGAGAATGCGCATAATTCTCCAAGTGTTGGCGAATCCCCCTCATATATCCCAATAATTCCTAATATGAGATCGTACTTGGCATTTAGATGTAAAAGTTCCTTCACCCCACTTGCAGCATTCAGAGACATGCGCGTTTGCATTTGAGACATGTCATTGGATAACAATGGATAACATGGATGATGTCAGTGTGGCAGATCTCTCCCCCTTTTGCCTGTTTGTTCATTCCTTCCTCTCTTCGGAGTTGTTTGTTATCTGGGCGATGATGATCACATCATCCATCATTGGAGTCAGAGCACATCCACAGATATCCACAGCATGTTTGGCTGTTCAGATCATTGTTTGAAACCGCCTCAGTGATTCCATGGCACAATCAGGCAACCTAGCCACTCAGGCAATTGACAAAGGCTCAGATGGGCGCATTGAAAGTCCAGATGTTTCATTCGGCTTCAATCTGATAATCACATATCATACTCATACTGCTATGCCATGTTAAGCTGCTATGCCCATTGACATGTATGTAATGTCATGTATGATGTGTGATTCATGGTACTAATAGTAGGATATAATATATATTCTGGCGATGGAGAGAAATATATATATATAATATGAAAATATATATATATGTGAATACATACATATACATATATGAATGCATTTATATATATATATATATTGATAATTATTGACTGACAAATACGTATATTATAGTAGGCATGACATGGAACTTCCAAAGATTAACATCGCCAAAACATTCGATCCACAATGGCTTCGGTGACCTCGGACGCCTTCCCCACAGAGACTGAGAAGGTGAGCGGCCTTGGTCGCGCCATCGAAAACATAGGAAACTATGTAACTATGATTAACTATGACTCACTATGACGATGTTGAACTATATAATTTATCTAAATTGATCTAAATTGATCTATGTTGCTTTTCATTTTGTTTCATGCTAAGCTAATGCTAATGCTATATTAGCACATGTTTAGATGTTATATGATTTTCTGATATATTGCTACTGAACATGTAATCAATCGTATAGCACATTGACCATTGCAGAGAAATCTTTTCTGTGAGCATTATTGAGATTGAGGGTTGCTCTTCAAGCCTTAGACCCATCGTTTTTACGGTGTGTTTACGAATAGCCTAGCCACCAAAAAGTAGGAGCTTGATTCATGAATGAAAAGATGCATGTTCAAGGTGAAATGACAAAGGACGAATGGTTGAGAGCAGTTGTTGTTGTTTTTCTCCGGTGGTTATGTTTTGTTCATTTTGTTCTTGTGGCCAGATGACTTCACTGGTTATAAAAAAGGTCTTGAAAGCACTCCCACTGCTAGAAGGAACTGATCTCGCAGCTTCAAGATCACTTTAAAGCCGAGTTCAGCGAGCGGGAGAAGAAAGGACGGTGGGTTGTAGGAATGTTGCTGGAGGATCATGCAGTTCAGTCTTCTTTTTGGATGTTATTGGAATCCTGTCACCATGAAAGGGTTGGATCGCATCATAATGCCGTAATGCGGATATTTTCAATGATTCATCAGGAAAGGTTCATTCAATGGAGACGGATCATGGCAGATCAGCTTCACATGAGAGCCGTCCTAAAACCCATACGGTATAATTTTGATCAATCCACTACGGGAGTTTTTCTTCAACATTTTGGAGAGGCTTTAAACGAGCATCGCCCGAGGTTTACACAAGTGTTGCCCAAGGTTTGGCACATCGAAATATGTTGCAGAGATGTAATTATGTACCTTTAGTATCCTTTAGTTGCTCGAATCTGTTGCCATACTAACGCACCGCGTCGTGATCGGGAAAGACTTGCGTAAGGTTTGCCCAGGAGAAGTTTTTCGGTGAGTTACTTTTGGATACTTTTGGACAACTCCCACATCTTCCCACAGCGAAGGGTTTTCACAGCTGTGTGATCAGCAGGACAGCTGTACCAACCTCTATTTGGAGAACTGGCTCTTACGCGGATCTTGCGACAGCCTTTCGGCTTGCAGATGCTGGTTGCCATGCATTCCACTGTATCCATTCGTATCCCACTACGTTACAATGTTGCTTTTTCCCCACCTGCCAGGTGAGGGTTGTTAGATTTTATCAGAGCTGTTGTCCTCCTCCTCCTCCTCCTCCTCCGCCTCCTCCTCCAGTTTCTCCTCGACCATGTTTGCATCAACTTCCACCTCCACTTCCGCCTTGCCAACTCTTCGCCAAGCTCTTCGCCAACTTCCCAGCTCAGTGCGCACTGCTGGACCTCAACCTAGGACCTTCCCAGCTCAGTGCGCACTGCTGGACCTCAACCTGGGACCTCCCCAGTGCGCACTGCTGGACCTCAACCTGGGACCTTCCCAGCTCAGTGCGCACCGCTGGACCTCAACCTGGGACCTTCCTAGCTCAGTGCGCACCGCTGGACCTCAACCTGAGACCTGCCGAGCTCAGTGCGCACCGCTGGACCTCAACCTGGGGCCTTCCGAGCTCAGTGCGCACCGCTGGACCTCAACCTGAGACCTGCCGAGCTCAGTGCGCACCGCTGGACCTCAACGGCCAGATAGAATGCCAGATAGAATGTCGGATAGAATGCCAGAAGATATGCCAGATAGAATGCCATAAGATATGCCAGATAGAATGCCGGAAGATATGCCAGATAGAATGCCAGAAGATAGGCCAGATAGAATACCAGAAGGTATGGCAGATAGAATGCCAGATCAAATAAATGTCAGATAGAATGCCAGAAGATATGCCAGATAAAGTGCCAGAATGTTTGCCAGATAGAATGCCGGAAGATTTGCCAGAACATATGCCAGAAGATATGCCAGGTAGAATGCCAGAAGATATGCCAGATAGAATGCCAGAAGATATGTCAGATAGAGCGCCAAATAGATTGTCAGATAGAATGCCAGAAGATATGCCAGATAAAATGCCAGAAGATATGCCAGATAGAATGCCACAAGATATGCCAGATAGAATGCCAGAAGGTATGCCAAATAAAGTGCCAGAATGTTTGCCAGGTAGAATGCCAGAAGATTTGCCAGACAGATAGAATGTCAGAAGATATGCCAGATAAAATGCCAGAAGATATGCCAGGTAGAATGCCACAAGATATGCCAGATAGAATGCCAGAAGGTATGCCAGATAAAGTGCCAGAATGTTTGCCAGATAGAATGCCAGAAGATTTGCCAGATAGATAGAATGTCAGAAGATATGCCAGAAGATATGCCAGATAGAGTGCCAGAACATATTGCAGAAGATATGCCAGGTAGAATGCCAGAAGATATGCCAGATAGAATGCCAGAAGATATGCCAGATAAAATGCCAGAAGATATGTCAGATAGAATGCCAGAAGATTTGCCAGTAACAAAACGTATAAATGTCATGGTGGGGATAACTCGAAGTAAAGTAATTGGTTCAACCATGTTTTAACCGTTAGTTACCGTTAGTTTTAACGTTTGATTGAGATTGGGAGAGATGGGGGGGAACAGAGGAAAAGCAATCACGAAAATGGTTCCAGCGAGATTGGCCCAGGAACAGACTTGATGTGGACGTGCCTTGCAGCAAGATCAACAGGGAGTTGGGTTACATTGGCAACTCTTAGCGGTCGATCGGTACAGATTCACAAGAATGAAATCCCACAGCGAAGTAGCAGAAATTGATAGAAATCGTTTGTCGCGACCGCTCTGTCACATGCGAAGTCACTAGGCTGCATGTGTTCTTTCAGATTCTCCCAGGCATCAGGTGAATGGATTCGTTCCTTCTTCAGTGTATTCGAAGAGCTGGATGGTGATACTGCTGCTTGCCTTGGTCGATTTTAAATATCTAAAAGTGGCTAAAGGCTAAAGTATATTAAAGTATGCTAGAGTTTGGAGTTGCCATGAATTTCCATGAACTTCCAGCATACACGATACATTTGAAAGCATGCTAGGTCTTTGATTTGATTGCCCATATTGGACAGATTGAATTTGTGCACGGGTGTGTTCAGTCGCTTGCCGCTGTGTGCATGTGTGTGTCCTCAACCTATTGGAAAATGATATCTACTCTATCATTTTCTATCTCCAAGTAGTGGAAAAGCAGGAAAGCATCACACAATGTGTCTTGAACTTCCACTCAGATGTGACAAACCGAACCCATGCAAGCCCATATCGTCGCACGTCACAAATCGTGATTATATAATATATATATAATCAATTATAATCATAATACAATATACCAAATTATTCATGTGTATTTATATATAATATATAATATGCACATATAAATATATATATATATATATATTCCTGTCTATATTTATATAAACATATATCTCCGTCTCCGTGTGTGTGTGTGTGTCTCTGTGTGTGTGCGCCAATGATGTCCACATAGAATATAATATCTCCGTGCCTGGTGGCGCAGAATCATGTGTGATCTTCAGGTTTTTCCCGAAATGATGCAAAAAATGGATTGCATTGAGAAGGAGCAGCGCTTGGTGCGCACAGAGGACTTGCCTGGAGTCAAGGAACTTCATGGTTTCGTTTCCTTGATCTACAACCATGAGCAGTTGACCAAGACACTTTGATCAGCTAAAAAGGTCTCATGTTGTTTGCCATATGTCCAGGTAAGGAGTTGCAGTAGTGCAAGACACCTTACTCAAGATGATTTTCTTGCATAATTATTATTGGGTAGGGTAGTTTGTTCCCCAATCCTGAGAATTGTCCACAGCGGAAACGTGCTTAATATGATGTGAATTAATGTACACTACGTTGTTGATTGTATATAATCATTTGTAAGCACTTAGATCTACGGTTTGGATTGGTATGGACTTGGACGATGGCAAGGCGAAACACCGCCAAATATATGAATCATTCTCACAATTATATGTGCATATATATATGTATATAATAATTGTATATAATATAATTAATTAATAATAATAGTAATAATAATAAGAATAATGATAATGATAATGATAATGGTAGACTTTCTCACGATCCCCTAACGGTTGGCGCTCAGGACCGGGGACCCCTTGAGTTTCTATCCGCTGGGCGAGCTCAATAAACAGAAGATCATGACCAGGGGAGTCTTTCAACGACGCTTCGATCTTGTCTTTCACTTTGGCGTGGAAGTCCAAATGGCTCAATGATGTTCAAATGATTAACATCTTCAAGCGAATGATAGCGTATGAATGCGCATGATTCCCCAAACAGTGTGGCCACACTGAGGGGGTTCTTACAGCAACTGTTAAGGCCCGGTGTTCAATCGAGGTGGTATCCGTCGCATTTGGCATTTTCCCTGTAAATTTCCATGCAAAATGGCTCTTGTGAAGTGTCAATATGTATTTCGACTGCGCAGGCTCGCACAAAACGGGCGTCGCAGGATTGGCGTACGGCACTGTTCCTGTAAATTTCTACACAAAATGGCTCTTGTGAAATGTTCATGTGTGTTTCGACTGCGCAGGCTCGCACGTCATCATCACCACCATCACCACCATCACCATCATCATCATCACCACCACCATCATCATCATCACCATCATCATCACCATCATCATAATCATCATCATCAACATCATCATCACCATCATCATCATCATCACCATCATCATAATCATCATCATCGTCATCACCATCACCACCTTCATCATCATCATCATCATCATCATCATCATCATCATCACCATCGTCATTATCAACAACATTCAGTACCATCATCATCAACATCATCAACAACAGTAACATCATCATCAACATTATAAATTATAATACATTCTCCCTTTACTCCCCCCACACTGTTTGGTGTCTTTTGCCGGGATCATATTTTGTTGTACTGACGGAGAACGTGCAATGACTGGATGAATCCATTTGCCAAGGCTATGAGCGATTTGTGCTTCATGGCTGGCTCTTACGGGCCATCGAGCTGGATCGTATGAGCCGAAAGCAGCAGCGCCTTTGCCGTGTGACTCAGATGACTCAGTGGGATATGGGTCCTTTGAATATTGTCTGAATTAATAATTAAATTCTAAGATAATTGGATATAATTGGAACATACCTCCTTGGAGCATACCCCAAGTCCTTCCAACACCCCAAATAAATCCAAACAAAAGGAATCCTTTACATAAACCATCTGTAAATTCCAGGGTTCCAAAGGTGTGTTTTTCGTAGAAATTCCGGCGCGTTATTATATAAGTAACAATTTTGACGGGAAACATGATGAAAATGACGATAATCCGTTGTTCATTGGATTTGGGGGTACCCGATTTTCGGACAAATATCATATACTGTATATCGATGATGGATCGATGATGGATCAATGATGGACGGTGTTGAAACCCTGTGTGGAAACGTCGCACTACAGACTCTGGACTGAGTGTATTGAGAAGGTGCTGAATTTTGAACATGTTCATAAATGTTTCCAAAAGCAGCCCTTAGCACCGTAGGGGTGCAGAATCAGATAATATATAATTACTCAAGAGCAAATAACGCAGTTCACGGTTCGCCCCTGGTTTGATGTGATTTTGTCATATTTGGTTGTTGTGCCATGTCGTACCTCATCATGCTACAGACTCGTCGCAGAAGATGGAAACCTTTCTCTGACTGAATTTCCTTCTTCGAAAATCTTTCAGTTCAAGGTTGTGAACATCATCGATGTGACAGGTTGTACGCTGTCGAAGGCTGGAGATTGCCAGTGCATTTTTCGAATATTTGGCTCTGTGCCGTAGAGCTCGAGCATGCTCAAGTTTTAATGATATTTAATCGTTGACTTGATCAAACGTCCCAGGCGGTTAAATATTGAATATCGCGAAATGGAATCTCAGAAGGTCATTTGATTCTCGTAACATCTCGTAACATCGTTTGAGTTTGCAGTGCCGACCCTCCCTGAACCCGCGCGGAGGTCATTTGCAAAGCCTTCGACCAGCGAGCAGAGAAGATGATGCAGAGATTGGAGCCGCTCAGACCTGCAGATACGGTGATCCCCGTTGAGAAAGTTGGGTAACTACATTTTTTCACAAACGGATTTTGCATTCTAAATCATGTGGGCATTTTTTATTTTTGTGCATTTGGATATATTGGTATGAATCAGGATTTGGCCAGTGGATTAAACCTGTGAACGGTGGCTTGCTTCCGCAGGAAACTAGTTCCAGATCTCACGGCTGGAAACTGGGTGACTTGGCAGGATGGCGATCTGTGAGGTTCAAGGGAAAAATGAGACCCTAGACGTCTCCGATGATTTTTAGTGATTCTCCATGACAGAGGATAGAATCAGCCCAGCATAAACATAACCCAGTTGTTTAAATGAGGTGCAGATAGGTGCAGTAGATTTCAGTAGCCCACCTGTATTTTTGTACACTGCCCCGGAGTTCAAAGCACAATCCCCCGATGCACAGAGTTGCAGTGTGGTCGTGGCTGTTTCGTCTAAGGTGATCAATGCCCCGTGGATCATGCAGAAGATTTTCCCCTGGGCAAAGCGAACTCTGAAGATCAAGGCACGCAGCTCAGAATTGGTCAGTCTGAAAACTGGTCACAGCGGGAGGTATGTGCAACAAATGTGCAACAAATATCAACAAATGTGCAATATATAGTTTGACTCAATTCTAGCCAAGACATGCCAGCAGGATGCCTCATCAACATTCATCAACTGCAACTTGCATTGTGTATTTCAAGTCCGAAATCTTGAAAGTGACGCCTCCTCTTAGGTTGACAATTGGTTTCTTTGCAACGGTGATGGCGAGCAGGAGTTGTTGAAACTTGATGGGAACCTTTGCTACATTTGCACCTTGGGTTGGTCCAGGATCCGGACTTGCTGACCCTGGTGGATGTTGCACAACTTCGGGAGCTGGGGGCTTTCAGATACAAGGCCAAGGACTGACTGATTCTGGATGATTCTGGTGTATGTTGGCCTGTTGGTCTGTATGTGGAAAAGGGCTGCGTCAGGTTCAGCTGAGGGTTGGTTCGAGATGTAAATGGAAGTTGCAATGGAGCAAGTCCAGTAATTCAATTCTATGTTTTTTTATGTAATTTTTACTAAGCCACTAAACCGTAGCTACAGGAGCCTCGGTTCCCATCATTGATTCACCCCAGAAATCCGTGCAGGAACTGGGAAAACTACCTTTTGCGGTCACAATTAAGAGAGGTTGAACTTGGAGAGGGCTACCGAGAGAGGGGGAGAGAGCACTTTTTGGTCTCTACATGTCCCAAGATTTTTTTCGTGAATAGAATATCGGTAAATATCGGTAATTGAGCTTGTCGTTTTGCTTGAGCAGCATTAGATTGAAATTGGCGCCCTCCACGTGTGAAGGAAGAGAATGAGCAACTTGATGCGGACTTTCACTACATAAAGCGCGGCCAGGCGGGTTGATGACAGCAAGCAGCCTACCATGTGACCCTCGATTACAGCATATCAATTTGATGGATTGCAACGCAGGTCCTCGAAAAAGCGTTAGAGGTTCAGAGTGGGAACCGAGTATGGTGGAAATTTGCATCTTGGCGATCTGAGCAGCTCAGCAGCTCCACAGATTCTTGCGTTTTAAGTCCATCGCCATTTGGCCGTTGCAGGTAGTCTTGCCTGGGGGCCTTTTATTGCCACCACCAGAAGTGCAATTTGGCGTGGTGGGAGTTTGGGACATCCCCGATGAGGCAGGATGTGCTGCTGCAGTGCTGCTTGATGAGGCCTTTTTTAAGGCTCAGCTTTAAAATGGTCAGCTCTGAGGCACCTGTCAGCTCTGAGAGCTCGAGCCGAGCCCGCAACTCGGCACAGGGATCCCAATGTAGAGCTGAAATATGGTGAAATGCTGTAAAGGATGGGCAGGTGTTTCGGCGGAAAAGGACGGAAATCATTGGAGTTGAGTGGATTTGAAATGCCAAAATGTGTCCAAATGGGCTACAGCAAATGAACATATAATGAACATAAATTGAACCCCACTTTGATTGCAAGATGGAAGAACACAACTGCACTTTGAAGTGCTGGTGTCCATACAATTTCTATCATGGAGCTGGATTTGCAGCTTAGAATGAGCTACAGTACTGCTGCTAGATCGGCTAGGCTTGTTGGGATGCCGTTTGGGATCTCAAGGGCCCCATCGGTTTGAGGTTGCAGACCCAAGCGAGAAGCTGCGCAGGAAAGGCCATCTGCCATGATCGTAGAAGATGGGGGCACCTTGGATCTTGTAACCGGAGACTTCGAAGATGACGACTCCGACTATGAAGGTTTGAGAGAAGAGGCGCCTCTCATCTTGGCAATCTGTTTTGATTGTACTATATCCATTGCACGTCCAGAGTCATGCGCAATATTGTGTTGTATTGTGCAATGATGCGGAACGGAACGTGATGTAGTTCTAATATGTTCTAATGTGTTCCAATTCAATGGCAGGAGCTTCGCCATTTCAGCTTGTGGAAGGCTGTGGACGGTGAACATCAGGGTGAAGTGTTCGTACCAAAGTCAGGCCTGGTGGTCCTTCGGTGGAGCAATGAGCTGCTTGGAAAATCAAGTTGGGTGACTGACACCGACAGGATGGTGACGCATCTCTATTCATCTCTAATATATCATGGGTTACAGTATGTTCATAGATGTTTATGGATTGAATATGTTTCGATGACCGATATGGCTAATATGGCTATATGTATATATGATTATATATGGCTATATAGTGTTTGCTAGACTCGACATATGTGTGCAATGGTGTGCTCATATTTGCTGCGTGGTCGTTCGTATGTGTGCTCATTGGAACATGTACTTGCTCGTGCAGATAACATCAGGCGACAAGCAAGTAAGGAGGGAACGAAAAGGGGGGAGGGAGAGAGAGAGAGAGAGAGAGAAATCTGAGAAGAGTAGGGATGTTGGAGCAATAATCTCTCCAGGTTCAGGACCATATATGACCATTCAAGGGAGCCCCTGAAACATTTTGCAGCCATTTTCATCACCACACCTTGCCACAGGGATCCCAGACCACAAAATGTCACAAAACCAAGGTTCAACATTCTCCGCGGCAAGCGCATTCAGTTTGAAGTTGGAATAGTGGAGGCAGAGGGCAGAAAGTCATGCAGATGAACCACCATGTTTCCTTTGCATTGACATATTCAAGGTTCGATGTAGCATCCCACATGGCAAGCGCTCCATTGAGGCGCCACAAGCATCAACAACCACCTGAAAGAGTCCATGCCGTGCCGATCTGAAAGTCCTCGCAAGCCATCCACGACGATCACGACGCGTCGATGTGACGATCATCAGGGGACCAAGGGCGCCCTGACGATGCTGAACTTCTGCTGACCAGAAGTGCTGTGCAAAAAATCACGGCAGATAGATGCAAAGAGTACATGTTGGCAGAACTGCGCAGAGAAAAAAAGAGGGAAACAGGAAAACCTTGGTGACAGGAATCCTGCACCATACGTTGATGATAGATGGATGATAGCTTATATATTGGCTTACTTTCCCATGGTGCGAAGGACTTCATACTTCCAAAATCATGCAGAATTAATACGGGTAATCCACCTCGAGTCAAGTGATTTGCTTCCAGCCATCAAAAATTGAGATGCTCACATTCTCAGATCGACGGGCCCACCCAGCATTTTACAAAAGCGTCGAGAGAGACATACATGATCATACATGATAGTCAATGTATGTAATGTATAAGTATAAAGCGCAAGGTAAGGTAATGTAATGTATACATGCATACAGCATACATTTGAGAAGAAATGCATAAAAATCAAAACAACCCGATGTTGGGATTCTTTGTGGTTCACTTGGGTGAAATCCAACCACCTTTGAGGTTGCAGGGTCGAGTACCAGTGCGGCAGCAAGTCAGGTGCAGTCCGCGGAACTATTTGGGTCCACAATTGCAGGATGTGTTCAGCGAGAAAATCAACGTAGTTTGAAGATATTTAGCGCCATTTGAACACCTACAGGGATCACATTCTACCGGATCATGCCACAAAAGATGCATAGCCCAAGCTCTCAGGGATAAGCAGGCTTAAACTCTCATCGCATCCCAGCATAGCTCCTGGTGTCCGTCACGCTCTGCTGGCACAATACTGTAGCAGTCATATATGGGAGTCGTTCTAAAACACATGCAAGACTTTTAGTATCCGAGTGACATCTGCAGATATGGATGTGTGTTTTTGCTGCAGTGGCGAAAGGGCGGCGAAAGGTTCGCGAAAGGTCTGAATACCACTATTTGTAAGCATGTATGTTGTATTATGTTATAGTATTCATAGTATTTATGCTTGGCAGTTTTCCTTGCAGAATTGCCACAGGATCCATGCTTGGGACTATATTGCATCTATACAGCACTTTGACGGAGATATGTATAGGGAGATGTAGACATCTGCTTTTTTTTGTCGATGGATACGAACGGGTTTCAGTTTCTTATTGTCCCATGTTCTTAGATTGGCAGTGGCACCCTGATTAACACAAATTATAAAAGCCACCCTTGCATAAGATTAGTTTCTGAAATTGTTGTTTTTTAGGCGAGAAATCCGCGAAAGGTTCGCGAAAGACAGCCAAAGTTGGTGCCTAACTCTTGGCAATATCAATTTGCAGAGTCCGAAGAGCGTCCAAAGAGCCAATATATAGGCATAAGTAGGCAGCATTGTGCATCTACATGCAACATTGTAACATCCATGCAACTAGCAACTTGGAGATGTATCTGGAGCTAAGCAATGTCACCCAGTGCACAGCAAGAAATGCCAGGTCGATGACGCCAGACAGCAGAGAGATGCTGAAGAGAGCTGCTCCGCTGCCGGTGCCAGTGACTGCAACTTCTAACAGTAACAGGCGGGTCATGGATGATCGTTTGAGCCGCTGTGGAAACCTTTACCACGGGTGGCGGTGAACCCCAAGAGCCATGAAGACATACGCATGGTTGCTGCTGATTACTTATGACATCTTATGACTTATGTTGAAGGGGATTCTTCCAGAGAAAAGGGCACAGATGTCAGATCTGTCAGATGTCTCAAAACCTCAACACCTGCTGACCTGCAGGATGCTGCGCGAGCAGTTGCAGCCCCAGTTGACTGCAGCCTGGTCAGTTGACACCACCAGGAAAGTCCCATCAGGCGTCCGGCATCAGGTCCTACACTGCATGTTGACATGACAATCTCAGGAACATCACCACTCGAAGCAACGGTTCTGAAAGGAGGTTTGGACCTCAACTCGTGGACTGCAGTGACTGCAGTCTGGCACAGGGCCTCGTGTACTTTATCATTTTTTGGAATGTTTGCATTTATCTGAGCTTTAAAACCGGACTTAGTGTGGTGCTTTTAATACTTCCCCTCAAGTCAACAACCCCCAGACAGATTTAACACAGATCGATACAGATGGACCGATTAAGTTTTTGATAAATGATTTTGTGCAAAGACGATCAAAAATGCACTCAAGCAACTTGAATGGGGAAGGAGAAAAACTTGAATGGGAACTCTTGAATGCGCCATGCACCATAAACGAACAAATACACATAATTCAATTGCGATTCTATGAGGAGTTTTCAAGAGTCAAATTTGACTGAGTGATAAGAGTGATACAGTACCGGAAATGGAGCCGAAGTCAAATCCACACTGACCATCCCTCAAGAATCTGCTGATGAAAACCAACAGAGGGTTGGCTTCAAGTGGTACCCCATGGTACCCCTCCGCAACAGCATAACATAACGATCTTGGTCAGGTATTCATGTCCAGTGATGGTGGTACATTAAGATACAGTAAGGTCACCAATGCTTATCAGTGCATTGTAACATCCATAGTGAAAAGATGCACCAGCTGCAGCTGAAAGAGCCGCATGTGGTTTAGTCAAAGTCCTTATGAAAAGATCAAAAAAGTAAAAAGTTTACATATGTTTACATATTATTCAACCAACGCCTCAAGCATCTTGAAGTGGGAATCTGATATAATCTGATGGTCTCGGAACATCGTGAAGCATGTATAACATTGTATAACTGTATAAATATAGGGGTTTCTGATGGTTTCTGATGGTTTCTGCACTCGAACTTCTGAGTGATGCCTGAGGCCTGAGCCGCTGAGCGTGCGGATGGTCTCGGTGCCTGGTGCCACTTCTAAAGGCATCGTAGCTGTCGTAGCTTTGAGATGTTGTACTCTTGGCACAAGCTGCTTATTACTGCTTCAAGCTGAACAGACAACTGTAATCAACATGTATCAACTGCGCCCTGTTGACAAATATGAATAATATGTCGACACATATTGTGCCCGCCTTGATGTATGTTGATGTTTCACTTGTGATTCGCGTTTGGGCAGCAAATTTGCGCAGGTACTGTGGTAGGTACTGCCATGGTTGACACAAGAAGTCGAACGATGGCCCGTTCTGTCAGCCCAATGCTGCAACCTCGGCCGTTTTTTGAAAAGAACTGTCAAAAAATGCAGATTACAAATATGTAGTTGCACCATGTTGCACCATGTTGCACCATGTTGTGCCTTTTTCAAGGGTGGCGGTGCCGTTGGAGCAGTACTACAGTCGCAGCAGGCATCACCTGCATGCTACTCAGGGTTATATAGGTGGAAATGATGCTTGATAATTGGGCCATTGGGATATCGGCTGTCCGGGCCTTAAAGCTTTGTTCCAAGAAGCATCACCGGATTCCTGCACTGCAGTACGGTCAGTAAAAATATAGAATCAAAGTTAATCAAAAAATTAAATACGGTAATACATAAACCCAACAGGTGATAGAGAGAGAGAGAGAGAGTCCCAAAAGCATCAATCCAAGTACAGCACTTGGAAACCGTCATTTTCCTCACCGTTCAGACCAGCTTTTCTATGAGCCTCATCCAAACAATTTTGACAGGCCAGGGACACCGTTTAGGTCCTTGAGTCCTTCAGGCTGTGACCTCAGGCTGTGACATAAATCCCTGCAGATCTTGGGAGTGACACTGTGAATTGGATTTTCCATGATTTTCCTACATAAGTTCGCACAATCATGCACGTTTGGGCTCAATCTTTGACTGCGGAAGGCTGCACAACGACCTGTATATGGGGCAACTGAATATTGTTGAAGGAACACCAGATGTAGCAGGCCCAAGGGAGCACATATACCAACGCAAGAGAACTATAGAAAGCCACAGAAGACCCTGTGATGCCTCAAGGTGTACAGTACCTTAGGCATCCTTAGGCTATTTGCTTCTGGATCTCGGTGGCAGCTGGATAATGCTCGATGTTGGTAAAAACAGGGAGGATAACAGAAAGATCAGAAAGTCAACTTTCCAAGCCAAAGTTGCTTGGATTTCATGGGCAACGGCCAGCTCTTGGCCCAAAGCCGAATCCTTGGAAGCCGCTGGACGCCAAAGGCTGCAGCTTTCCAGGTGCTTTCCAGATGCCACGCACTAAATCGGTGGACAGGCGTTGAGACATGGTGGACACATGGTGGTAGGACCTGGTAGGTAGGAGTTGCTCTGCAATATCTTAGAACTGGCTGATCTGGCTGCATGCAAGCAGTGCAATCCATTGCAAATCAACCCAACTAACAGAGGATACGGCAGCTTCTTGTTGCATTTTGTAAAGTTGAACATGTGGCGCTAGGTGCAGTTTCAGCCCATTCGGAGGCGGGAGGGTGCGAGGTGGAACTAGGGGTGCTTCGACTGTCAGGTCGGCACAGAAAGTCTGATGGTGAGTCAGGACGGTGTTATTCCCAACATATCCCAACATCATTATTTAATGATTTTAATATATGTTCATGTTCGACACTGAACCTGGGGATTATTCACCCAACAAGTCTTCCAGGGAAAAGATTGGCTCGATGGTAATTATAACATACATTCAGGGAGGCACGTTGAGCGTCCATTGAACATGCAATTCATTTAGTGCCGTTTGAAAACAGCTAGTGAGTCTTCAAACTTGAGCTTTACATGCCCATCCAGTTTCACTTTGATACCTCAGAGCAAGTAGACAATTGACAATGCTACAACACAAGCATTGCCAGTTTCAGAACAGTTTCAATTTCATCATGTTTTTTTCTCGCATTGAGAGTCTTACATGCGGTGAAAGTCGGTGAAAGTTACGTGCAAAATGCACCATGTTTGCAGTGTGTTAGCCCTTGAGGTTTGCGCTTTCCAGCTCGCAGTCATCGTCGAGAGGACGGCCCTTGCTTGGCATCACGCTGGGCACTGGGTCTGTGCTGCTTCTCGGCTGGGCTGCTTGGCAGATTTCACGTTTGTGATTTTTGTGGCGACGTTTTTTGTGGCGACGTTGTATACATTTGGATACATTTGGTGCTGAGGCTGGCAGAAGATACCTAGACCACTTGTGGGTGCATGACTTGCAAGCTTCAGCTGGGGCCTTACTTGAGACAGCGAGCCTTGCTTTGCCCAGGTTCAAGACATTTCAAGACTGTTCAAGATGCTATCGCCCTTTGCGATGTGTTGCAAGGTCTAGTGAATGTGTAAGGTGGATGAAGGTGGAACATGGTACAAGTTAGAAGCATCTCAGGTCCATAGTGGCAACTCCTCTGCCACGATCAACACCAAGCGACAGCTCAATGACACTGATTGCATCGTCACCCGGTATGAGAGAATGGCAGGGTCAGTCCTGACTGCTCCATGACAAGTCAAGAGCTTGTAAGCATCCTGTAAGGCTTGAAGTGCTTGGAGGTCCTATCCAATCACAAATTTCACTGCATGCTTGCACTTCGAAAGACCGGCAGGCAGAAAAGACGGGTAGGACACGTATGATTGGAATTCGTGGAATGCAACACTTGAGCAGCGTGGCTTATAACAGAACAGAACTGGTATCCAATTGTTGGTAGGACAGATAGGCAAGGCATGATAGTTCTTGGGAATGTTTATGACATATTATGCAACCTGCTTGCTTGGATCATTTGCGCAATTATCGATGTTTGCATGTGGAGTTTTGGTGTTCTTTCCCTTGCTTCGTGATTGAGTGTTATAGTGAGAGTAACTACAAGTGGCTCCTCATGACTGCCATTTTTGTATCCCTGTTGAATATGCCCAAATGATGCACAGGAAACAACGCTTGAGCTGGGATAGTTCCCTCCTCCTCTACAACTTGGTTTCATATCAGGATAAGTAAGGAATTAACTTTGATTAGCTTGCCCCACACACACACACACATGTATATAATTGATTATAATTGTATATATATAAATATATACTTACACTTATAATTAGTTATAATATACACATGTATAATGTATAACGCACATATATATATATAATTATATATATATACGCATGCTATTATGTAATCGAATCATAATATAATTGTATTTGGCGGTATCAACACTTCTATCCTGGCAGCCTGGCATGCTGGATGCTTCATGTCGAAGCATACCGCATGAAGTCCAAGTTGTGAAGAGGATTTGTTCAAACAAGGATAGAAATTAATGAAGTTAATCAGCAAAACATAAGTGATACATGCAGTCACGTGCATCTCAGGTTCTTGAGTATACTGGTGTGGACGGCAAGCACAGCGAGGTTGTCGTGAAGAAAGGCCAGAGTCAAGTTTCGTTCGACAACAAGGGAGTCCTTTATTGCTCGTCAGCTGAAGCCACCATTTGGGAATATGTGGGAAGAATTTCTTGACAGGTGAGTTGAATTCAGCTGTCAGTGGTGCACTGGAGCTTGCAGCAAAGTCCCTGAGAGAGGCGGTGCCACCTTGTGACATTTGGAAACCTTCCGAATTCTAAGTCGGCAAGGTGGCAAGAGTACGTGAGTCGGCAAGGTGGCAAGAGTACGTGAAACCGTGAAACTTGTGAAACTGATGAGCACCAGCAGGTGGCCTCCAAGAGTTTGGAAGAGGAGCTACGCATTTGCTTCGATCCAATCGAGAATCGAGCTAGCATCTTGGAAGTGAATGCTGACGGACCTGAAGGTTTGATCTTTCTTGAGCATTGCGCATTGACTGCTTTATACTGCTTTTCTATGCGCAGAAGCCGGCCGGTTGCCAGGCAAATTTATGATAAATGTCAAACAATGCAAATTTACCTTCGCATGCGTTTCGCACACCTTCGCGACCGTGCCGAGGCACTTTCGCTGATTGGTATTTTGCTTATCCTACATCTCTGAGGTTGCTGCGTAAAGCTGTCACTTTGCCCAGATGTTTGGAAATGTGCATAATGTGCTAGGACAGGCTGCGAAGTCTCAAGTCCACCTGGAAAACATGCAACACCTGCAAAACCCCACATGTTTGTCCATGCATCCATGTTATTTGGAAAGTTTGGAGGACACTTGAAGGAAAATCTAGAGACGCTATGAAAGGACGTGTTCTCCTTTTTGAAGGTTGCCTTGTCAAAGAAACAGCTCAGTATGGCCAACAATGTCAGCGGCTTCGCACCAAGCGGATCAAGGCCGCCTCAGCAGCGAAGCATTCTGTAGACCCAGCGCGCACTGTGTCGTTGTCAACGGCGATATCGCTGGACATGGATCAGCTCATCATGGAGAAGTGCCTTGGCGCAAGGCGCAGCGCTTAAACAGAAAGGACTGGTGCAATACACCAGGAAAACCACCAGGAAACTCATGAAAAGTTCGTGCTCTTATGGGATGTTAAATGGTAAATGTTCATAAATGTCCCACATGCAGAGTTTTCAATCATGATCTTCATGCTTCCACACTTCATAACACTATTGTTGGAGAGTGTTGGAGGCGATTCTTCCAGCGGCCGGGTGATGCGTATTGCTATGTATTGCCTATCCAAATGGAGCAGTTCACAAGGGTTGCAGCATGAAGCAGCTGAGGTATCAGCGCATTGTGCTTCAGCCAGAGATCAACGACACCAGGATGCAAACTGCGTTCATCAATGCAGCGCCTTGGTGATCGAACTTGGTACAGTACCACTGAGTTGCTGCACCAATACAAGGAGTTGAGAAGTAGCGCTGACGGTAGCAACGACCTGCATTTGCATGCAATTATGATCAGTTACTGTATGAACATCGTTTTACGATATGTCTGTCAGGTCTCTATGGGTCAGTCGGTTTAATTTGTAGATCATTGTAGATCATTTCATGGTTTCACATGCTTGCTGCGTGTGTGGAAAGTGCCCACACGGCGTTTTCGAGGCTACGCAAGCCCATCAAAACTTTTGCGGAATCCTGAAAGATCTTGACGCGAAGATTGTGCACGATTTAGCGGAGTGGCGAGGCTGAAAGGGCGTTGGAATGATCGTTGACAGTCATATTGGCAAAGCGGCAAAAAACACTCCAACAGCTCTCACAGCACACGATTGCTGTATGTTGCTGTAACAACTGATCTTGAAGTGACTTGGAGTGAATCACGGTCGACTTGTGTTCTTCCCCACGCACATCGCCAAACTGCTCAGAATGACTGAGGCACACAACACATTTGGCAAAGCCACGAGCTGATGCGGTGCATTTTCGCATGGACTGGCCAGCTCAGCTGCACAAGATCAAAGCAGCTCGCAGAAATAATCAGCATCTCAGGTGTATCAGGCGCTGAAGCAAGTCACAAGGATCGCCTCGCCAAAACAGCGATTCCTTGCTATATTAATAATATTAATTATGTATATTTTTGTATCACGGGATACCGTTTCTTGCCAAAGGTGCCCCACTCTGCAAGAATTTGCTTCACACCCTTGACACATTGATATCATTGATGTTTGAGGATTGTTGTCATCACAGAAAACTCGTTTCCACGTTGCCACTCACCAGCTCCCATCCTGCTGTACAAGTGCTTCGTAAGGCAGTCTCTGCTCAGTTCGAGAAGATGCCGGAGCTTCCATGATGTTGCGCTCGGGGGACAGTGGGTATATTGTGTCAGTTCACAACAAGAGCACAGATTTTAATGGCAAAGGAGAAGTCTCCCAGACCATGCTTTGCAGCCTGATAATGACTGATCTGCAGTTTTTCTTTCTGGTTTTGACATATTTTAAACTTTCCCTTTCAAAGGAAGAATGGCAGAGGGTGATGACTGTATCTCTCCCAACATCTATCTCCCAACTCTAAATTAGTGGGACCATACGCGTGCGACGGACCCAAATCCTCTAGGAGATGTCTTTGGTGCTGGGAGTCGGTGGCGGCCTAGCAGCCAAAGCGGCAACCAGTGCGGCCAGTGGCAAGTTGGCAAGCTGGAGCCTCAGTTGGTATTTGATTCTCGGATATTTTTGGGCACCAGGCACCAGAGTTCAATTGGCAGATTTGCCGGGCAGTTTGATGTTCACCAGGGCAGCTGGGTTTTGATATGTTTTGATCCATACTGATACAAATGACTAGCCACAACAAAGTTTTCTGCTTCGTATGATTTCATATGCCCAAAAACTGGGTGGCCAAGATTTGGCCGAGTATGACTTGAGTATGACTGCCCCAGAAATATCAAGAGTCAACACATGTCAACAGTGTGCCCCCAGGTGCAGCTGCTGGAAAGTTATGCGGTGGAAAGCTCGTTGCGCCTTTCGTGAAAGCAGCGACTGCCGGGCTGCTAGCCGGTCCGGCAGGTGCTGTTGCAGGTGGCGTTGCAGGAGACTGGTGTACAGGTTGAGCGGGCTCGATGTACGTTTTGAAATTTATGGAATTGTTGAATCATCGGGGCAAACATAGTATGGACACTATATAGCTGATTAGCTGATTTCTTTGATGTATCTTAATGATTCTCAATGTGCAAGTTCTATCAATTTCTCTGATTTTGCGCAATCCCTTTTTCAGTAATTTTTCCCCGTCACAAATGACCCAGCTACAGGAGTCGGCCTAGACATGGCCCTCAGCAAGGGCCTGGAGCTGGTGCAGCGTGAAGACTTTGAGCGAGAAGTGCGCAGGGCAGTGGTTGCCACCAGAGACGAATATTTTCAAGTCATGGAGGCGGGTACTTGCCATATCATAACTTATCATATCCACACCAGTGCCAGCTGCAAAAATCTTTCAGGTCGGATAGCTATGCGTAGCTTACGTTTGGTTGCAAAATGTTGCAAGTGATTGCCGCATTTGTAATGCATTTGTTAGGATCGAAATTCACCGTCAGATGATGTTTACTGGGTTCCTTCTGGTTCCTTTAGGTTCCTTTTGGTTTTTGGATGCTGGACATTTCGTAATTTTGCTGCGATCATAGATGTCCTTAGTGACCAGGGGCCAGTCTGGCTCCAGGCGGAGCTGCATCGCGTTGTAGAAGTTTGGGTGGCTGATGCCATGGCAGCAGCAAGAAATCAAGGCTGGTCACATCATATCACATCCCTGGCTCCAGTCTCTCCAGATCTCTCCAGATAAAAAACATTAAATAACATTACAATCATGACATCTCCCCGCCTGTGAAAATTGTTTGCATCCGAGTAAGTCATCGCATGTCATTGCTCTCCAAGGCATGTGCTTTCGGATTTTTCGGACTGTTTGGGCTGGCAGGTGCATGAAGAGCCTGCTGAATAGCATCGAAACCTGACAGGATTTGAAATGAAACCGTTGAACCATGTGAAAACATGCCGTGTGCAGTGCCTGTGGGGCAACCTGGGATTCCAGGACGTACTGTAGGATGTTCGTTTGGATTTTCGTTTGTACAGCTGTAGCTAGGTACAGGCATGCAATTTGCATAGAGAAAAGTCGCAAGCGCCTAAATGATCGTTTTTTTCAATGAATTGTTTTTTGGGGGACAACTTGTGATTGTATTTGCCAGTGCGTTAGCATGTCCAGGCTGTTCACAAACACAGAGCAGAATATGGGAGATGTGACCCGCTGACTTACTTTGTGTCGGAGTTTTGCCTGGGACGCATCTCCCCGTCGATACAAACCAAATAGATCCAAGTAGTAGAGAGAGAGAGAGAGCGGCGAATGCGCGCCTGTGTTGATCAGAACCCCAGAATATGAATGCTGACAGGCTCAGGAAGGCTGAGCTCTCCAGCGAACATACTATAGCCACTATAGGACAGTGATTTTGACAGGTTCCAACCTTTCCTTTGGAAATCGATGGAAATCTTTGCTCCGCTCTGAGGCCATAGCTCAACTCCAACTCACGCCAGACGCTTACCCGTGGACGCAACTCCGACCAGTCAGTGAGCGGTACTGTAGGTATAAACATGACCATACAGACCCTATGCCCCAGACAATACTGGAGTAAATGCTGGACATTGTCAAGTTCAAAAATCAGATACCTACAGCCCATGCATGCAAATCATGCAGGTTGCAGCCAATTCGATTCGCATGACACTGCCATCAACTGCTCCCCCTGTGCTAACATATTGTGACATAACATCTAATGGGTAGTATATAACACACGTATTCCAGAAGATTACAAACACAGTTTCTGGCCTTCATGTTTTGCCGCAGGTGCGCAATGGAAACAGAAAGATTTTGACCATGACAGACCAACTTTCACTGGACCTGGTCGCTAAGGCAGACCCTCGTGCTCCTAGCCCTTGCCGAATTTTAGCGACAAAGGGTAGTGGCAGGCCCGTGGTGAGAATGCTGGTATCAGCGGGATGCGACGGGCCACTACGTCATAGTGACATCATTACATCTCATTGCGGATGTGCGTAATTGTGTGTGTGTAAGCATATATTGTATATTATAATACATATTTATATATATATATATATTATTTTGTATATGCAATTACTACATCATAGACCTAGGAGGAGGAGATCATACACAGTGGATCGTGTTTTTGCACAGCTGGCAAATGGAACACCTCTGGAACTGGCTGCCAGGCCTCAGATGATGCGGCCACAGCAGATAATCACCCGTCAGCCGTCTGCAGAAGGCTGGGGATGAGACGGATGGTAATTGCAAGCCATGGGCGAGTGGCACTCTTCAGAGCCCTGATGCGGACCCTGATGACGATTCAACAGTTCAACAATTCTTCGCCGTCCAAAGTTTTTCCAGTTGGAAAGCCTTTGCCATGCCCCGTCTTATTGCGTAGCATATGTTGAGAGCCTCAGGGGAGGAATGTTTGATGTAGCTTGTATGGCGCTGAATTTAGGTGGTTGTAGTGTAGTGGTCAACCACTTCGCACATGAGCAACAACAAAAATGCTGTGTGATGACGGGCCTACGGTCGGTTGAGAAAGGGGCATAACAACCATTAACAGCATTGACCCACTGTTGCTGCCACACCTTGTGAATAGTTAAGGAGCAGTGTGCATATTTCCAGGTTCCAAGGTTCCGACACGTGTGATATCTCCAATCTACACGTGTTGCATGAGCTTGACGTGTTCATGATCAGTTTGCGGACAGTGTTGGAATGTGTTACTGTATTGTGTGTCATCATCAGGGAACACTGTGCAGCACAAAACAAGCAAAGGACAATGCAGAACATTTGTGAGTCCCCAATGGCAAGTGAATCAGCCGAATTAGCCCCTACACTCCGACAATCTCCCATAGGTGCAAAGCAGTTTGTCACTTATCGGCAGTGGTGCCCTTAGATGGGAGAGCTGCAGGTGACAGTGATTCGTCATTGGATACCTCATGTCATTTCAGCTTCATCATCCATTCCCAGAAAAATCCACACCAAGATTAGATATGTCATTGCAGTTGTCCAGTGTTGAAAATTCCACGACATGGTTTCCGATGCTTCCTATACTTCAACGACTCCTGGCATCCACCAAGTTCCATCAAATTTCATGCCTAGGCCGCCTGGAGTGGTATTACAAGGGATATCTGGTGGTCGGATTTCGGTCAGCACCTTAGAGAATATGTTGGGTACCCGCTGCTGACATGGTGACATCCCCCAAGGTGGCGCAGACAGCGGTCAGGGTGCGGCAGCCATCGCCACAGATTCAGGCCATGGGTGTGGAAAGGTCCACTGGAAACCCTGTTCTACCATACTTGGGCGGATGAACCTAGCTATATATATAATGCTGCTAGATATATATTTGGGGGTTAAAACCCAGGTACCAGGATTTTAACACGCATATCGGAAGACCATGAGTTTGTGAGAAGGGGTAATCGCGCTGTCAAACACCTTGTCAGGGCTCGCAGAGCAACACCTCCACAATCGCGTCGATGCAGGACATTTCGTAGAAACATTTGGCACTTGGAATGAGAGAAGAAAAAATGCTGAAAGATGCTGAAAGTGTCAAGATGTGTCAAGATTCATGAAGTGTTTGATTTCACCATGATTTCACCTTCAGCTGATCCTTGCGTTGTCTTTTTCGCTCCCTGCGCTTGTGCCCGCTTGTGCCATGTCAGTGTCCGCAGGCCATGTCAGTGTATAGCGGCTCGCAGGCATCCCCACCTATTCCAGGCAGAGTTTGTGCCATGTTCATTTTAGAATCATTGGGAGTCTGATGGAGTCTGATTCTGAATAATTACGTTATTACATGTTATTACGATAATATAATGAGGGAAAGATCATGATACATGATATACATATATATATATACATGATAAAACATCATGGTACATCTATCAGGCGATGGAGAGAGAGATATCATGATATTGATTACTTTGCATGATTCTGTATGGTATTGCATGGTATTGCAATCCTTCTGCCAACCTTTTGTAGATTGCCAGCTGATGCTAGTGTTTTGCAATGTACAGACGGTCAGGTGGAGATTGTGCTCCTAGACCTTTGGCTCCAGGTGCCTGTTGGCACAATCAGACCCACAGATTGGAGATAGCGTCAGAGCAATTCGAATGAGATTTAACATGATTTAAAGAGGTTCTAAATGAGTCATTTGCATTCATTTGTAGAATCTGTTGTAGCTGTCGTCAGCATTTTGCCGGCATGTGCAAGTTTTCTTATGGCACTGGTGACATTTGGTGGTGCAGGTGCCAGCTATTTACCCTACGCTCCAGCTGGTGCGGGAACCTCTCCCTCGGGAGGTGGAGCGGGATGTCGCCTTTGCGCATTGATCAAATTGTTGGAGGGCATGCATCAAGAAGCCCCTGACTTTGGCCCTTTGGGATCTTTTGGCTCTGAGAACATCTGAGATATGTTTTAAAGACTCTAGCAGTCTAGCAATTTCACATATTGACAGACATATAATTAGGTCAAGAATGGTGACTTTATCTACCAATTTGCCGAGAACATGAGAACATGCATCAGCCAAACCCTTCACAGCTCCGCCAGCACCTTTGCCTCCAAACGCCGAACTTTGTGAGGGTGTGCGGAGCTCAGTGTATAGAGAGGGCTTCAAATGTCTTCACACCATCAAACAACGAGATGTTGAGGTGCTTGTAGTAGTTGTGAGTTGTGTGTACTTGCCTCACTAGCTTTCCTTACATTACATTCGATTCTTCTGACTGAGTCGATCCGATACATTTCATCCTGTGGGTTCATCTTCTCTGAAAATTCGCATGCTGCGATAATCTTCGTTGGCCACTAGTCTCTATGCAATGAATTTATATTAATTGATACTAATTGTGGGTGCAGGCACTTGAGCAAATATGACCTGATAATTAAGACATGCTGGAGTGTGTGTGTGTGTGTGGGTACGCGGCTGTATGTATTGTGATTTCAAAGTTACAGTATATTTTGTGTGGTTGGTTGTTTGATGTTAGTTTCATTTGCGTGCGTGTGCGCGCGTTTTTCGAGTTTTTTTTGCTTGTCAGCTTGTCCTTTGATTAATAGCGATATTTTACTTCAGCATTTAGGTGTCTTTAGCTTTAAAATTGTTTAAAGATGTAGACACTGCTGGCTGAGGCTGTCCTGCCCATCATCACTGGTGGTGGCACCTGTCGTATCAAGAAGCCCTTGGGCAGGTGACTCAAGTCCAAGCAACACACTGGAGCCTCTCCCTTTTCCATCACGCAATTTTTATGATGTAAGGAGTTGTTCATTCCAAGGCATGGGAAGCTTTGGAGCTGTTTGGGAAGCAGAGCAGTGGCAGCCTTACACCTCGCCAAAGGGTGATCAGATCCTACCGTGCAAGTCTTTCTTATTCTTTGTTGAACTCTCAAGCGAAGAGGGTCAACATAACAGAAGTTGTTTTGTTTGACTTTACTTTACTTTACTTTTATCACTGTTATCTTTTATCTCATCATTTCTTTGTCTCACTCCGTTGCTTTCGTGGTTCTTGATGCATTTTGGGAGATACCATCAGAGTGCGGCTCTCATTTCAAGTCTCCTGCTGTGTCCTGCTGTTGGCAGCTTTGGCATCAAATCCCAGAAACTCCAGTGCTAAGTAGGTAAGTAGGCTGCAGAAATCTGCAGAACATGGTCATGAAGGTGATGAAGCAAAAGTCTTTGTCAACGATGACGAAGAGCAAGACAGTCAGGAAGACTCAGAAGACTTCAACCAAGCGAGCAGCTGGAACAGCTGCAGCAGATAGAATCCGGCAGTCCCCAAGACTGCGTGACCTTTGTGCCGTGGTCATCAATCTGGATAACCGTCCAGATCGTTTAGCAGCCTTGCAACGCAGCCGGGCCAAAAATGCTCCTTGGCTGAAATTGCAGCGCCTCACTGCTGTGGATGGCAGGGTCACCAAGATCCCTTGCAAGGACGTGGTCAAGACCTGGAGCACAGCACGTTTAGCCCAGATGTTCCACTGGTACCGAGACAAGAAGATTCAGATGTCCCCAGGTGAACGTGGATGTTGTGCTTCACACCTGAAGGCATGGAGGCAATGTGCGAAGAGCGGCAAGCCACTGCTAGTCTTGGAGGATGATGCTGTGATTTTGCCCACCTTCACTTCGACGTTGACCCAAGCTTTGAAGGAGCTGCCAAAGGATGTTGGTACATTGTGGCTCACCAGCAAGGATCGTGGCACTCGAAAGCGAGTAGGGAAGGTGCTCATGCAACCGCACTACCTGTGGACAACAGTGGGCTACATCATTTGGCCCGCTGCTGCCAAGGCTTTGATATCGCTTCTCCCAATGGATATGCCTGTGGACAATTTCATGGCTTGGCATGTGAAGGAGCACATGGTGAAAGCCTTGTCAGTCTCTCCAGCAGTGGTCCGCCAGGCACAGACATGGAATGTAGGGTCAGATGTGCCACATAGCGATGACGTTGCTCTTTGGGATGCTGCCTAAACACTGCAGCTCAGCTGTGGGTGTGGGCCAAACCATGGCGGGAAGCTGCGCGTGCGGCTTGCCACACATTGTCATTGCAATGTGTGATGGAGAGCTTCGACTTGCGGGGTCCAAAAAAGGAAGCGCACAGGTCCGCGATGCCCTGACTGCTCATGAAACGAGAGAACTTCCTGCAAGCATCCATAAGTCCCTTAGACACAAAACTGTTGGAATGGAAGTTGTGGAATATAGGCGCTCTTGCACTGAACACATCGATACATCCCTTTGTTAGTTTCCAAGTCCATGTATTCCCTGCTCTGCCTAGGACTGGGGGCGGCCCAGCACTGGCTCTGAAAGAGATCTTGTGCCATTCCCATGTCGTCGCTATCTCGGCAGTCACAGCAGTGGCAAGCATTGCATCAAGAAGACACATGAAAAACTTAATAAACAATCTAAAGAAAAGAAACAACGTGTTTTATCAGGGTGTTTTTGAACAAGGTAACTGATTGCTCGCACATGCTTGCACATTCAATGTTCAAACATGTTCAAACATGTATTGAGTAAGTTACATTGAGCACATTGGATGATGTATGCCTCAGAGAACACCTGGGCTCAACGCGCACAAAGACTTCCAGAAACCTGGATCCGTCTCGCGCCCTACAGAAATGATGTCGCGTCGAATGTCAGATCCGGACTCGCCACGTGCCATGGCACACCGTGCGCAGGCGGTGAGGTCCTTCTTGGATCGACACGGGTTTTCGGATGTGAACAACCCTCGTGGGCTCGATGAGTCACACCGAATCCAGATGAAACCTGTCTATCCCATTGAAGTTGCTTCTGACCTCGGCAATCAGGCAATGGTGAACATGCTTCTAGATGCTGGGGCTATCAGGAATCCCAATTCAGAACCGTCGTCACCAACCTCAGCGACCTCCAAAGGCGGTTTGTTCTCCTTCGCTTCCTTTTGTGGCCGACGGCAGAGAGATGAGGATGATGAGGCTGCAGGTTCACCGCAGCTACAGCCTGAAGCCTCACAGCCAATGCGAAGTTGCCTTTCTGACGGCAGCTCACGCCCACGGCTGGAATCTTCCGGCTCTGATGGCATTGACAGAAAACCTCCCATATTTACCAGATGGGTCTAGGTGGTGCAAACGGAGCAGTTTTGGACTGTAGACTCAAATGATTCTCAAATGTCTATACATCTTCTGCCGCAAGAGCCTGCTACAGATGTTTTTCCGGGTCATGGTCCCAATTTATCTTTCGAATCCGTCTCACAAGCATGACGTTTGCGTCTCGCTTGAATAATGGATGGAAACACGGCATAGCACTAGGCTCCCATCACAGTGCAACATGCATTCGTTGGGTGTCGCTGGAGAGAGCAGCGGACGAGTAAACACGCGTGTAAAGGTGAAGATAGCGCCGGATGTTGTTTGCCTGCCTTCGTCAATGTGGGGATGGGTGAACCCTGTATGACGCCATGATCGGGAGATAAGCATCCATTTTTCCAACTATTGGGGGTTCAGGGTACTAGGGTGTTGACCCATAGCCATGTCAATCTATGATTCAGAAGAGCCACGAAGACAAGGACACTGCAATGGAAACCACCCATGGTCCCTGTCAAGGATCTGGTCAATGCGCAGTTTGAGGGAAGCCTTTTGGAGTCCTTCAAGGGCAAGGATAGCAGCGGCAATTGGTTGCCAGCGAAGGTGGTCAGCATATTTCAGCATGGCTTTGACTGCAGGAGCCAGGCAAGATGGACTCTGTCCTTGCCCCAGTATAGCAATCAGCGCTTTTAGTTCTGATCTTTGAATCTTCGGATGAGTAAGGCGGACACAGTCAACGAAGTTAATGCAAGCAGTTGCTGCTGTAACATCACACGGCCTTTTTTGTAATGTTTTCCAGTAGTACCCGCACGCGGCGGGGCGGAAGTTACCTTAAGGTTATACTATAAGAATCCCATAGAATCCCCGTTGGATTTTCCCTTATAATTTGGAAGGGGATGCATGTTTTTTGGACCTGGGCACCATTTTTTGGACCTGTACATGTTTTTTGGACCTGGCCGGATTTTTTTGGGGACCTGGGGGCACAAAAAATGTGGGGGACGTGCCTGTGTGTTTTCTGGACCCTGTGGGGATATTTCTTTTGGAACTGCATGTGCTTGTGCTGGACCCAGGGAATGTTTTTTAGACAGCCAAATTACTGTATATAATTGTTTCTGACCTCGCTTTCTGTTTTTTGGACCCGTGCACCTGCTTCATGGACCTAGCCTCCATAGGGTGGAGGGGGAAACTTCATCTTTATAGGCGCTCACATTGGGCTGGATGTTTTTGGACGTTGGCGCCTTCTTTTTTGAACCTGTACATTCTTTTTTTGGACCTGGCACAGGGTGGGTGGAATTTAGATATTGAGACAAGATGCATGCAAGAAGTTGTTGGTGCGAGGGAAGTTCGGATATTGAAACAACAAAAACATAAGAAGTGGTGGAGAGGCCAATGGGGAAGTCTACGTATGAAGCGAAATGGATGCAGGAAATTGAGAGGCACAGAGGGGAAGGGAAAGTTCGATATTGAAACAGGATGAGCGCAAAAAGTTGTTGAGAGATGAGGGGCGGGGCCTAGACATTGAAACGATATAAATGAAGATACATGAAGATACATGCAAAAAATTGCTGAGAGACGCGGAGGGGATTTTTTGGACCAAAAAATGAATGCCGGAAGCTGCTGAGAGGCACAGGATGGGGGGAAATTAGATATTGAGACAAGATGCATGCAAGAAGGTGTTGAGAGAAACGGGGGAACATGCAGCTATTGAAGCCAGGTGACCGCAGAAAATTGGTGAGAGAGAGGCAGGTGGGAGAGGGGAAAGCTAGACATCGAAACAAGGATGAACGCAAGAAGTTGTTGAGACGAGAAGCGGAAGTCTAGATATTGAACCCAAATGACGGTGCATGTAAGAAGCTGTGGAGAGACAAGGGGAAGCTTAGATATTGAAACCACATGACTGCGGGAAGCTGTTGAGAGGCACAGGTGGGGGGGGACTTTAGGAGGCCACGGTGTGGCCAGATATAAAATCAAATGAATGCAGGAAGTTGCTGAGAGGCACCGGGAACATTGAAGCAAGATGAATGCAGGAAGTTGTTGAGGGGTACTGGGGAGGAAGCTTAGATATTAAAACAACATGAACGCAAGAAGTTGCGGGGAGGTTACGGGGGAAGTATAGATATGGAAATCCAATGAATGCAGGAAGTCAAGGAAGTTTTATGAGAGGCACAGGGGGGAAGTTAGATATTGAAACCAGATGAGCGCAAGAAGTTGTTGAGAGACAAGGGGGGGGAGCCTAGACAATGAAACCAAGTTGAAATGCATGCAAAAATTTGTTAAGAGGCCAGAGGGGAAGTTTGAGACCAAGTGAATGAATGCAGGAAATTGCTGAGAGGTACCACGGGGGAAGTTTAGATATTGAAACCAGATGAATGACCCCAAGTGGGGCACTTTCACACAGGCTGACACCAAGGTGAGCCCCTGCGTTCCTGAAAGGCCGGAAGAGGTGTGAAGAATAGAAGTTGAGAAGAAGAGGGCAGAATGGGAAGGAGGTGGGAAACCCAATACGTGACAAGGAGAGGGGCGCTGCACTCCTTGGAGGGCATAGATATTGAAACCCAATGAATGCAGGAAGTTAAGGAAGTTTGATGAGAGGCACATGGGGAAGTTAGATATTGAAACCAGATGAGCGCAAGAAGTTATTGAGACCCAGGGGAAGCTGTGATATTGAAACCTACATATGAAACCAAATGGATGCAGGCAGTTGAAAGGTACATTGGGGGAAGAGAAAGTTAGATATTAAAACAAGATGAGCGCAATAAGTTGCTGAGGTGAAGCCTAGACACTGAACCCAAATTACGAAGCATGCAAGAAGTTGTGGAGAGACGGAGGGGGAAGCCTAGATTTAGAAACTAGATGCATGCAAGAAAATGCGGAGAGGCAACGGGGGATTACGCGTTGAAACGATCCAAACCGCAACCGCCGCACACAGGAGGTACCCTTCATCGCCGCCTACAGCCATTTTCCACGGAAAAACACACGGTTTCGTGCTCCGGCTTCCTCCCCAACACGAATCCCACGCAACATTCATGCAGCCATTACAATGCGTTTTGCAGCATGACGTGTCTAACCCGCATCTCTCTACGCACCTGGCGACAAAACGTGACAACGATCATGCAGCCAGTACACTGATGGTTATGTGGTGTATTGTTATGTGACGTATGGTAGTGTGATGTTATGTGATGTGTTGTTCTGTGATGTATTGTTATGTGATGTATTTTGATGCGATGTCTTCTTATGTGATTTATTGTTATGTGATGTATTGTTACTGCACTACGCTTCATCCGTAACTCGAAAGATTGCTTCCCAACTTCCTTTGAACAGTGCATGTAGCAGAATTTTCGTCGCAATGCGATTGGACAAGGTTGGCCAACCTTGTAATCCCAAAGATGTGTTCATCAAGATGGCCAGCAAATGCCAGCAATACTTTCAGTCGAAGGGAGCTGCCCTGCTCAACCGTTCCACGCAAATATGCTCGAGGCCTCTATCCTCCCTGTCCTTGTAGGCTGCCGGCGTTGTTGCGAAAGCCTTCGATTTGGATAGCACCCTAGCATGTAAGATTGCAGCAGGAATTCAGCAAGTGAATGCCAATCTTTTCTGGTTGTGATCTGTTTTAATGCCTTGAGTACTCATCTGACACGAGGGATCAGTCAAAAGGGTTGATTCTGACTTTAATCCTTGATATATCTTAGTATCACTTGAATTCAAAACATGTGACATTTTGCTGGCCATTTTGCCGGCAATTGGCACAATTGAGTTACTTTGCCAGCAGGCTCCGATATGTCGCCACTCTCAGACAACCTGTATCGTGTGCGTTTGGCTGGGAGCTTGGTTGGTTATACCGTATTACAGCCTGTTGATGAAAGATGATGAAAGCATGTCACATGACGGTACAGTCCATAATGGTTCCATAGCTGCCATTCACCAATCGAGGCGATGACACGTTTGCCTGGACAGCCCTTGGACACGTTCCTTAGGCCCATTGCGTGCGTTTGCAAAATCATTGGATGTGCTTCATCATGATTCACAAAAGCTCACCAGAGAATGGTCGAGAGTGAGAGGGTTGAGTTTGTCTATCATGAACCGTAATTAAATATATTCACATGTATCATAATAATTCACAATATGGAGCCAAGACATGCCAAGACCAAGTCCTTTCAGACTAGTACCATTACCGAGCTCCAAACCCCAAAATTCAGCTGTCAGGGTAAGGCAGGAAGAGCAACTCCCAGACCAAAGTCAAGGCCTCAAGAGGTGATTCATTCTTTGATCTGGAGCATCCCCCAGCCCAAAGAGACTCATAATTACAGCAAATTAATACATATTATAACTGATTATACAGCATGGCTGCTGGGAAACTTAAGCTCTAAGGGTCGGCTGCGAGCCGAATCGAGACCATGAATGAGGCTGGCACAGTTGATGCTCTGACGCATTCTCGGGATTTTGGCCAGGAACATGCGCAAGTCTTAATCTTATGAGGTCAGAGCACCCACATACGATTGATATATATATGTGTGTGTGTGTGTGATATATATATATATGTGTGTGTGTGTATATCATATATATATATCATATACATATATATCATATACATATATATCATATATATATATCATATGTATATATATATCATATATATATAGCATATATATATATCATATATATATATGTCACATATATATATATATATACGGTAGTCATTGATAGTCATTGTCACTGTCCCTAGTTTGTCCCTGCTTCATCTTCGTCCCAAAATGTCACAAGTCCGTCCCAAAGAGGCCTTCCAGTTTGCCTGGGAGCTCCTCCAACAGCTGGCTCCGGCATTCGAAGAACATATTGCCGGGATCCTCAAAAGTCTCAGGCCTTGAGCTCACAGGGTGAAAGAAGGAAGAGAGATGTAATATATGATTTCTAATGATATGTAATGTGTATAATATATTTATATACCCATATAATGGATTACAATGGTGGATTTAGTGACATGTAGTGATGAGTTTGGATCAATGATGATTATTGTAGAGTATAATGCACATTGCTACACGATATTTTGCAGGCTACCAGACCTCTATTCCAGCCAGATTGTACAGTGTCAGATTTTTGGGCATCCATTTGCTTGAAGATATGTAAAGGTTTGTTGCACCCTGCTTGAAACTTACTCGCATAGCTGCAAAACTCAGCGCCTCACGCTTTTACTAGCATTGCAGTTGTACGTGCTCCTTTGGTCATTCGGGCCACATTGTAGATACTGCTCGGTTGGTGGTTCAATTTCATATGCAAATTTAAAGTGCCTTAATGAATTGGGTTAATTTTGGAGTGCTTGATCAAAGATTAAAACATATATAGACCTTTCCAGACTTCATAGAAGAATTTTGAAAATGCTGGAAACATGTTATGGTTTCCCTTTTTTGTAGATATATATATATATATTTATTTATATATATTTATATTATAGTGTATTTGTTGTTTGTTAGGAGCCCCATTGGCCCTCAAGTTGGTTCCTTCCAAATGAGTGCCTTTTCCCAGGCTGCCCTTGCCTACCATCGCGACGTCAATGCGTCATGGACATAGACGCCGGACTTGGTTGCATGACATTCACTTGTTTTTGTTTGAGAATAGGGTGCCCTAAAATCCCAAGCTTTATCATCATGTTCATTCATTTTCCCTATGGGTCATTTTTGGCGGGAGCACCATTTTCAGATACACACTGCCTTCAAGAAGCAAGGCATGCCTACTGTGTACACACATGACCTACATCTATGATATCCATTCGGAATCCATGTGCCTAGATATAAACATGTAGATTTATAGGTTATTTGGAGGTTGAATGTGGTCGCCATAGGGTGTGACTAAGAATGTGGATGTACATGGCATCGATAGCATGTTTGCAAAAGGATGGGCTTGAGAACATTGCATCTACAGCCAAAGCAGGATCCAGAAAGAGAGGCACAGGTTGTGGATGAAAGATGATGAATGCATCATCATTCTCATGATGTTTCAGGTCCCATACTTTGATTCAGCTACTGGCTGTTCTCAGGCACAACATTTTGATCGATTTTGCCAATGGTCCAAATCCGAAATACGGTTCCCAAGCTGCAGATGAGACATGGCAAGATCTCAGGTGTGGTATGTATTTGTCCACTGGACCTTAGGCATCCTTAGGCAATCCATTTACAATCTATGATCATCTACGCCACTGCAATGGGTAATTAATTTTGATAATCTATGCCATTGTAATGGGTATTTTGTAATGATAATCTATCCATATACCGTCTATGAGAACTTTGTAAGTATAAAATGAACCTATGTGATGGGTGACAGAGTCGCGATGGAGCTACAAATCCGCTACTGCGAACAACAAGGCAAACAGACAATGACAATTTTTGAGTGGGATGCCAATGCCATGACATGCCATGACATGCCATGACCAATACCATCTATAAATCATCGAGAAAACATGAAAATATCCCAAATATCCTGTGGGCATTGGGCCATGAGGCTTGGTGGATTTCGGCTTGGCAGTGGACGTGCAAAGCTGGCAGGGTGAGTTGGAAGTCCAGGCACCAGCTGGCTATGGGGGACAGATGGGAAAGCATCCAATCCATAAATGTTGTTGTTGTTGTTGTTGTCGTTGTTGTCGTTGCTGTTGCTGTTGCTCTTGTTGCTGTTGTTGCTGTTGCTTTTGTTGCTGTTGTTGCTGTTGCTGCTGTTGTTGTTGTTGTCGTTGTTGTCGTTGTTGTGGTTGTTGTCGTTGCTGTTGCTGTTGTTGCTGTTGCTGTTGTTGCTGTTGCTGCTGTTGCTGTTGCTGTTGTTGCTGTTGCTGCTGCTGCTGTTGTTGTTGTCGTTGTTGTGTCGTTGTTGTTGTGGTGGTTGTGGTGGTTGTCGTTGTTGCTGTTGATGTTGCTGTTGTTGCTGTTGTTGCTGTTGTTGCTGTTGTTGCTGTTGCTGCTGTTGTTGTTGTTGTTGCTGTTGTTGTTGCTGTTGATGTTGCTGTTGTTGCTGTTGCTGTTGCTGCTGTTGCTACTGCTGCTGTTGCTGCTGCTGCTGTTGGTTGTTGGTTGTTGTTGTTGGCGGTGGTGGTGGTGTTTGTTGTTGTTGTTGTTGTTGTTGTTGCTGCTGCTGCTGCTGCTGGTGTTGGTGTTGTTGTTGTTGTTGTTGTTATCTTGTGTTGCTGCTGTTGCTCTTGCTCTTGCTCTTGCTGTCGTTGTTGTTGTTGCCGTTGTTGTTGTTGTTGTTGTTGTTGTTGTTGTTGGTGGTGTTGGTGTTGTTGGTGTTGTTGGTGTTGTTGTTGTTGTCGTTGTCGTTGTCGTTGTCGTTGTTGTTGCTGTTGCTGCTGCTGCTGCTGTTGTTGTTGTTGGTGTTGGTGTTGTTGCTATTGCTGTTGCTTTTGCTGTTGCTGTTCATGCTGCTGCTGCTGCTGCTGGTGTTGGTGTTGTTTTTGTTGCTGTTGTTGTTGTTGTTGGCGGTGGTGGCGGTGGTGGTGGTGGTTGTTATTTTGTGTTGCTGCTGTTGCTCTTGCTCTTGCTCTTTCTGTCGTCGTTGTTGTTGTTGTTGTTGTCGTTGTTGTTGTTGTCGTTGTTGTTGCTGTTGTTGTTGCTGTTGTTGCTCTTGCCTTTGCTGTTGTTGCTGTTGCTGTTGTTGTTGTTGTTGTTGCTGTTGTTGCTGTTGCTGTTGCTGTTGCTGTTGTTGTTGTTGCTGTTGTTGTTTATATTTCTCTGGTACTTAGGACTTCCAATTTTGAATAATTTTGAACCATACCATTGTGATACCATTGTGATACCGTTGTGATCCGCTGCGAATTGGATGGTCCTGGCAGGAACGGGCTCAACCTTCGCGCCAAACCAGGGTGGGACAGGCAGAATCTGTGCCTGTTGTGTTTTACTGTTTTTCCCACATGAGAGATCAATACCACTTTGTCGCTCAAACCTGGGCCTTTTGTATGAATGCTCACCGCGGAAATATATACTGTACATACTTATATATACATAGTATAATAAATGTTTTCAATCCTCTTTATGTTTGATATAATGTGTTACGTACTGAAAAATCCGAACAAAAACTCTCTTATCTTCAAAGAAAATGGACGGAGCAGCTGGAGTCTTTTTGCCAGGATGGGGCCACCACCTGGCATCACTTGGATGTCGGTGGCGACTGTCCTGGTCTCAGCCGCAGCTGTTGCAGGTCATTTCCCAACCACCGTTCCCAGAATTGGTTGAAGCATAGTTTTGCTCCATTGCCCAGGCAGGTACTGGCCAGTTTCCGCATGGGTCGCAGCCTTGGTCAGGGCCATGTGGTTCATGTCAACCAGCCTTTGCCGCCTTAGCCTTTTTGGGATTTCGTTGGAAGACTAGTAGGTGATTTACCTATGAAACAAAAGGATAATAATTAATTATAGTAATTATTCAATATTATATATATATATATATATTCATTTGTGCTCATTGCCTATTGGCAACCTGTGGCCAGCGGCAAAGTTTCCCAGTCACGACAGAAAACGCTTCCCGACGCTTTTGAAAGGTTCAGTTCCTGCTTGGCTGGACAGAATTGGAGTGCACAGCTCAGAGTGGGGTCAAAACCCTGGCGCCAAGCTGAACATCAAAAGAGTCAGAGCTACGAATGGATGTGCGCCTCCCCGAAAAATAGCGTTACATGACATCACCCTATATACTTAGTCATACAAATCACATATAGTCATTGAATGGCATTGACCCATCACATCCCATCACCATGTCTCTTGTTTTCTGGCAACAGTTCGCATTTGCACTGACTTGGTTTGAGTTTATGTGACCTTCCCACACTGCTCAGATGCAATCCAATGCTTCGCTCCGAATATCGGACGCGGTTGGACATGCATTCTCTCGGCAGAGTGCTTAGATTTCGATTGCATGAAAGAACATGATCACATTTGCACGACGGTAAGAACAGCAGAACTTGGAACTGGATCAGATGCATTCATGTGCATTTGCCTATCCGCAGAGGCAGCAGGTAATTATTGATTATGTATGAGTTAATTAACATCAATTAACTATGTGCCGTTTATTTGAGCAAATACAGTACAACTAGATTTGATGGGTCATTATGGTGGGTTATACCACCTGCTTTAACAGAGGTCTTGAGAACTTAAAATCCGTATGCGATAGGAGCATTTCATGGCCACCAGATGCCATGAGAACCATGTGCCGCAGTACCTGACGATTTGTGGCGCCTCGAGGTCTCACTGCGTTGCAAGTTCTTGTGGAAACGATGCGGCGGCCTTGGCATGGAGATGCTATAAGAACGCATAAGATGTGTGTGCCTGACATGTGCCTGACATGTGCCTGACAATGCTTGGGATTGTGATGCCTTATGATGCTTTACTGTTGAGCGGACAATGATGGCATGTGGCATGTGGATGGCACACGAGGCCACCGGATCTTTCCCTACCTCCTGGGCACAGCGCAGGACGCCTTTCTTCCCTCCAAATATCACAGGGCAGAAATCAGCTTCAGGATTGATCAGGATTGCATGTTTAAGCGACCTCACTGGAATGATGCTTAGTAGGGGTTCATAACTATCATTAACTATCCCAAAAATCCATTATTTCAGGTTGGTGAAGTATGTTTCAAGATGTTTGAAATTGCTCCTGCGATGAGACTTTTGATTTTGATCAGAGGGTATTTTGAGGCTGAAATTGGCGCTAGTATGAAACTCTCGAAGGGGGCATCTCGAGTGACAGAGCATTGAGCAACCGGTTTTGTGTTCATGTCAGTGACAATGGAATGTTTCTGTTTCAAAGTTCCCTCTAACCAAGAGTTGGCGATGGAGGGGGAGAGAGAGAGAGAGAGGTGCCTCCATGTCCCTCCAGTCTACCGCATGTGACTGATTGCATTATACAAGACATTCCAAAACGCTTTGCCAATGGGCATGACGTTCCCATGGCATGCTCGGTTAGGAGGGTTGTTCGCGGAGCTTCAGAGCCTAAAATCTGGGTGGGAGCCAGGGAGCCCAATGACACAAGATTCTCACAGGCATGTGATTTCTGATCCAAATTAATCCAGTGATCTTAAGCATCTTAAACCAAGGCGCTACTGGGACATGGTGACGCCCTTGCACCGCCGATTGATGGAAACCTTCCACAATGGCGGTGATTGGGATGTCTTGAAGGAGGGAAGCTGAGCAGTTGCAGGGAAGCCATTCAGAGGGTGCTGTTGTGTGCTGTTCATATATGCTCACAGCATTGGTTTCAAAAAGTTTGAAGAATTTGGAGACACTGGTGCTGGTTGTTGGCTGCTATACACAACGATGTCTATAGAGTCTATATACATATTAGTATACTGATACTATCATATACGATTCAGTGGCATTTAGTAACTGTATTTGTTTCAGTTGCTGTTGGAGGCCCATTGCCTTGACAACAATGTGCACGAAGCCATCGCAGCTGAACTGCGGGGCATTCGTTCATTGCCCAGATGACTCCTAGATGGATATGGCCAGGAAGCGATTGGAAACGTGGCCTCAACTTGGATGCTGAGGTGGTGCAATCATCCGCTCGCATGCTGTTCTAGCCTCATATATCATATATCCTGTCATCCTGCTGGTAGATGTCGTGAAGACTTGTCAAGTTTGGTATGTGCACCAAAGTTTCCTGAGATGTGTTCACTGATAATTTGTAGCAACTGAGGCTGGAAGGAGTTTGCCAAGCAGTTCAGGACATGAAGTAAAGCTATATACGATCCAGTAAACTTTTGCGTCACATGGCATTGCCTGGCACTTTTTTCACCTTTGCAAAGGCATGGAGTCAGAGTGGATTCTTCAAACCACTTGAGACAAGTGCACTGCTGAAGCTACTGCAGGATTCTGTTCTGAAACTTCTGTCGGAGGCCCAGGAGAGTGCCAAAGTTGAGAAACGCACATGAAAAAGATATGATTTGATCACAATTGGTAGGCAGATGTAGGCAGTGGTGCTAGCACCGAAATATGTACTGTTTTAGTGCACATCGGGCCCTTTTGACTATTCAATTTCATAGGGTTGTACGTGGGAGGATTTCCCCGCGCGATATAGATGTTGCAATGCTTGCAGAATGTATGGACCAAAGTACAATGAAGACCATGAGCACTCAATGAGTATGATAAATATGATAATATAAGATGTGATCGCATACCTTCATAATTTGAGGGCTCAGTTCCTGTGTATGACCAGTATGGCACGGCACCAAGACATCGACATGAGACTCTGAAACATACTTCCACAGCAGCGCCGCATTTGCAGCTGCGATCTGGCCATGGGGAACACCAGCTGCTGTCAGGAGGAGTCACAGCCTGTGCCAAAGGAAGTGATCGAGACTCAACACGCATGTGACGATCCAAAATCATCAAAGTCCATTCAGAAACCTGTGGAGATGGCGGCCATCCAAGTGGTTACCGCATCCCAGGAATCCCAGGATACTCAGGTATCAAAGCGTTGCACCCACAGCGGGATTCTCAATATGCCTCATTTTGAGGTGGATGCTGATATTTTGCGAGGCATTGAGCTAGAGGACTCTCTACGGAGACTGGGCAAGCTGTGGAGAGAGTCACCTTTGGACTTGAAGATTGAAGATCGCACAGGTCTCTGGGAGAAGTCCCGGCCAGTCCAAAAATATGACGTGTTTCTGTCGCACACTTGGTTGACACCAGGACGTTGGAAGGTGTTCTCCTTGTTGCTTCAATCGGGCTGGAAGCAGATGTTCGCAGTTTGGTTCTTTTGCATATCAGTGGTCATGACGATCGGGCTTCTGGGCTGGCTGCCCAAGCCCTTTCTCTGGAGAGCTGGCACGCTGGGTTTTGTGACACCAACTCCTTTTGGCCCATGGATGTTGGCAACTAGTTTCTTTTCAATGATTTTGGGACTGTCAGTGGTTCCCTATATGCCTGCTTGGTGTCGCAAGAGTTCTGTGTGCTTCTTGGATGTTGCTTGCATCCATCAAACCGACAAGGATCTAATGGCACGAGGAGTCTATGGCCTTGGAGGCTTTTTGAGACAATCTGCGGAGCTGAGGGTCCTTTGGAGCGGTCCATACCTCACCAGGCTTTGGTGAAGCTCGATTGTGAACTATGTAGTTGCTGGTGATTTCAAACCGTTGAAACATGTTGAAACTGTTGAAACATGTTGAAACGATGCCTTGCAATGTCTTATGATGTGTTGTTCCTATCTGGGATGATGACCCCAAAGACTATATGCTCATGTGATGTTTTTCACGAGGCAAAGCCGGCGAACCGACTTGTGTTTTGGGGTAAAGTGTGCTGGCTGATTGCCTTGACAAGTAGCAAGGCTGCATAAGCCATGTCTTGATTGCCCTTCAATTTCCGAGGCGGCTGCAACGGCAAAAAATGGAATTGGAGCTGGGGTCGGCTCATTTTCATTGCATTATCGAGACACTGGTTTGAGATAGATAGATATGTGGAGTACAATGTAGCTGAGCCCCATAGATCACCTCAGAATATCAACGTATTTAATTGTATTCATGCAAGAAGCAAATACGGGCAATATGGAACGGCACAGATATCCAAACATTGGGATTCTCCAGCCATTTGTTTTGCCAAGATGCGATGTCAACAGCTGAGGCGTATTCGAGCTGGCAGCGTATCATGCGGCAAATCCAGCAGGAAAAGTGACTCTGTCTCCCATCTTTGTTGAGACTGGTGTATTGGTAATGTTTCTGGGCGCTCATGCAGCATCTCTATTGGTACAGATTATCATGCTGACTGAGGTATTTGGGGATTCTAGTCTTGTTGTATACTTTGTTGGGCTGCTACCCACCTACATTATCATCCATTTGCTCCGGAAGATTATCCGCGGGAAGCACAACATGATCGAATCTTTGGAAACGTTTGTTCTGAGTGATGCTCAATGCCGCAATGACTTTGACAGAGAATTTATTCAGAATGCAATTTGCGCATGGTACGGGAGCGAAAAGGCATTTGAAGACTTTGTCCGACACGACTTGCGGGAGGAGCTACTAGGGATGGCATCTACTACCAGCATTCCCCTTCCATACATTGGCATGGTTGCTGCCTCTGTTGTCAGTTCAACCTTTGATTGCATTACATCACTCTTCATCGGAAAAGCTCCGGTGGAAACAATTGTTACACATCTCATCGGCTACACATTTGCGTCCTCTTTGTTTTGGTTCTTTGCCCTTCTCACTCTTGTAATCTACCTGTGTGATCGTTGGGCTTTTCCACTATGCAAAGACTGGGATCATTTGACCACACTGGTCATTTTCCTGGTGCTTGTTGCAAGTTTCTATGGTGGCTCCATCATCACCACTCTGGCCTGTGCCCGCAGTATTTGGTCCGCTCTGGCCTGGTGTGTTTGCACTGCGTTGGTAGCTGCGGTGCTGATTCTTCGGAAACGTTTGGTGGAATCTCGCAGAATTGCCCGGACTTTGAGGAAGGATGCAGATTTGGATGGACCAGATGACAGATGCCCATAAATTCCAGATTCCAATTGTTGCTCATAATGTGCTGAAACGCACTTCATCGATGCATAGCATCAACTTGGACCCCAGCTGTCATACAAACGTATGATGTGCTGGGGTGTGAGATATTCACGGAAGGTGTCACCCCACATGACTCACGAAAGATGCGCGGAAAGACTTGATGCATCTTGATGCATATTCATATTTTTTGTTCTACTGTAATTACCCAATTTTTGATCCACATTCATCCGTCAATGTACTGTTTAATGCCGACTGGATGTTGTTAATTATCTAGTTGCGAAACCCAGGACATATCCATGGTCACGCTACATGTTCATCAGATTAACATAGGTTAAGATAGTATTAACATATTTATATATATATATATGTAGATTAATCATGACTAATTAACCATGATTAACCATGATTAACCAATGGTCAGAATGGTCAGAATCCAAAAAATCCAACGGCCCCTGAGGCTGGTCTCCTCACCGCGCTGTTGCTGCTGATTGGCTGCGGGGATCGTTCACATGAGGCGCAGATGGTCCAGTGGTCCAAAACTCGAGACATCCAGTGGACCAAAGCACGAGAACCGTCGAGAACCACAGGACACCTTCATGAATGTTTTTGTTGACTCTCATGATATCATAATGTATCATATAAGATAAGATAATGATACTATATATATATAAATATGTTATAATATATGTGCAGTATTTAATGATATCATATGTTAAGATATGATATGATATGAATACATACTATCATACTGTGATATGTAGAATGTAGAAAATTGTGATGCAATTTGATAGATTCATGATAGAATGTAATACAAGACAACACAATATCATATACATACAGTAATCTATGATGTAATATAGCCCCTGTCATTCGACACATTGGCTGTCGATGAATACAGATGAATATAGATGGATAAATGGATGAATGGTACTATACTATACTAATACTATACTATACTATACTATACTATAACTGATCATGGCTCAACTTTTTGCAGTGGTAGTTTCTGCAAAGACGTCGCCACCTGATCGCAGGTTGAAGGCACTGTGGGGCCAGGCGCTGAAGAGGCCAGGATGGCGGTGGCAGCCGGGTGACGGCGCCAAGGGGCATCGGCTGCCAGGTACCGGGCCCCAACGTGTGGCGACAAGTGCGGATGTCACTTTCGGACAAGGCCCAGAGTTTGAGTCAATTCCAGGCATTGGGAGGGTGACTACAATGGTGATTGGTGGTCCATGGAACTGTGGGCTGCAGTAATTGTGTGATGGCTTGTTGATGAGTTAGAAGTGGTGGTCATTGATCATTTGCTGATATTGATTTGCCTGCTGATTTACGGGGTTTGTGTTCTCATTGAATGGTTCCGAAGTTCCCATCCTTTCATAAGTATTCTATAGTAGACTGCCGGAAGGGATGCGCTCCCCTTTGATCTTGTGCCAGTAGCTCAAACCCTGCCTTGTAGCAGGATGGCATGTCACCAAGCAGTCCTGGAAAGCCAAGGCGGAGAGGGGTACTAAACGGTTTCAAGATGTTTCAAGATGGTTTCATGCAATGCCAGGGGGGTTGTGTAGCATTGTGTAGCGTCCATGTGGCATGTCATTCCTGTGCCATAATCATGTTATATTTGCCCCTGGGCACTAGGAATGTCATTGGACGAGGCTAGTGGAGAGGGGGTGGCAGGGCTGGGTGGTCGGGGCTGCAATCATTTGCAGCGTAAGGACAAATTCAGTAGTTCGTGCCAGACTGTAAATTTAATCAAAAACGGATCATGTGAAGCTACTTACAGTGTAAGTAGCTTCACATGATCCATATTTGATTAGTCGTGGATGCCACACCTACTTAGGTGATGTGAAATTTCACCAAATGGCATCAAATGGGTAAATGCAAGTCTAAGAATTGAGAAAGGACATGCGTATCTCAAAATCCGCGATTGTAGACCTCTGCGTCGCAATTGATCGGCGATCGGTTTGCGGTTGGGACAAACGTTTGTTGTGAGAATCAACTATTGTAGGAGGAGATATCGCTATGATATAGCAATATATAGCATGATATGTTGTTTTCAGACTATTTGGGTTTGTTTGGAAACAGTGTTCGATAGTGATAGCCGATAGCAAAGAAGAATCAGAACAACAACTCAAAGTCTACAAGCGAGATTAATGTCGATGAAGTCCGCAATTGCGCTGATTGGTTCCGGTTGATCCGCGATCGTTCAACCCACCTAAGTAGGCCCTGCCATGTCTCTATATGTTGTAATACGTAGCCATGTTTTGTCGATTCTTTGCGCAAAATAGTGTCGGATACGACAGAACCCTCCCGCGATTGATACCGTTGGGATCCCGGTTGACCGGCGATTGAAGCTGCCTCAGATACCTTTACTTTATCATGGTCATACTTTATCAACACATATCAACACCCAAATTGCTCTGATCGTCGCATCGTGCCTCTCCGCACAGGATCGCACAGGTATGGAGCATTATTGGAGCAAAATATCTTGTCTTTGGCAGTTGCCCTGAATTTCCGGCTCAAGCTCTTGTCATGAAATGCTATGAACTGCCATGACATAGGCCCTTAGGCCATAGGCAGATACAAATTACAGTAATTCCATGGAGATTTGAACACCGCATCTCTGGAGACACCCAACTTCAACCAGACTCCTGCTGAGGAAGCCAAAGCATTATTTCCCCAGGCTGCAGCGGCTGCAATCTGAATTTCTCCTCCCAACTGCAACATTTGCCATGGATGCCTCACGATACGCTGGGCTTGAAGATAGAGGTGAGCGAGGGTGATCTGCGAATAGAACCCGGCATGGGAATCCCTATCCCTATATGAATTCACCACCAAAAGTGGAGGACACGCGGGATTGGGCATGGTTCATATCAGTTCAAGGGATTCTGCATGATTCTGCCAAAAGTCTTTCCTCCTGTTAGTAACATGGTGAGCATAGGCTTGTAGTACCTGTTGACATGTTCATGACCAGTTACAATCGTCAAGTCACGACCCCGCATATAGAGTGTCCGGTGAATGGCAGGCGATGCTCTTGAGGAGGGTGTGCAGCCGAGGGAGAAGGCAAAACGAATCTCATCTGCAGGACACTGATGATGACCGTGGGCGCTTTGAAGTCTCATTTATGTTTTCATATGTTTTCTGCCACCAATTTGTGGTTGTACTATGTTGTAGAAGAAAGCCGACCCTACTTGTTTGTTTAGTTTCATGCATGTCGTTGTTGCAAACATTTGCGCATAGTTTCCGAAGCTCTTTGCTCAATGTCACGCCATATTGATTTGACATGTTGCTTGAGAGTGACGTGCCTGCAGTTTGCAGTCCTTAAAAAGAATTCATGACATGGTCACATAGTTGACATAGATTGATAGCAAATGGGGTGACATAGTGTTAATGTTCATTTATTGTCCATTGTTGATATGGGATATTCCTAGACTCATTTTCGTTTGACAGGAGATGTCGCAGCTTTGACTGCCCTTGCCTTTGGAGGCGTGACAATCTCGCCTTTGCAACCTCTTGTTTTCTGTGGAACTCTGTCGAGCCCCAAGGAACAACAAAAACATAACAAAACAACATGGAACACCATGGAACACCATGGAACAGCAAAAATCAAAAAGGTTAGAATTAAACCCATGGAACACCATCATTTAAGATCGTAAAGTTTTTAAAGGATTCAACGATGGCTGTGGTGCCCCCATTTGCATCAGGCTTAGTTGGCGTGGTTTTGCTGCCAGTCATCATAGCAGCGCGCTGTGTGCACGGTGGACACCTTGGATTTGTGCTCAGCACAGTGACACATGTGACACCCAAGAACATCCAAGAACTACGTAACGAAGGTGTGAAGCAAAAACAGGGGAGGAAATCGCAACATATCGCAACAATGCCAATCAATGCCAATCAGATGAATCAGCTGGCCTCATTTGGAGTACTTACATCATCTAAAATCGTCTAAAATCGTCTAAAAACCATAGCGAGGCTGCTACAAGCTTGGCAAGCGCAAACTTGCAAAGAGTGATCCGGAGCAGCAGGTGCAAGCCGTTCAACTGCAACCAGATGTGTTGGTACCACGGGTGGCACCATTTCACTATATTTCACTGATAGGCTCAATGTGACATGTGTTTGCAAGAAGACGTCAGAACAATGCTTCGCCACTTCAGCTGAGGATTGTGATGGCATTTGGCCATACATCAATGTTCATGATGATGGAGGCATTTGGTAGATGCCGCAAGCCATCCAAATCAATGAACCAATGTCAAAATATGCGCGTTGCCTCTACGTGGCAAGGTCTACACCGGCTGCCAGATGGAACCATGCGGCTGGCAGGGTATGTCAAGATGTCTGACGGAGTCAGGACTGCAGCCAATGATCTTATTGGATATGGTTGAACTTGTTGCTTACTCTGATTGAATTTGTTTGGAGCGAGAATTCAAGATCATGGATGTCAATTTGATATGGAAAATGGAAAATCGCTTTAGAGGCGATCATACTCGTTTCACTAGGTAGTTGCAAGCAGCATCTGGGTCCTGGAGGATTGCCATTGACGTACTCTTGCCTCGCCAAGCACAAGGCGTGATGGACGCAAACCGACCAGTGCATTCTGAGGTATTGGCTTCATACAATCCATACTTTTCATTGAAGGGTTGAAATAAAATGAAATAAATACAAAACAGTCATGAGTCATAATAGGGTAATTCAATGGTAATTCACATTAATTCACCTTCAGGATTGAGAACTGTGTTTGTGGCAGCTTCCAGTTGTGGATGGAGCCATGGAGCCGAAAGTTGCACCCCTGCTATCCCTGTCGAGGTGACGGAAGTCTTCGTCCCGTGCCTTGCGTTTTGCACATGGCACGCTACTGGCGCGCATGGGAGATGCGGTGGCCGTTTCGGGAGCTTGTGAATGGGGGGCAGCCCTGGGATTTCTTGTCCTTTGGCAGCAGCTGCTTTGCTGCTTTGCTTTCAGATGTTTGGGAAGGGGAAGAGGAAGAAAGAGGAAAAATAAGTAAATGCATGGCACTTGTATCATAGCACCGGTATTTGCACTTAACACAAGATAACCAGTGAACCAGTGAGAACTCATATGAACTCATTAACACATTTTTATCACCTTTTTTCTATGAACCTGTTTGAAGTGTAAGCATTGTGAGCAAAGAACGCAATGGCAGTTTGCTGAGTTGAGGGTTTGAAGGCTGGGGCCGTGGAAGAGCGCACTCCTCAAGTCTGGCTTTGCCGTGGTCTCTGCTGATGTTCGGGGAGCAGGCTCTGTTCAGGAACATGACTGTGACTGGAGAGTGGCAGAGTTGGAGCGAGGGACGTGATCTTGCAGAAATGACATGTAATATGAATTGACATGATAAGGTGTGTGCATCTGATTGCACCTAGTCTATATTCGCGTAATTACACTACGATTATGTACACATCTATTATCATCTATTCAGTATATTCATATATACAGTTCTGTCCAGCTTGATGGGCAGAGGGAGGTCCATGTTTGATGTGATCAGAGAATGGAATGAGATATAGGTGCAACTTACTCGAACCGGAAACTTGCACAGTTTTGCGTGTTTTTGCCTTATAGAGTGAGGCACGGACGGGTCTTGGCATTTTGCAAAATCCCAACATGTGGTATAGAATTTACATATGATTGGGAATATTCAAAGCCTTCGGAGCCTCTTTCTGTCGCTTGTTTGTTGGCATTGGCATCATTGCTTGTTGATGATAACAAGAAACAGTCTACAAGAACAAGAACAGACCAAGTTATCAAAGCAGTGCCCATCTTGAAGCGGAGGTGCTTCTAGCGGAACACAGTCCGTGGTGTGGAGCCCCCGTGAGACACAAGACACATTGGCTTCTTGGCAATCACGTTGTGTGAGTGCGCGCGTATCTCACTCCGCAACTATTGGTATGGCTGCTGGACATGTGCATGCCATTGCCACATTTACCTCATGATGATGATGGGTTTTGTGATTAGATGCGCAGAAAAGTGCCGAACGTGTCAGAATATGTCGGAATGCGCCAAGGAGTTTGGTACTTTGTGTATCTTTTTGTGCTGTCATCTGGGCTAAATAGAGCTGTCGAGTTTGTCTGTGCGGCTTCAAGGAACTCATTGATTTCATCGTTGGTGGCAGCCATGCCGTCACTACACAGCGTGCGCGGCAGCCATGGAGTGATGGTCAGGCCAGGAATTTGGAAGCCTACGTCGTTAGCTTCCAAGTCTGGACCTAGTAGTGCAAACTTCTACTGAAGTACACTAATATATCGCATCCAAATCATCCAAACATGTTTGATATTTAGCTAGCTACTGAACTTTGACTACCAATATTTGGCGGTTTTATCACGTAAATGATCGTCCAAATATATCGAAACATAGTGGCAAGATGTAGCAAGTGCATTTGGCAAATGTTTGGATATCAAACAATTTATCAATATTTATCCATACAGTACTGTACATGTGTATACATTTGTTAATCTTCGGGATGTCATTTGTTAATCTTTGGTTTCCTCACAGGTGGCGCTGTTTGGAGTCTCCTACGATGCTGGCGCGGCTGTGCGAGCAGCTGCCCATCAACATCCAGCAGTGAAGGTGCTAGATGTTGAGGGAGGGTCATGGAAAAAATTGGAGCCGGAAATGCTCCGAAACCCATCAAAACTTGCCAAATTACATACTGGAATATATTATAATTTGATTAATTTGAATGAAGGATACTGAAAGTCTTTGGAACGCCATGGACAGACAAAGTAGATGAGTCATCTAAACTCGTATTGGTTGCTGTACATTTATGCATATGCACTTTGTTTGAGAAAGCTTGTGCTGTAGCTTTGTTCAGCTGGTTTCGGTGTATGGTGCCAAAGCGAGGACGATACATGACTCATGACTGATCATGACTGTAGTTCATATTATTACTAATATTACTTTACTTTAATTCATTCTGAAATGTCTGTGATGTTTGGTCATTTCATGCCATTTCCCTTGTCAACGGGTGTTCCTCCAGCCCGTGACGACAGGCTCTTGTTGCCAGCTTTCTCTTCGGTGACATTTGGCGAGAACTTTTTCCAGGTGGCCTCGATGAACACTTCATCGTCGGCACAGCATGTCTTTGAGAATGGGGTCAAAACATAGCCTTCAAATGGATCCAAATGGCAATCTAATATATAGGGGAAATGGATGAAAATGATGATAATATATGATAATGATATATAAATGATATACTAACTTGTATATTATTATAATATGTATCTATAGTTTTATATGTATTCATTATTAACATGATTGTATATGATACATACCCGCAAAATGTCATTTAACAGGGAAGAATTTTCAGCGTTGGGCGAAGAATTTGTTGCGAGATCGAAAGCCCAGGTGGCATCATGAACCGATGGTTTTTACAGAGCTGGTGCGATGTCAATTCGCATCTCGGTAGAAACCCGCAGGTTTCATCGGGATGATTTGTGTAAACTGCTAGTCACTTAGTCACACGGTGTCACACGCAGTTCAAACATGTTCAAACAATGTTTCAATCTTTCAAACATGCGGCAGTGACAGAGTTTGTGGGATCACTGCCCACGAAGATGCCCACTTTCTCTGATGCATTGGGAGACGTCCTGATGTGTACCTGCAAAACTAGGGACAAGCTGTTCTCATCAAGCTTTCAGGTGTTAGAATTGTTAGAACAGGTCGTTTGCTTGACAATTTCAGTCGAAGGCATCGACTCCTACAACGTTATATCCCTCCATTGCCTTTCCTCACGCAGAGAGTGTGTGTGTGTGTCGTACACCGTGTGGCCAAGGACACCTTGTCGTTTCAACCCCATTATTGTTGTTCATCAGCCATGATACTGTATCAGCCCTTTTCGTCCGCAGTGCGCGACATTCTGCCACATGCTAAGGCGGCTCGACAATTGCAGGTTATCTGCGATTCACCCCTTCGCGCCGCTAGCCATGAAGGGCGCAGCCCCTGCCTCATCCAAGCAGCAATTGGCCAGGCGAGCCACCAGACGTCTTTCGGCAATTGTGGAATTTCGCATGCCAAAATGGAGAGAATTGGATGGAATTGGTATCAATTGGTATCAATTTCAAAGTGTCCCCCTTGGCCGACCAAAGTATACCAAAGTGCCGCAGGCATGTCGCAGAACACAGTGCCAACTGGGACTTGATGTCTGCGGCTGGATCAGTTGCGGCCATTGATGATCCTGTGTCAATCAGCTCGGGGGATGCTTGGATATGCTCGCCACTGCTCGCCTGGTAGGAAATGATGTTGTGCAATGTTGTGCAATTGTTTTTCAAGCGGCGAGATTCTTCAGATACTTGAGATACCAGACTTTTGTGTTTGCCGCCGCTTGGTGGCAATCCCATGCGATCCCTTCAACCAAATTCAAACCCATTTGCTTGATTCATATACGTTGTGGTTTCATGTGACAAAGGGAAAGCTTGGCTCAGGAGACCATGACGTGTCAGAATTTGGAGCTCTTTTCAGACCCGCTGCCGAGCCTTGAGGGCAAGGCGGTGTTGCCATCCGTGGCAGCCAGCCAGCTGCCTGTGCTGATCATCTCAGGCAGGAGTTCCAACTTTTTTCTTGCAATCCTTTTGTCAAAGTTTGGCTCAAAAATGCTAGAGACGCACCCACCCACTCAGTCACTCACTCACTCTATGCTTCCATATTGTTTTAGATTGTTTTAGATACCTTTGGTTCTTATTTTCCGCTTCCTCCAGGCTGGTCTTGCGTCACCAGCGGCACTGCCTGTGCCACGTTCTCTGCCCTCGCGGGGAAGCACTGGCGGCTGTTGGTTGGGCCATGGAACCATGGCGGGGTGCAGCACGTCAGATATTGCAGCTCGGTGCTGATGGAATCCCAGCCATAAATGTCCTTTCTCACACGCCAGTTGATTACTGCAAGGGTGACGATTGTGAACAACTACTAGTAACACTAGTAGCAGGATACTAGCAGGCACTGGTAAATAGGAAGTGGTATGGCAGACCCGGGATTCCATGTTTGTCATTTTGTTCTGAAAGGGACATCATGGGGTAGCTTTTAATTCCACAAAGATGTTGGGTTATTAAGTACAGGCATCTGTGCAAACCTTCGAATCTGATGACAGGTAGAGACACCAAACTACTGAAGTTCCCAAAGGCCGGTGGATTGGCTTGCCCAGAGCATTGTTTATATGCCGCAATCAAGCGTGTCGAATTTGTCAAATTCATTTAAATTCTACCTTTGTCACTTTAGACTTTCTGGATCTCGGTCTTGTTCGAGATCTAACGGCGGAATCATATTATACATACATATATATATAATCATATTATACATACATATATATATATACATATATACATATGCACAGGTACATCGTATATATGTATATGGCACATACACACATATTACATGTGACATGTGTCACAATATTTACATTACACGCGAGATTGCATTATGTATAATTATGTGTGTGTGTCGAACATCGCTATAATATGTGTGTATATATATATATTGCTACACCACTTCACATCTATTGTTAGGAAATGTACTCTATTGATTACACGCATATATATGCATATATAATATGTTTCATAATATGTGTAGTTTATACTATAGAATTTCATAGTTATCCTTTTTGCGCACCCTTACCGCATGGCCTGCAGGCTCATGCTGTTCAGGATTTCCTACTGCATCACATGCAGCCCAAGAGCCAGACGCCAGAGTGGCTCGCTTCACCTCAACCGGAGGTGCTGGTGGTGTGGGATATCGGGGGAATATGTGGGAATGCCATGAGATAGAGGTAGAGATATATTGTTATACTGTAGGTAGATAGAGATGGAACATGTGTATTCGGCTTCCCATTAATATATAGTTTTCAAAGTATGGAACATATGTATACATATGTGTATGTAATATAATATGTATATATAATATGTATATATATTATATATATGTGCATTGCATCATTGCGCATGCATATATACATATACAGTACATCTTACACGCGTGCAGAGATTTGGGGAGACTCTGAGACATCGCCAGGGCACCTCCAGGCTGAAAGGAGCGGAAACTCTTCAAGTCGCGAGACCAAAGATCAGTTGACGTTCAAACGGACGTTTTGGTCTTCAAGATTCTGAATATCGATGTTTTTGATGGTTATCCCCAAATGATGGTTTGATTTTGTCCATAAAGATCCCCAAATCTGCAGATATTTGATGATTTTGATGATTTGTTTCCATCCTAACATTCTCCCCAAGACAGCTTGGTGACAAAGCTGACTTTGGCATCGACGTCAGGCTCATTTCTACCTTTGCGGGGCAGCACCAGCTTGGCAGCACAGCACCAAGTGGCCTCCAGAAGGTGTCCGGTACTTAGGAGGCCTGGGACAGCCTGGGGAAGCCTGGGACAGCCTGGGACATAATGACCTGTGCCTGCAGTTTGCATCGCCCTATCGTGCTTTGGAATGCTGTTGCTAAGGTTGTCAAAAAACCGCTATGGCTAAGCGGATCCAAGACATTGTCATGGACCGAAAGTGAGTTGGAAAGTGAAGGAGTGGATGAAGCGGGGGCGGTGAATAGAGTGGATTGAGATATATTGAGATGGATGGAGCAAACAGTGAGTAGTGAAAAGATGTGAAAAGTAAATCAGTGAGAAGGAGAGGAAGTGAGTAGTGATGAAGGTAGGTTGTGCTTTGGGTGTGAATACCATAATTTGGGTTCAGAGATCGGGTCGCATGACTCTGAATTGACTTTGTATCACATTGTAACTGTTTTTTGACACCAGTCTCAGAGTAGGTTTACAGACTGCACTGTTGCTTCACATGGGCAGGAGCCAGCCAGCTGCCAAAAGCTACCGGTGCGAAGCAAGTGGTTTGGGGCGGTGTGTCTCGATATATGGCTATGATCAGGATGATGGAATCTCAGCTAAGCCTGCAACCTGCCAGGTTCCAGAGCGCCATTCAGAAACCATACCTTTGACATGTTTGAACATAATTGAACATGATATATGGTGAATGATATATGGATATAGATATCTATATTATTATTATTATTATTGTTGTTGTTGTTATTGTTATTGTTATTATTATTATGATTATATATTAATAATTATATATATATATATAATTATATATCTATATACATGGATATATATGGTGACATATGATTTTCGATGATGATGTGTGTGTGTGTGTCTTGCAGAATGGCGGATCATGGTGGATCCTCATTTCTTCCCGACGGAGTTTCATTGTAAACTTGGCCCATTTACCTTTTGGCATTTATTGGCCATGCACGTTTCTCAGAGTTTTGCACAGTTGAGACTGTTGAGGACCTCGTGAAGTACAAGTGGAACCAGTCGTCCATCGCCAAGGGCCATGCGCTGCTGTTTGAATCTGCACCATCAAATGAGCCCTTGGCTGTCATCGGTTCTCCGGTTTTATCCTTGCGCCTGAAGAGTTCTCGAGATCAGGACCAATGCAACCATGCCAAAGCCGTTGTATCTACGCAGTAGGGAAATGTAGGGAATTGATGAGAGGATATAAGGGAGGACCTTAGAGGTACAGTATCTAATAAAATTCGATGCAACAAAATCAAACAAAGTGGCATGTGCTAGTATGGGAGGAATTCGATTTGGAGTTTCAGTAAGCAAGGATGCTGCATGTTTATTCTTGCAGGGTTTTCTGAAACGGAATGAAATGGAAACCAAATGAATCCGAATGAAAACAGTTCTGGAGGCTTCCTCGACAGAATGTAGAGAATGTAGAGCTGCAATCGTCCAGGATGCAGATGTTTTTGCTTACCTTTGCGAACGTCCACCCAACGGTGGCGATTTGGTGTACGTCACAGAAGGCTCCTCCTGATTTGATCTTGATTTCCTGGCGGGTTGGGCGACTAGGGGAAGACGCACGATTGGTAAGCTTCTACCCTTAGATTCTAAACCACTTCTAAATCACCTCTAAACTTTAAACCACTTCCAAATCACTTCCAAAGCACTTCTAAACCACTTGTACCCCCAATGCACACCACCGTCACTTCACTGCCCAATGATTGGGCAGGAGACGAATGCAAGGTATCCTCTACCCGCGTATGAACAGGAGAAGACAAGACTAAGACTCATCAAATCTCTTTTGGCAAGATTGCGCACCAGAAAGGAACTGAAATCAGCAGCGCCACAAACATCCAAGCCAGGGTTGATGATTGATAAGTGGGAAAACTTTAAGTCAAGGGTGATGTTCAACAAATTTCCCATGCAGTGGCTGTTTTCATCTGTTTTCTGATTTTTCTGCAGGCATTCTCCGGCTCTCGTACCGGAAGGAGGAAGATGCTCCAAGCCACGAGAAGGCCAGGGCGGCCCAGGGCGGCCAGGGTCGTCCACGCGGCGAGTTTCGCTATGCCGTCGAAACTGAGGCGGTGGACCCGCCGTCTGAAGCAGGCGTAGTGCCACACCACAGCTATAGGCGAGTGGGGAGGAGCAACTTACATATCATGTCTACAGAGTCTATATAACTTATATATATATTGTTAATGCCTCCATGCTTATACCATCTTATACTATGGTTCTTCCATATTTTGGGTGGCTACATGTCTATCCCCTTCCATCTGCCAGCATTCAATCGCAGCACGAAGTGTTGCCTAAGGCGGCGAGATATGGAGATGCTGCCGCCTGAAGGCTGGGCAATTGCTTTTTTTGCCTACGACGAAACACAGCACTGAAGTGCTGCAGTGCCCGGTGCCCTCACCCAGCTGCAACTCTGCAAGGTGAATTTACTACGGCAAGGCTGAAATTCTTTCCTGTGGCGTATAGATTCCGTGCCCAGACTTATATATCAACACACTGCGCCACGCACATCCTCATCAAAACATCCACCCAAAGGATTCAGTGGCAGGTACATGGTAGGTCAGGCAAGCATAGGCAAGCTAGATTCGATGCAGCAGAAAAACGTCATGTAGGATTGTATAGGCATATTAGGCATACACATGACATTGCATGCGTCAGACTGTTTTGGTCGCATTTGCAACCATTGAACAATTGTGATATGCAATACTCCGTACGAGCCTCTCCCCCCAAACATCCCCCAAACACAAACACGCTATGTCTAGGGTAAATGAGGCTCAAGCAAACAAATGCCGACCTGTCTTTTAGATTCTTTTAGATTAGACATTGGCCTGACTGCATAGCAAACAAACAATTATACCGATGCACAGGTTCTTCCCGTGTTTTCTGATCAGGCATGTCACCAAGCTGCTAAGAGCATCAATGGGTAAGAGTCGTTCAAAGCGCCTCGTGGATCATTTCAAGAGTCAGAGCTGCATTCGCAGCCTAGGTGCTGGTTCTAGAGTTGCTTTGGTGATATGTCCGGACGACTTGACCTCAGTTGGCTTATTCAATGTGAACGGCCAGTGGCATTGGCAGTTGGTCCCTTTGTGCCTAAATTTTGGATTACTGTAGCAGGCAGTTCGGTCACAAGACCGTGCAATTGGAAGCAACACCTCCGAATTCATGTAGTCCAGAAATGAGCCACCATGAGCCACCCAGGACGCTACTCACTATGCGTCCAACCCATTGGCTGGGCAACATCCACCGTTTATTTGCCATTCGAAATCAGAACAATCACTGCAACTTGGCTGCAAAAATTGAGAGCAGCTGAAGAGTATTGCTCTTAGTGCTCAATTGCATGGGCTTCACCAGCTGGTGTGACCATGAGATAGCAATGCGACTTGCACGTACACGGATATTTGGTGCTTGAAACTGTTCAAGACCATGGTATGCATGATCTCAAAACAGATAAAATGAAACCTAAGGCTGTGGCTACCAATCCAGCAAGACATGACTGCTGCCGGTACAGCCCTTTAATGAGCAAGTAGCCAAAGAAGAGATTAGAAGACCAGAGGGCACTTTGTCAGGCTTCATCAAGTCAACAAACCATTGCATACCCAAATCAGACAATGGTGCTTGAAGTGCCAAAGAGCCAATCTCCTGGTGACGGGAGTTCACAGCTTCATTTTTTGGCACCAGTTGCGGGGCAACTAGTCACACGATCGCGTGTTGTACAGACCGTAGGAAGAGAGAAGATCAGCACAGGCAGTAAATGGCACAAAGGGAGCGCGTCGCATGGACTGCAGCTGGATGGTGGGATAGACGGAGCAGGGTCGTCAAGTATGCTACTGTATTTCTTGGCACAACATTGCTTGGAGATCGGACATCTCCGAAATTGGAAAACAAAAACACTCTACCAGCAGTGGCAATGGTCATTAAGTTGTTATGGCGATGTGATAGATAAATAGATAGATAGATAGATAGATAGAGATAATAGATATTAATAGATATTAATAGATATTAATAGATATTAACAGATATTAATAGATATTAATAGATATTAATAAATATTAATAGATATTAATATATATTAATAGATATTAATAGATATTAATAGATAGATAGAGAGAATAGATAGATAGATGGATGGATGGATGGATGAATGGATGGATAGATGGATAGATAGATAGATAGATTCATAGATAGATAGATAGATAGATAGATAGATACATAGATGGATAGATAGATAGATAGATCAGTAGATCGATAGATCGATGGATCGAGAGATAGAGAGAGAGAGAGAGACAGACAGACAGACAAACAGACAGACAGACAGATAGACAGATAGACAGATAGATCAATAGATCGATCGATCGAGAGACAGAGAGACAGAGAGACAGAGAGACAGAGAGAGAGAGGGAGAGAGAGAGACAGAGAGAGAGAGAGAGAGACAGAGACAGAGAGACAGACAGACAGACAGACAGACAGACAGAGAAAGAGAGAAAGAGAGAAAGAGAGAAAGAGAGACAGAGAGACAGAGAGACAGAGAGACAGAGAGACAGACAGACAGACAGCCAGACAGCCAGACAGACAGACAGACACAGACACAGACCCAGACCCAGACGCAGACAGACTTATGAGATTATCTGAGCCACAGAGGATTTGCGAGCAATTGCTATTGTTTGCAGTTTTTTTGTGTGTTTTTTTTTTGTGTGTGTTCCGATTTTGAATGTTTTTCAACGTGGTTGGCCATAGGAAACCCAATATTGTGCAGACGAACATGCACACACACACATGCAGACATACATGCAGACATACAAACATGCAAACAAACATGAGGAAGAGAGATGCGGGCAGGCATAAGTGCACACAGACACCCAGACATGCATTTTATGTATGGACATACTTGCAGACAGGCGTGACATACGGATAGAATCGGATAGACTTGCAGTCGAACATCTATGCCTTAATATTTCCTCATACGCGCATTTGTGCCCAATTTCCGGCCGGCGTGATGCTGTTTTTCCAGGCCAAAAGAAAGCACCCCACCAAAGCAATGGTGTGGTTCTCGGTTAGTTAGTGAAGAGCAGATTAGAATTATATAAATTGTTTAAAGATGTTCACACATGTTCAAACAATTTGTCATATCCTGTCCCATCACATGAGGCTGCCAATGGCTGCCATCAAGATGATTTGCTGTTAGTTTGCTTAAAGTCGCGCCCAGGTGATGCTGTCAAGCGAACATTGGGAGCAGGTGGGGCCAATCACAACTGACCTTGGCATCCATGGCATCCTTCAGCTTCTACGTTCAGTCACCAAATGTTTGGCAAGGTGACATTCCGACCCAGACGATGCTGGTGGATTGCTTAGCCATCAAGATATTTGCAGATGTCACAGGACCATTCCTTGCCGAGCTCCACCGGGTTCAGGAGAAAGTTGATTGGATGATAGCAAATGAGCTCCCAAGGCGGCAGTTTTGTGCTGAAGGTGTTGTAAAGACTGCCAGCGGGTGCAGTTTTACGCATCAAATCATTCAAAATCATCGTATCATCAAAGTTGCCATTGCAGGTAGCCAGGGCGGAGCTGAGCATGCCTGTTACAGCAACAGGCTGGAGATGGTGATTTCTAGCACCTTGTACTTCGTACATTTTATTCAATTATTCTACACTTGCACTGGTCCTCAAGGCCTGTGAATGCAACCGTTTCCGAAGGTTCAAATCTGAGATATCATAGATTTATAATATTTTATAATATTGGTTTCAGCCTTCCTGACGTACTGCATCGTGCTGCCGACACTGATGTCAATTGACCTCTGAGGCACGTTGATGGATTGCTTCGTGCGTTGAAATGCTCTCTCTTAGCTGCAGCCTTGTTGGACATCACGTTCAAACGTGTTCAGACCCTCAACATCCCTGAGCTGTTAAAATGAACCCTTTGTTTGGTTCAGTGAATCACGCCAGCCAAGATTTTCCAAGCCTTTGTTTGGTCAGGTCACCCTGACAGTTTCATACAGTTTCAGTGTGTAAGACTCAAGATCATTCGCACGACTTCAGATCTGAATGCCGAACTAGATGAACAAGGCACTGTGCAAAGTGCACGAATATCACCTCCCTGCTGATGAACTCCGCCGGGCTTGAGAAGCCGCACTCTGAAACCAAAGACAGAAGCACCAAGAAGTTGTGACTTTGTGGTTCTTCAGCATGCCCAAATCAAGCACATGGGAGACAACGATAGCTAAAATGACTCAATATTCAGTCAGAATTGAAAAATTTACAATTTGAAATGAATTGCAGCATTTGGATACATTTGGGTTTTTGGGAGTCCATTCAGAATATTCAGAGCATAATTATATTATATTTCAATATAATATAATTAATATAATCGGTGCTTGATATTTTTACCTCAGGATTAGTTTGATTTGGATATATTTCGCGATAAATCCTTAATATGTTTTTTTAATTTCAAAAGAATTAAAAAAAATATTTGATTTATTGGGCCAATCTGATGGGAATGAAATTATGAATAATCAAAATCTACGGGAATATTCAATTAAATTTAATATATAAAATATAGATGATGTA